AGGCATGGCTGTGAACAACGTCGAGGAGCACAGTAATTCCCATGCTGTGAGCTGTGTCGACCAATTCCTTGAGGTCTTCCGGGGGCCCGTAACGACTGTTAGCGGCGAAGAAGTTATTGATTTGGTATGAACCCCCTAGACACTGCACTGACAAGGGACGTAAAAGTCATCTGTGAAAGGAAAAAACGTGCGAACCATGCTACTTTCGAGACACAGTGGTTCCTTATCGTCGTCGGCTGGTTCCCCTCCCTTGGCGCGGTGACAGCTGGAACAGAAACAGGAACAGGGCATCGGCTAGTTCGCCTTCTCTCTCTCTCTCTCTCTCGCTCTCAGTCTTGGTCGATCTATTCAATCCTCATTCTCGTTTCCAACCTCTATTCTAATCACAACAATTCTCTTCTTTCGTTGCCTTTTCTTTTCTTCACGCCAATTTTTTCCCTTCGTCCTCAATCGTTGTCTGCGTCAACCGTCGAGTCTGCTTCTATTCAAGTCTTCCCACCTCTAAGCAGCCAAGGCGTGTTTTGCATCGCATTGTGTTTGCCGTTTGAAAGGCAGTCTTTCCTTTACGACTTTGCCGGTGGGATCTTCAATACTATTCTATCTTCAACAGCTTGCTGGGTCAGCTTTCTTTTTCTGATTTCTCTTCGTTTCTTCTCTTTTTTGTCTCTTCCAAACACTTGGTTCCCGATCTGTACGCTTCATTACCAGCGATCGAATCCATACCACTATAGCGAGCCGCCCACCCTTCATCAACTCGATCCAGCGCCGTTGCTTCCAGGTAGTTCTCATGTGGCGACGACAGCGATAGCACGCATCACCCTTTCCAGCGTCAGAAATGGCGCTTCTCTCATCCGCTCTCTTGGCTCTTTCGCTGGTCACTGGGACAAAAGCATGGCCTCAACTACCAACCGACGGTGTCAATTTCAGCACCCTCATGACACTCCCCGTCATCCCATATACCGCCGCACAACACCACAATGTCGATGTTGTCCCGCGCGGGCTCTCCCTTCCTGTGGACGAGGGCGACGGAGTCAATATAATGATGACACTGCCAGTAACTTCAAAGTCGAGGAGGAAGCGATGCACACATGTGCCTCGCAAAGTCCTACTGGACAATCTTCTCGGCGATGACTTGGAGGCTCTCCCCGCAGCCCCGGTGGTCAAGCCTCCGGTGCTGGTGCGGGGCCTGCCCGTTGATGATACTGTCGACGCCAACAGTGCTTTTGTCACACTGCCCGTAATTCACTCCACCAAGCGTGGTGTCTTCAGTCGACAGGTTGAGGCAAGCCTTGCTAACCGTTCCGATGTAGCATACTACGCCCAACGTGAGCAACAAGTTCCTTGCAGTAGCAGATGAGTCTTCCGAAGGCGAACTAACTCAAGAATAGTCAACATCGGCACACCCCCTCAGCCAGTCTACGCCCAGGTAGACACCGGTTCGTTTGAGCTATGGGTGAACCCAGACTGCGCGGCCCTCGCTGCCTCCGATCAACGCTTCTGTGAAGCCGTCGGCTTCTACGACACGGCTCGATCATCAACTGCTGTCTCGCTTCAGACCACCAAAACCCTCCGATACGGCATCGGCGCCGCAAACATCACCTACGTACGCGACAGTCTTGCCATCGCCGGCTCCCGAACGACGATGCAGCAGGTCCAGTTTGGCGTTGCTACCAGCTCCGAGGATCAATTTGCAGGGATTTTGGGCATCGGCTACGGCAATGGCGTGAACACTCGATACAAGAATCTCGTCGACGAGCTCGCCACCCAGGGGGTCACTCGCACCAAGGCCTTCAGCCTCGGACTGGGCTCCAAAGACGAACAGGAAGGGGCCATTGTCTTTGGAGGCATCGACACATCGAAATTCTCCGGCCCGCTTGCGCGCCTCCCGATCATCCCCGCAGACCAGGCCCCCGACGGCGTTGCCCGGTACTGGGTAAACATGAAATCAATTAGTCTCACTCCTCCGAGTCGCCGGGTTCGCATGTACCAAAACAGCTCGATGCCTGTCTTCTTAGATAGCGGCGCTACACTCACATTGCTACCCGAGGAGCTCGCCATCCAAGTAGCTACCGACTTTGGCTCACCTGGGCTCGACGCCAACGGATTTTACTCCATCTCGTGTACCCTTGTCGGACTCAACGGCACCATCGACTTCGACTTTGATGGGATAAAGATCCAGGTCCCTTACAAGGAGATGATTCGAGAGCTGCGCACAACCCCGCCAACATGCTATCTAGGTATCGTCCCCAATACGGACTTCACGTTACTGGGGGATACCTTCCTACGCTCAGCCTATGGTCAATCAAATCTGCTCTATCTTCATCAAACGAGTGTCAGGCTAACTCATATCTGCAGCTGTCTTTGATCTGGACACCAAAACCGCCTACTTGGCGCAGTACGTCAACTGCGGCACAAGGACAATGCCCATTAGCCGGCCGGAAGATATTGCGGCTATCCGAGGATTGTGTCCTCCTCCTGCCGGATCTACTGCTGTTCTTACACCACCAGAGGCTAGCGACACCACCACTTCGCCAGGGACGGGGACGGGTTCCGGTTCAGCATCTGGCTCGGGTGTGCAATCGAACCTGCCTACGAGTCCTGCTCCCAAGATGTCCGGGATGCCGGCGTCTGGCACGATTTCATCGACTTCGACATCAGCACCCAGCACTTTCGCTATTGTCTTGGGTATCGGCTTGGCAGTCATTTTGATGTGAAAAATGGATAGTCGAATGAGTCATTTTTGTGAGCAAGCGGGAATCCTTTGACCTACGGGCATCTTGAGCGGACCACTGGTGACATTTTTGGCGTCTGGAACGGCGGAGCCTTCGAACTTTCAATTCTTGCATTATAAGAGGGAGTTCTTCTTTACTCGGCGCATGGAACGACAAGCGAGCATTGCCAAAAGCCCAGCCATTGAGTACTTTGATACTAATGCAATTTGCCACGTAAACGTGGCTATTTAAAATATGCTGTCCCTGGTGTGCAAAGTGAACTGAGCTTATGCCCAATCGTCAAGTCCTATCTCAAGTTTATGTCCCTGTAAGTCGTACTTTTCCAGATATCCATATCTGTAAATGTTGCCAATCCGACCCGACGGTAGACGCCCCTGGATATTTCATCTTCAACTACCATAAGCGCAATAAGCATTTCGGCGTTTTCAGACGACGTTCTCCCAAGGAGCAAGTACTCAGGATCTCTATCCCCGATCTCATGCGAAATGTCGGGCAAATCGGGGTAATCTGTCACCCACTCTGCATCCTCATCAAAGTTGGACTGGTCCACATCGTCAAGTGTGAGGACACGGCACGACAAGACCACATTATGCGGCGAGGTACGTTCCTCCAAGAGATTCGTACTCCGGACCTTGGCATACTTCGTCGTGAGCAAGCCAGTGTAACGAATCTGCCCGTTCAAAGAAGCCCATGACCAGCTGGGCGCCCGGGTCGACTTCTTCTTTTCTGCATCCCCATCTTTGTCGCAGTCTTTCTTCGACCAAGTCAGCTGCTCGATAAACCATCTTTTCCATAACCCAAAGAAATTAGAGTCTCGCCACAAACTTTCGAGTTCCAGCGTGATACCCTTCAGCGCGTTCAGCCTGTCATCCGCTTCACCCAACAAGCGCTGTGAATACTGCTCAACCACAGTCATCCAGAGGTATCTCTGCTCCTCCTCTTGGACCCCAAACATTGACCCAGCCTCATCGTTGAACGCCAACCAAGGCAGACTGTCCAGTGGCTGCAAATACTCTAGGCCCTCACTGGTGACACCCCGCAAGTCGATCTCCTTACACTGCCACAAAAGCTCATATTCCGAGAAGAAGAGTATCCTGGACGACAACAAAAACTCCTGTAGAACCCACCCGCGCTCATCTATGGCATGTCTGGGTATATGCGTACCACTTCGAAGATAAATGGTTCCCAATGCGCCCGATATGGGAACGCGAAACTTATCTTTGGGCAAGTACGTCTGATCCATTCCAAGAAACCCATCTTGAGCCCGGACCGCGGTCCCAGCCGCAATCATGACGGCGGCATTCTTGTAGATCAGAGCCATGTCGCCAATTTCCTTCTTCTTGTCTTGGACGCAGTCCTGAATGATGCAGAATGCATCGACCCAAAGATATCTGAAACCAAGTCTCCGTGTGGCTACTACCGCATCCTTGACTGTCTGCTCCAAGTCGACCATTCTGATCTCCTCGGTCATCTGTTTCAGAGTGGTTTTGACGAGTTTGCCGTCTTGTTCACCGCCCCAGCAGTAACTCAAGGCGACGTACTTGCCTTCCTCTTCAACATCGTTGATGAATAGCTTCAACATGGGTGACTGGACAGTACCGACGTCAATAACCCGGGTTGGTAGAGCACTGTCTCGGCCGTAGCGGCATTGCGCATGGCCTTTACTGCACTCCTCGTACAGACGCGAAGCAGCAGAAAAACTAGTTTGGCTCTTCACGTCTCTCCGTAGAGGTCTCCTATACACGAGACTGGCAGCAGGATCTCCTGTATTCACCGTCAGACGTTAGACAGCTGTATTTTATGTTCTGTGGTCACATACCATCCGTTGTGTATGGGTGTACAGTAATGATAACTTTTCCAGATGGAAGACTGCCCTCCAGGACGTCAATCCATGGCGGTGAAACTTTGGTGTTTTTCATAGACGAGCGGTTGTGGAAGGTAAGAGTCTCATCTTTGTGCCAATTGTGATCATTATCACTCTTGACCTTAGCCAAGATGAAGTGGCAGAGCAAGCAGCCACTGGTAGCAGCGGAGCAAGTTTCCGTGAAGGTGGAGTGTTGAAGGCCGGACGTTGAGTTGAGCGCCCGCAGACCATTTTTCGAAAAGAGGAGCAAACAGGGGGAGCAGTAATTTTCAATCTCATTCCTTCCCCGAGTTCTCTTGGAGCTTGAGGGCGAGTCATCTAGGTCAATTTCGGACCGGCGTCGAGAGTGTACCGGCCTGTGCGGCAGAGATGCTGACATGGTGCCTTGCTGCGACACTTTGGGTAGCCAGAGCTCGTTCAACATGCCAGGGCAGCAAGTTGGACCGGATACTTATGTAATGGCAACTTGTATTATTGCGCCAGCGCCTGGCTTGCGAGGAAGAGACTAGGCACCCATGGGACGCCTTCCACGCATGTGGCGGAGCCTGCATGAAGGCAACCAGGCTAAGCACGGAATATGCAGGCTGTAGACAGCTAGGCGCCCAGGCTGCCCGAATTTCCTTTTCTCTCAACGTCTGCGCTTCGCCTTGTTAGGCGTGCTGCCACCCTCCAAGCATGAAGACGACTCGCCAACTGTGCGGTCCATAACCTGCTATTAAGCACACACAACTCCCTGTGCCTCAGTCACAGGCTACATTCATGCAGATAAAACTGATATTTCTGACTTCTATTGATCCGATAGGTCACCATGATATGAACATTCTATGAACAGGGTGAATTAAATTTTGTCTTGTTGTAGGTCAATGAATATTACTCCTCAACCCGATAAACCTTTTCACATAGGTAGCTGTCTCCGAGTTCCTGTGAACGCCCAACGCCAAACCCTAAATTCAAGGTGGATTTCACGAGCCCTTCTTGGTATGAATCTTCTCATGCCGGTGACAATCATTCAACCTCGCAAACGCCTTTCCGCAATTCGGGCAGGCAAAAGGCCTCTCGCCAAAATGACTCCTCATATGACCTTTCAAGTTGATATTCCTCGTAAAGCACTTGCGGCAAATCGTGCACGGAAATTTAGCCGTCTCGCGCCTCCTACTCATCTGCAAAAACACAGTCGGCTCCTCTCTGAGGTCGGGGTGATAGTTCCTGACGTGCCTCTCCCTGTCCTTGTTAGACGAGAACCCGACAGGCGCCGAGTTGCATGTGGGCAGGGGGCAGGCAAACGGCCTGTCGTGGCGGTTGTGGTGGGCTTTGCGGTCCCTTTCGGACTTGAACCCTTCGTAGAAGAACTTGCAGAGTGTCTTTTTGCATTTGAACTGGTTGGGACCATAGTATGTCTCCATTGTGTCTTGCCCACACATTTCCGTTTCCGGCATGTAGTCGTTTTCCAGGACCTTGCGGTGGGATTCGAGAGCGGCCTCCAGACGGTCGATGCCGACTTTGTTGCGGTCATCGATAGATCCCTTCTGGTGGGTGTAAATGTGATTCCATACACGAACGAGATTAGTGTAAAATGGGAAGGTGGTGTACGTTGACAGATCATCTTGCGGGAACTCCGGGTGTATGTCAGTGATCTTTGTGAGGTCGTCGTCATAGGCCAAAATAAATCTCTCCAAAGCGAGGCCAAATTCGGCGGCGAAATCACGATGTCGTTCGAGCCCTGCGTCAAAGTAGAAGTTGGGCGAGAAGATGTCATGGCACTCTGTGATGACGGTATCGATGTGCCTGTACCATTGAGGCACAGCATAGTCTTGAAAAGAGAAGTATCCCAATGGTATGTGGCGACAGCGTTCGGCTTCGCTGTAGTCGTCAGCTGAAAAGCAGCGTAGAGATAAATAGCGCAGACACAAAATGGCGAGATCACATTGAACGATTTTTGGGTGAATGTGTTTGCTACGAACAAGATGACTATAGTGGCTCGATCAGTTTGTTTGGTTCTCCCATGAAGGAAACGGTAGTAGGTACATAGGGAACGGAATTGGACTTACTCCTTGGCTGTTGAATGCATGAGACGAATCTCATCACCCGGCAAAACATCGACCAGCGAGCCCAGTAACTTATTGATGTTTTTTCTTCGAATCATGCGGCGATTAAAGTCGATCTCATCCTTCTCAAGGTCATAAGCAATGATGGCCTGTATTTCGTGCCATTTGAGCGGGCGATGGGCGCAGGCAAGCCAGCCAAGGAGCAGCTTAGTCTTGTCCCAGTGGGTTGGGGACTCGTTTAACATCTTCTTTTTGAGACTCTCCAATACCAGGTCGTACATTTTTGATAAGCCGTCAGGAAGCATTCGCGATGTGACTTTTTCGAGGAGTTCTCCCTTGGTCCATTGGTTCAGGAGATAATCCACAGCAAGGACCGCATAGAGAAAAGAACCTTAACATTATTGTTAGCGCAAGCCTAGAAGTGTACCCCTCGCCCGGCTCATATACCTTCGCTCTGCACCGAAACTTCCTTCTCGATCCGCTGTATCTCACTCTCTTCGAGGTTGAAATTCGGCCTAGAGACTGACGGAAATTCGGAAGGGTCGATCCTCCCCCTCACATGTCTGCGTGGCTTTACCGGCTCCGCTGGATCCATCCTGCTCTTTACATAGGTCTGTATATCCTGTCTGTTATCGGTGCGCATTAGTTCAACCTCGCCTATCAGTGGGCTGACGGTAGGCTTGGTCATGGCTGCTTTGACGTCGGGTACTGGTTGACTCATGAACAGCACGCGCAGCTGTCCCTGGTTGATATCGTCAAGCCGCGAGACTTGAGCCACCAAGAAGGATACTACCTGCCTGATATCCTCGCGGCAAGCGCACTCATCCAGCCCGTCCAAAACGATGTACAAACGAGGGTTGATCTCGAAAAAGGTCTCAATGAGGGAGAGACATCCTTCCGTGGTTGATAGAGTCGAGCCGCCGCTGCTCGCGATCTTGTCGTCGCAAAGAGGGAGGACGCAACCATTATGGTTGTTGCGATGGCCTAAACCGTCATATTCATCTTCACTTGCTTCATCTGGGTCGTGGTTGAGTACGTTGATTGCGGAGACAAGCTGGTGGACGATGCCCCTGAGGATCCCAAAATACGAGTTCAGCTCAGGGTCGGCGTCCTGGCAATAAAAGTAGCAAATTTGCACGTCAGGTCGTATGGATTTAGTCCTGATGAGCTCGTGCAAGCGGGTGACCACCAGTGATGACAAGATAGTCTTGCCCATTCCTTTCGGACCATGTACCCAAAGGGCAGAGTCTTTGGGGATGTCCTCGCGCATCCAGTTCGAGACGGGGTCGTATCGGGTGTATAGCCAGCGCCCCGTCTCCGGATACGGTTCCCTCTTTTTGACAAAACTCTCGTGCAACGTTTCCAACTTTGAGGGCGCGGCGATCCATCTCAGGACCTTGTCCTTTTGTTCCTGCTTCCTGGCCGCTTCGTTCTTTCTAAAGTCCTTCCACAATAAGTCGTACTGGTACGTGTACTCGTGGGATTTCCGGCGGAATTCATCGCTATCGAACATGATGCTGTCCTGAGGTGCCGCGAAGCCCGAGTCTACAGTGCGGAGGGCCCGTCGGTCTTGGAGGGGAGCTCCATGGGTTCGGATGAAATCTGCGTGGAGTTGGAGACTCGCTGCTAAGTGGTTGAAAGTCGACTCCAAGTCTTTCCATGTTGCTCTGTGCAATTTGACCCATACTGTAAATGCCATTCTTAGGATCAACGTCTCGCGCATTGCAGGCGGTAAATGAGGTGGCACAGAAAGTGGCTTTGCTTACGTGAACTGCGAAGAGAGAACAACTTGTATGCGGTTCTATGAAACACGGCAACGTCGTTGTAGATATTTAGGAGACATGTCCTGCCATTGACCGACTCTGCAAAGAATTGTTTATATTCCGAGAGAGGAAGGATCTTAATGCCCAGTTGTTGGTAAACCTCGAGTATGTGATCAAATGCCCGATCGTTGACGTTGGTCGTCTAGGTTAGGGTCAGATACATATTTTAGCAAGGGAATAGTGATGCGATGATGATTCATGGTACCTCAAGAAGAAACCTCATGGGTCCCCAAACAAATGCCATGATGCCCTCAACATCCCCCATTTCCCTGTCGTTGAGGACGTCTTGGAGTGAGAGCATGCCGCTGAGGAAGAGCTCGATCCTGTTGAGGTTCATGAGGGTCTTGCTCGTCACTTGTTTGCATTGGATGTCGCTGAGACTCCGGTATACATCGTAAGAGGTAGTCTTTCCGATCTTGTCGACATGAATGTCGTTGATTAGTGCCTTGGAAGTATCGGCGCTCTTCGCAAGTTGCACTTCCACGTCGACGTTGAGGTCTGGGACCCGGTAGGCGCCGAAGCCTTGGGCCATGGTTATTTGTGTGAAGTCGGCGAGCTCAGCGCTAGCTCCGGGACAAGTGTCGAATTGGCCACGGCCGCTAGGGGGGCTCGGGCTCCCGCAAGCCAAGTACGGGTACTAAACCTGGTTTGTGGTTGTGGACCGCGGAGCGACACAAACAAACCACACCAAAGCATGAATAAACTCAGCGGGGAAATGGGGAGGAATAGGGGGTAGAGAACCAAGTGGGGAGACCTGAAGAAGAAGAAGAAGAAGAAGAAGAAGAAGAAGAAGACGGAAAGAGAGTCTTTCGAGAAGGGGAAGAAACGAGACTGAGGATGGTTTCCACAGTCCACAACCAGCTTGCGTCAAGGTAACGGTCGACAGACATAATATGAGGCTGATGGTGTTCACAGCAAAAAGAGGCAGCCAGGCGTATATCTGAATGCTACCCCGTCCGGGCAACCCCTGCCCAGGTCCAACGTCTTCACAGGGGCATCCAATAATTTCTTGCCGTCGTCAGGCCCGCCTGGCAAACATGACAGGGGCACCAGGGATGCGTGAGGCGCTAGGCAGTCCCAGCACTGCCACTGCCACACTCTAGTCTCTTCTGCAGTCTATCCGTAATGTCTGTTGCTGTGTGCGTCACTGCCTATTCGTAGACAGGCTGGCTGTCTGCATGTGTGCGTCTATATGTCGCTCGACCTGCATTGTGCACTGCATCTGACCCCTGATGACCGACCTACCAGCACGAGTCCCGCGTGTCTTGCAACGCGCAGTCTCGCAGCCTGGCTCGAGATTGTCATGCCTCGCGGGCGCCTTGTGAGGGGCAGAGTTGCTTTTTCGCCTTGTTGGCTGCTGCAATGTCCCTTTTGTTTCGTAGGGCTGTTGAGCAATGTTGACTCTTGGGATTATAATTGGTAAGTATTGTACATTGACTACTAGTACCGTTGAAGCCGACTTAGCCGGTCGTAAGTTGCCTTTACTCTGTACGGATATCTACGGCAAGTCTTGCTAAGTGGTCCACATCAACAGTTGGAAATACCGCATCACAAGACTCGATCCGCGACATGGGAATCCCGCGAGCATAATCAATCTACGTCATCCTCAACCCTACCGGAGCCGTCTCCGGTGTCTATTCTCGAGAACAAGCATCAGCAGGTGGATATTTCCCCATCATTTGACCTCATTCCGGGCTAGTGAGGCTCTTGAAAATGCCCCGGTCGGAGGACTCCGAGCGGTTGGGGCGGAGCAACCGTCGGTGAACCGGGGTGCCGGGGGGCCTTCGGGGGCGGTGCAAAGCGGGTGCGAGAATAACCCTAAGGGCCCTGAGGGCCCCCCTAACGAGACTAGAAAGACTAAGAAAGTGGAAAAAGTACGCCGTGTGGGTTGTGCGCGTCCGGAGCGCAGCCAGAAGTCTTCGGCGAAGTGCGAACCACCAACGGGAAGCACGATCGCCTTCATCATCGTCCGCGCACTGCGCCTCAAGGAGGGAGACTGCACAGCAAACGGCCGCATTTGATTGCCTCACGTCACCGGCCATCATGTGGTCAAAAATGGTTCGCCCGGCGCCTTCTCCTTGGCCGCAAAGAGCCTCATCATGTTGTTTCTCAAGGCACTGGCTGCATGAGAAGCACACAGTTGGAAATTACGGTTCGACCTGTTTGCGAGACAGACTTGACAACAGCCCGTCTGTTTGATTAAAGTTATTCGAAGCTTTCGCTAACTTCGAACAATCTAACCTGCAACTTCGGGATCAACTCCGAAACAGACTTTAGTCTCAATCACTCATCGATACACTAACTTGACCAAGCGCCTTGAGTCCCTGGCAACCCCTGGCCATCATGTCGTCGCTGAAGAGACTTCTCAATGAGGAAGATGAGGATCTCCAGTATCCCAACCCGTCGTCCGTCTCCTTATACGGCCCCATCACGCCAATCTACCAGGGCGGCGTCCAGGATGACGCGTACTCTGGATATTACCCACGCCAGACCTCCTTCCATAGCTTTGACAACTACACCACCCAGGGCAGCCAGGAGGAGATGCCCATCATCGAATACCAGTCCTCCGTGATAGGCGTGTTCGACCGAATCCTCCCCGGCTTTAGCGTCGGTGATCAACTTGGGGCCCTCAATTTCGGCGACGGAACCGAGGCCGCGGCCTACGACCTGGACGACGACTTGGAAACATGGGGTCGCAACACCACACAGTCTCCCTTGTTGGGGGCTTACAGCTCACCCCAGCCGTCGAGCTACGGGTCGTCACAGGATTCCCTGACCGTGACCCACTCGCCTTCACTCTTCCCCGATTCCAGCATCGCGGGTTCGGACGTGTGTTCATCGACGGCGGGGGATGATGACGCCGACAAGGTCTGCTACGGCATGGTAAGACTCAAACTCATTTCATCAAGCCTCTTGATTGTCTAGATCTACTTTCATTTGCCCTTTGTTCCACTCCTCCTTCCCCCCCCCCCTTTTTTCCCCCCTCTCTTGACAAGGTGGAAAAGATAAGCCCGACTCATCAGTGATAGCTCTACAATGTAGACGTTAAATTGATAGGTGACATGGCCGTGATCGACACCAAGCTGCGCGAGTCCAGCCAAGCGTCTGCCCCCGGCAGGACAGCCTACCAACGCTTCACACTCAGCGAGCAACAAGAGCACGTCCTCCTCGTCTTCAAAGACGACGCCACCGAGTTCGGCTACCTCCGCTCCGGACCCGGCAAGGTCCTCTCAAGGCTCCTCAGCCAAGACGCCCACGTCGACTTCGAGCCCATCGCCCCGACCAATGCGCTCCGCGAGACCATCGCCCGCGCCAAGAAGCCCGTCGAGGCCATGGTCAAAGTCGACGTCAACGTCTACGGCCCGCGCGCCGCGGCGCGGACCGTTGGCGCTAAGCTGTCCGAGGGAAAACTCTGGTTGCAAAAGTCGGACCACGCGCGCCAGGCCCTCTGCTACGAGAACCCGCATGTTCTCAAGATCCAGGGCGGCGAGGAGTTGCAAGAGGGAGATATCAGCAGCGTTAACGGCGGGGTGCCGGCTGGACGGCAGCCGCGCGAGGAGAGGTTGCGGCGGATGATGATGGAGGTGTACGACTCGACCGAGAGGCGGCAGTTCAACAGGGAGCTTGGTGACAAGCGGCTGAAGAATGATTTGCTGGAGTAAGATCTGCCTTTGGGTTATCACTGACCACACCCCCTGATCAAGATGTCATGCTAAACCGTCCGCACCCAGCCATCAACAAGAGGCGCTCGCTTTTATGTTGGAACGAGAGTCTGGTGACATACCCCTCTCATACCGACTGTGGAATCCTGTAACAGTAGAAGGCCAGGAGTGGTATGTTCTCTACACTTTCCAAATTCCAAGGCGTCCTTCTGAGTTGAATCCGCTAGGTACCGCCACAAGATCACAAACGTAAAGCAGATGACCAAGCCAGATGAGAGGGGCGGCGGCATCCTCGCCGATGAGATGGGCATGGGCAAGTCCTTGTCCATCCTCTCTCTCGTCGTCAAGACCCTAGACGACGGCCGAACCTGGGCCGTCGGCGAAGATGAGAGCAGCGAGAAGAATAAGGACCTACACTACTCCGGATCGACCCTCGTAGTGGTATCGTCTGCTCGTGAGTGCCCTCAAGTGACGAACGACCCAAGTGCAAAGATTGAGCCCAGAGCTTACAATACTTACCTAGTCCTCATCTACAACTGGATAGACGAGATTGAAAAGTAAGTAACAATGGTTGTTACCCCTGCGTCACATTGTCACGTCTAACACTCAAAAGACACGTGGACGGAAGTCTGAAGTACGTCAAGTACCACGGCCCGAATCGAGAAAAGGACATCGACAAAATCAAGGGCTCCGACGTCGTCGTGACAACCTACAACACCCTCTCAGCGGAATTCGAAAAGAAATCCTCCATCCTGCACAAGATTGGCTGGTACCGAATTGTCCTCGACGAAGGTAAGCTCTCCTCTCCCCCCCCCTTGACTCCGAACCCCCTATCTCACCTCCCATCCAATTCCTTACGACACCAACCCCATCATCCACAACAAACTGACCGACCACAACACAGCACACATCATCCGCCGCCCAGCAACAACATTCTACCACTCCTGTACTCGCCTCTACGCAAGATCCCGCTGGTGCCTCACCGGCACCCCCATCCAGAACAAACTCGCCGACATCGGCGCCCTCTTCGCCTTCATCCGCGCGACCCCCTTTGACAACCCGGCCACCTTTCGCCGCTACATCGAAGTCCCCTTTGATCAAAGCGTCGATAACCTGCAAAAAGTAAAGGAGCGCCTCATAACCCTCCTCGAATCCCTCTGCCTCCGCCGCACAAAGAACATCCTCCACCTCCCCGGCCTCTCGGAGCGCGTCATCGAGCTCGACTTTAGCCCAGAGGAGCGCGAGCAGTACGACAAGACCAAAAAGATCCTCATGCGTATCATTAAGCAAAAAGTAGGCGAGATCGAAAAGAGCAGCAAGTTCGGCCTCTTCCAGGCCAACCTCCAGATGCGCATCCTCTGCAACCACGGGACCTTTCAGAAGCCCTTTTCCTGGGGCCGGCGGAGCTACCGCCTCTACCGCCTCGACGAGCGCGAGGCCGCCGTCTCGGCGCTGGGGCAGAACGCGGAGATTACCTGCGACGGGTGTCGCCAGCCTATGCCCATCCTCGGCTCCGGCAGGCTGCGCAACGAGTTCGACGAGCAGTGCGCGCACGTGTTTTGCTCCGAGTGTCTCGAGGACTCGGACCTGTCGTCGGCCTCGACACCGGCCCTTGGCTCCCATGGCCGGCACTGTCCCGCCTGTGATAACTGGATGAGGTTGGCCAAGACGCAGCGCCCCTCTGCTGCTACTGCTGCTTCTGCTGGCTCTGTGACGGTTCCGTTGGTCAGAGTCGACGGGCCCGGGGTGGATGCGGTGGGAATGTCCGACGGGTCTACGCAGACGACGTCAGGCGCAGACGAGGCGGATTACTTCAACACGGTGGGATACTCTACCAAGATGGAAGCCCTGATCCGTGACGTTCAAGTGGACGTCTCAACGACCAAGAGGTAGGTTTTTCGCTTGTTATTTGTACATCTATCTACTTACTCGGCAACTCACTGACTCCCATCGGGAAAACAGCATCATCTTTTCTTGCTGGACGAGAACGCTCCACCTCGTCGCAAAACACCTCGAGAAAGTCGGCGTGAAGTACCACAAGATTGACGGCGATTGCCCGCTGTCGCAGAGACAGGAAGTCCTGGGGCAATTTGCAAAGGACGAGGAGAAGAGGGTTCTCATCATGACAACCGGCACTGGTGCCTTTGGGTAAGTGTTGCCGCCTACTTATCATCAACACTGCTGTCTCTCTCTCTCTCTCTCTCTCTCTCTCTCTCTCTCTCTCTCTCTCTCTCTCTCTCTCCCTCTCTATCTCTCTCTCTCTCTCTATCTCTATCTCGCTCAGAGGTATCCACACTGACAACGATACTTCTCATAGTCTGAACCTCACCTGCGCCAACCGCGTCTTCATCATCGAGCTACAGTGGAACCCCAGCGTCGAGAACCAGGCGATTGCCCGAGCGATTCGCTTCGGCCAGGGGAAGAAGGTTCTCGTCACGAGATACATCATCAAGAGCACGGTTGAAGAGGTAAGCCAAAAAAAAGCTCTTTCAAGGAGTCAATGTCAATCCGTACAAGCGGCTTGCGTCGAAAGCCTTACTTTGGCTGATGAGTATGTTGCACATGTTGCAGGAAATGAGATCGCAGCAAAACGTCAAGAAGGAACTGGCGACAATCGGCTTTGGCAAGCCTGCGTCTGATGCCAGCGACGAAATGGATCAGTCATGAAGACTAGGTAGCTAGGGATGAGGCCTTTTTTTTGGTAATCTGATGTTGAGAGGGCGGATTGATTCACGTCTTGATGAACTTGATGGCGGTGTTTTCGAATACTTCATTTCTATGGCAACGAAAAAAGGGCTCTGCAATGCGATGCAGGCATCTCGCTTTGTAGCATCTTTTCCAAGGGCCAGCATCTTCTTGTTTGTAAGCTGCGCTTCGACTTGATAATTGCTCATAATAATACCCAATTTATTCTCTTCGTCTTTACTTTGGATTTTTTCCTTAGTCTTGTGAGAGTATGTCTTCGGCATAGGCTTTACCCATTCCTTAGAGCTGGTAACAGCATGTCTGAGTCGTTCATCCGCGCTATGAGATGTAGATGCACACCAAGTGCTGCTTAGTTGACAGTTCTGAGGCACTGTTTAGATTCACTTTGGCGTTCTCAGAGGACACTTGGTCATCAGCATTGCCCTCCCGAGGCAACTTGGGAGGACTAGGCTCGCGCTACGAAACATGTCCCTTCTAGAATTGAGAGTCGAGCCTCACAAAAGCCGTCAACTTTGCGGCAAATCGGGAAGCCTTCGGGAAGGTCCCGCAACACTAACTGATCGTTTAGACAAAAGTCACCCCCGAAGCTTCCATGACGTTCCGCCGTCGCAGTACTCGCCGTCGCGGCGATCACGAACGACCCTTGAATTGTCGTTGGGCGCGGTCAGACGGACGATCACGACAGCGATCAGCGGGGGGCCAGGCCAATCCAACAGATTGTCGAACCCTCCGTGCCACTCCAACTGCCGATAACCTCCGAAGATCACTTTCGAGCCAAGATGCAGAGATCAACCCGAGAAAACACAAGGGCCCTGGCCTGGAAGGAAAAAGAAGGAAGCAAATGCCAACCGCTCGCTTCTCGCTTGCGCCATACATTGTTGGGTTCCACCCCGTCGTAAACTGTCAGGACTGCACAGAGGAAACTAACTGCATCTTCATCTAATCAGCCACCGCACCCGAACTAAAGCCGTGTCGCCGAAAATGCTCCTTATTCTTCCAAGAAACTACTCCGTGATATTGGATTGATCGGCGCCGATCGACAGACCGAAAGACGGCCGGTGAGCACGCTCACGGGTTCGTGGCGTGGCCCGGCGTAGCCACATCCCACCGGTAGAACGGCCGTCCACTTGGCCCAAAAGCATGTCGAGTGACCAAGCCAAGAGCCACACCATCTGATGAACCCAAAGGTGAGGGACGGCCGTTGAGTTTTTGAAAGCTGGGAATATGATAGTTTGAAGGAGAGGTGTCGCGCCTGTCAGCCAGTTGTTGAAGCAACAAAATGGCTCTGCGAGCGTACTGGGCATGTTGGCGACGGGGGGCTTGCTAGTCAGCGGGACATTGCCAGTCTCCTGAAAAGAAGCATTTCCCATAGGAAGGCGAGGGCCAGAACAAAGACCGCCCAACATGACTCGATGTGGCGTGGTTCAAGCCGACGTTGAGAGGCGACCAAGTCCAGGAACGGCAGTTTGCACTTGTCCAAGGCCACCAATGATGGCCATGGGCAAAAGGGAAATGGCGCGGGAATTTTGACCAGTGGCGACTCCCAGGCGATGCCATTCGCCCGGCTTAGACCAGCGACATTCGAAAGAGCCACACTCACTTCTTTCTCTGCACGACACAGGACCCCTTTCTTTCTAGCGACGCTGCTTAGCAGCGGCAAAGGAGAATTATCCGCGACATGGAACGAGGGATTGGTATGGCCAGAGTCTGCATGTTCTTTGTGTGGGTGGGTGTGTGGGCCAAGCCCAACAGGCACAACGCAACGAAGCCACGAGCGGATTTGGCTCAAGGAAAGCCAAAAGTAAATGCAACCAATCACCACGATCGTGGCGGAAAGCAAGGCTCTGGCTACAAAATGCCCTGCTGTAACCGAAGTCCTTTGGCGTGGCGATTGCATCTCGGCGAGAACAACATATTCAAAAGAGTTTTCTCTGCAGAGGATCCTATAGAGTGTCGTGACGAAGGTAGCATCATGTTCAATCGAGGTTCCAGCGTCGGCCCATTGTGCGCGCAGTGACGCAAGGACGACCGGATAGGCAATGAGCTGCCATCTGGTTCGTGACGCCTACGACGAGCCCAAGCTGCCGGGTATGTATAGGAGCAGCTGGTGGTGTGGTTTGTGTGTGTGTGTGTGTGTCTGCGCGCGCGCGCGTGTATGTAGGTGGTGTGCATCAAGTTGTGACGATGAGCCAAGTCGATTCCTACATCGGATAAGCAACGGTCATCGGATGCCAGACTTATTGCCGAGGGCATCGACGTCTTTCTTCCCATTTGCCGTTATCAGGTCTCGTTCTCTACTACATAGTCGGACAATATTTGACTTGCATTTACAGCTAGAACAGGGACGCCCGCTGGCCCAGTGCAGTAGGAATTGTGACGGATACGGCGTCAAGATGCCTCGGCGACTGCGTCTCACATCCTGAGGTTTCCGGAAAGGACGGCAAGTCACCCAGCAGAGCTCTGTCAGTGAACGCCGGCAGAGGTCTTCCGGCTCTAGATTTCGGATGTATAACGCCAATCACACACGTCCCAGCAGCAAATATCCCACACAGTGAGAAGGGGAGCTGCGGCAGTGAGACTTGGCGTTGGTGGGACAAATTACATCGATTATCCGCGGCGAAGCAGACCGCCGAGTCGATTGTACGCTTCATGTGCGCCGTTGGATTCGACTTGGTGGATCGATGAACCAGGAAGGGAACTGCTGAGCCCTAACGAAACGTGTATTTTGGTTTCCGTCGCTTACCAGTGGGCGACGTTCTTGATTAGATGAATCAGCCCTGACAAACCATAAGGCGAAACAATACTGCGACTTTCGAATCAATGGTCGAGCCGCAGCCCTGGGGCGAACCTGGAGCACCTACGTCACGAGCAAAGAGCCCAGCGAATGTCACCCGCGTCTCTGGACCACTGGCATACGCAGCTCGAGGAGTATGCACGTGAGCGGCGTTGGCATTACGCAGACTTTCTGTCTTTGTACAGTACGAAGTGGCCCAACACGGTCCCGAAGGCTTCGAGGGCCAAGAAACCAGCGGACGGTTGCCGGATGGCCAGCAGTATCAAAACGTGTATCCTCCTTTAGCATCCTTCCGTGATTCAGTCTCAAAGCCGAGGGTCACTCCGCCCAATTGGGCCGAATGACTGGAGCAATGACTGAAGAGAACGGGATTGATCGGCAAATAGAAGGACAAGACTGAATTTGCCCAATCCCCAAAGATGCTTGCAAGGCATGGCTAGTCCGAGAACAGGTAGATACAAGAGAAAAATCTGGGGTAGACAGGGGTGGCACGCTGCCGGGACTATGACCAGGGGTGTCAGGTGCTCACATTCGGGGGTGGTGGTCGGCTGTCTTTCGACGGGAGGAATGGTGAATGAGCTCTCCCTCTGGTCCCTCTCAGTTGGATGGCGTTGTTGCGAATTGCTGCGCCGACTGTCGGTTTGGGGTTCGATTTGGAGAATGCCATGCGTGTGCTAGGATAGCTGGATGCCGGCCAGTTGGTGGGTTGGCTCGGTTGGAGAAGCACGCCGGCCTGGAGATTCTGGTGCTTGACACTTGCCGTGCCATGTGAGTTTCCGATGGCTGGATTGGTCTGGTAGACAAGCTTGGGTAATCTTGGAGCTCTATACTATGCTTCTCACTCCCTTCGTCTTCCCACCCACCCACTCACTGATCCATCCATCCATTCCGTACTAAAAAGTGTGAGCGGATTTGGAGTTATTGTGCGTGGCCCTGGCTGCTGTGGAGGGTTCGTCGAACGGCCAAGGAGGGTGGTGCGGTGGGAAGCAGTGCGTGGTCCAGGAACACTGGTCCTCCTCTCAGATTTGTCACCGGCGCTCGAGAAACGTTCCATACTTGAGACAGCCGGCCAAGACGACATGATAGGCTGCCGGAAACAAGGGCACATAGCCGCGACGAAAGCGGTTGAAGCTGCAGAAAGTCTGTCTCCATATTGGTCGTCGTTCAGCCAGGGAAAGGCCGAACGGCCAGCTGCTGATGGGTGGATGGGTGGATGGATGAATGCCCGTTTGCACAGCCTCAAAGACGGTACCGATTCTTAGTGGCAGGCCAAACCCAACATCGGGGTGAATCGGTAAAGGACACCAGTCGAGACGAATTAATTGACGGCTCTTGTTTCAATGGCTGTGATCCGTCGTCGTCCATGTGTGGGCCCTGGTTCTCGGCGCACCTGATGCAATGCATTTTTGCAATTGCCTTGGTCCAAGCCCAGCATCGACCGGAGATACGCACCCTTATTCCAGGATCACTAGCGGCAGCTCGCTTTCTTCTGTTGTCTCTTCACGAATGTTTACAGTGGACCGTTCTGCAACTCCCAACGCAAGTGTTCTTGTTGACTCGGGGGTAGGGGGGACATCCTTCGTCAATGGGGAAGGGTTGCACTCTGACCTGCGGCTAGGGTAGAGCCCGATACCCCTCGATGATTAGAGTAATTTGGGGAAAAGTTGGAGAACCGTCTGCAGTCGAGAGAAGGGTGACAGTGCCGAGCCGCGAAGCTATGTCGTACAGACGGTTGTTTCGACGCGGCCATGTCTACCGGAGCAGAAGAGACTGCCTTGTAGTTCTAATCTCCGTCAACGAGTGTTATACCGGTCGAAGATATAATCTCCTGTTGTGGCTTCGAGAAGGTAGCGGCGGGACAAATGGAGCCCAAGCTTCGAAGCTTGCAGAGCACCAGGTCAAAACATCCTCTGTGAAGCAAGCTCCCGTACTCTCGCCGGCGGAAGCTACCATGCACCTTCGCAGGATTCGTCGAGAGCTTGCGTGAGGGCCCTACCACACCATTGAATCCTTGCAGTCGTTCCACGACACCTCGAGGAAAGCTAATCCCCATTCCCCACATGCTGCCGTAGATAGTACCTAGTGCATGGTACGTGCTGAGATTTGCGATGCTTGTCTCTCGATGAATACCAAGCCGGCGGGCGTTGGTCGCGGGATCGCGCGAGAGTTTGTATTGATGCGAAGATGCAATTGATAGGCCTCGAGATCGGGAGCACAAGCTGCAATTATGAAGACTGAGCTTGCTGCAGCCGCTGCGAGACAGGGAGCAAGGACGGGTGATAGGCCGCCCAGGATGCACTCAGGAAGTTAATTTAGACTGTAATGGATGGATTCGCTGGCATTTAAACATCGTCGCCAGACAGCCGTGAAGTGTGGCATCTGGTTTAGAACACCTAGGCTATTGGCATCCGTTCCTGGCGCAGACCAAAAGGACGTCAGTTATTTGCGCCGCGGCGACGCTGATCCTCGTTGCCGTTGCGGGCCACGCTTACCGTCTTCCCACTTGAAGCCCTAGACCTGGCGCTGAAGGTGAGCTGGTGTCTGAGATAGAACACCGGCAGCGGCATCCCTTGACGGGTGCCATCAGAACGCTTGACGCAACTGGAAGCCGTCGAAGGGCTAGGTAGCGAAAACAATTTATTTTCAAGCATGCTACGGATACAGCTCCACGTATCATCACGTACGAGGATGAGATGGCATTATTGCTGGCTGCGTCCAAGGATGAAATGTCCGTCTCCCCAAGCAGGTAAGCCGGTGTCCGACCTCATATCCCTGAGCTGACAAAGTATCGGAAGAGGTCACAAGGACACCAGACGAGGGTGTGGGACAGGGGTGGCTGGTTAAGCCGTTGGTACCCCAAATCGCTAGGCTCGCTGCTGTGCCCTGACCCGGTCCGGGCGTCGCCGTGGACAGAGGCGGTAACGGTAGCGTAACCGTAGCGTATCCGTAGCGTGGGCGCTGTCAAGATGTTGGCGGCATCGCCGGCGTCTACTGCCCAGACGTTTTCTCTCATCATGGCAGCAAGATTCGTTTCAACAGTGTGGGCTGGACAACGCAGAGCGACGGGGTCCTTCAATCTCGTATCCTGTATCGGGCGATGCGGGCATGGTAAGCGAGCTCACGACAAAGTTTCGACAGCTCTGGATTCTGAAGAATGTGTTCAATGTTGAGTTCCATCGGAAAGCGCGCGAGAGAGCCCTGCCCAAGTCTGGTTACCAGTCACCGACGGGCTCCCCCCAGCATGACATGTCGTTAACAGGAGGTTATTGCGAGGGTTCCTTGGAGAAGGGCACAAAAGCCCACACAAGCGATTCGCCGTTGACCAACGAAGGCCGGTAGCCAAGCCACTCCACCCATTTACTTGCAGATGGGTAGGAATTATTGCGTTTTCCCGTCGTCCAATTCTAGTCTGCAACCCTGGAGCTCCACCGACGTAACAGCAACGTGTGAAGGTGTGCGAGCTGAGACCTTCGGCCCATGTCGAAGACGCACAGTGAATACCAGACTAGCCCAGCACTGTCAGAAATACATCGGAGGTGGGATGGCGTAAGTACCTGATTGAGACTGTCCCTTTTTTTGTGCGTCTCCGGGACCAAGGCGGCTGGATAAGATCGACGGGTCCCCATGGGCCTCGACTTTGTCCCTCTTGTGTTGGAACCGTTATTAATAGAGTACAGATCGGAAGGTTGTGTGGTCGCTGCAACTTGTAATAGGCAAGAGTCTGGAAGCTCTTTTCCAGGCGGGCACTATCTGTACATTGATACAAGCGCGGCTCGCACCCCGCAGGCCTGTGAGGTTCTCGAGACTGCGGGAAATACAGCGACGGCGACATTTGATAGAGGTTGATAATCATTGCCCCGATTGGAGCCGAGGCCTGGATATTGACCAGCACAGAAAGAACGTTTGCGAGTATATGCCAGCCGGCCGCCTACAAGGCGTCCGGAAAGGTGAGATCTCCCCCTCCGTTTTCTAAAGCGTGAGGAAAATGCGTGAGTGACGGGATGTAAATCAGTTCCCTGCGGCAGGGCATATTGGTGCCATTATCGAATGAGATCATTCTTCCTATGAGCGCAGCGCAAATAATGGAGGCCCAAAGTAGGAAGCCCGTTGAACACGCGCAGTCGAGCAGTCGAGCAGTCGAGCACATCCGACATTGGCTTTTGACACGGTATCTCTCGGCCCGCCTGTATACGCTATCTCTCTCTCTCTCTCTCTCTCTCTCTCTCTCTCTCTCTCACCCTCTCTCTCACCCTCTCCCTCTTCTCATGCGTGCTTAGATGAGTTACCATGCAAGCAAATGTTTTCGTGCAAAGATCTGGAGCAGTGACGCAGCGTTGGTATAGTGGAGGAACCTGGATCGCGGGTACTACCAGGCAGGCCCTGCTAGTTCCGTGTGACTCTTATTCTCGCGATTGAGGCGCCATGGGATTTTCTGTTAGTCGGGCCCTCTGTCCAGGTGTATCGGTCTGTGCCATTGGCGCATAACAACGGGCGACGGGCACATGTGGACATCTGCAGTCGAGCGGAGACAAGTGGCATCAGTGTCTCGCGTTTCTAGTCTGCCCGTTGACAGCGAGTCAAAACCGTGCTTGTGTGAACAAGAGTTGGACTGCCGGTATATGATTGTAGCAAGAGGCTGATGCTGATGACGGCGGCTGAGAAGACAGCAGAATCCGCTGACGACTCTGTTCGGGTACGGCGACCGATAGAGTGAGCCTGTAGGGCGCCATGTCGTCAATGAGCCGATCTGACAGACATTGGGAGATGTTTAACGGGCAGCGTAAGTGGAAGTCTGCAGTCATCTCGTCCGTTGCTTCATCTCTGTGTGCCGTGAGGGTGTGCAACTGCCGCTGTCGTCATTGGATGGGTAAGCAGCTGAAACTGTTATTTGCGCTTCGGGGCACGGTGGCCGTTCACATTGCAGAGTTGGTCGTCTATTGTCCAGAGGCGGCGAGATATGAAGTCGGCTCAGCTGCCTGGCTAGGCGGGAAGCAGGAGAAAAGCAACCCACTCGCCGCAGCCGAGATGGGTCCAGCATTGCTGGATCCGTGCGTGTCCGTATCTGGGCTTCCCGTGGTGCACCGATAGCCGTATCGGAGATATTGCTGTCAAAGTCGATGGCTGGGCCGAGCTATGGCCTTCTGGTGGACTGAGCAGGAGGTTGGGCCAGGTTAGGATGTGCTCAAATGATCTATGGAGGGGGGGCAAGGCCGCTTGTGTTGAAGAACTGGTGGTGGTTTGTGACAGTGGCGACAAGTGGTAGGTGGTGGAGAAGAATCGTGGAGACCTTGGGCTATGGGGCCTATGGGTGGCTCGGTGAGGAAGCAAATGCCCACTCCAGATTGGACTGTGACAAGGTGGAGTCTGTGCCCAGGGCTCGGAACCTGGAACGAAAGACAGGGCTCAAGACGGAGTGACATGACAGCTGGCCGTGATTCGGTCATGGCTTCCTGTGATGCGGCGGCGGGGTGGGTGGATGCCATCCATGGACCATGGTCGTAGTTCCAATGTTGTTGCGGCCGCCGGTCCACGTCGATTTCTCGAAAAGACAACCCGATAATACCTTAGTGTACAGATGCGGATAAGGAAAGAAGAAAGGCCCGAGAATCAAGGCAACAGGGGTCCTTCCGTCCTGCGCTTCGCAGGTAGGCACGGCGGTACCTGGCCCCGAGTACCTAAGGTAAGGTAGACTGTTGCTGGTGGGGCGGGGTCCTGCTTTTGACGCTTCATTGGTGACCACGTACTGACAGCTTGAGGATGCGGATTGTGGATCGTGCCTTCTCTTGGTGTCTCTCTTGTTCTTTCTACGGATACGCGAGTGCTAGGAATTCGAATGGGAAGCAGCAATATGAAGCTGCCCTGGCAGCAGGAGAGGCTTTACCACAGCTGGTCGTACCTTCTTACAACTGCAGGACGGTGCGACGAAATGGGTCTTACCGCACTGTGCCTGGTGGGATCTGGACAGTGGCACGATTGCCTACCTTACTAAGTACGATATGTAACAAATTTTTGTCTCCACTCCCGCTGACTTAGGAACGTACCCTACCAATCCAGCCTGGGGACGGGTGGCCTCTCACCCCAACCCAACGTTGCTTCTCGTCTCTCAAACACTGGACACAAAAACAGACACGGCAGAGGTGGGATAAAGTACTACCTACTACTTTTGCGGCTTGCCTTACCAGCACGATCCACGACACAACTACGAATTGCCTTGCATCTGCTCCATGCACTGGGCCCTGTCCTGCTGCACCTCGACCTCCAAGCCCTTCCCTTGGGTGCTTGGGTGCTTGGGTAGCTGCACTTGCACTTGCACATTTCCCAGCACCTACGGATACACTTGCACTTACTTGCCTTGCAGCTTGATGCAGCAGCGCTAGCGTGCAAAAGGCAGTGCGCCGCCTTTCTCGCCAGCCAATCACAATCCGCTTCGCGACAACGCCCTTGCTCCCCCAGCTTCATGCCCAGTGGCGGGCTCCCAAATCGATCGGCTGTTTTTGCTTACGGCATGCTCCCTCAATGGCTGTGTCCATCTGCGCTCTGCTCTGGCTTTATCTCGTCGACCCGTCGGGGCTCAGCCGATGCTATGCTGCACTATCCAATTTCAAGCCATGTTGAGCAATATCTCGATGCTTTGTCTGTTGCCACGCTCTTCTTCCTCTACTCGCCCTTGGCTGTCGCCTCTGCGAACGAGAACGCATATTGGGCAATGGACCACTGCCACATGCCGAATCACAGATGAGCAACAAATGAGCATGGTAGCTTGCCATTGGACGTCGGCTGGCCCATCAGATACCCGACGCGCTGATGCTGATGCAAGTCGTCTGCACTCTGCAACATGCAAAGAGAAACGGGCCTGGTGCAGCGACAAGAAGACGCATGCAATCCGGCCATGGCCCCATCGGCCACCGACGCTGGCACGATGCAATGTAATGAACGGATGCTTCAGCCTCCAGAAACCCATCATTTTACCTTGCCTTAGCTTTCACGGCGGCCTGCTATCTGCCCCCAGTAGGGATCATTACGGATATCAAAGTGACCACAAGACTTGGATCGCTAATTTTGCTGGCCTACCTCTTAGGTGTGACGGCAAGGGAACTCCATCGGCGAGCAGAGCACACTCGTATTCATGGATGGATGGCATCGAAATACCCAAGGAAAACCCAAGCATCAGCATATCGTCGGTTTCCAAGGCGGATTATCACTCCATACACACGAACCGCAGACTGAATGATGAACCACAGCTAGCCTGACCTCATCTTGCCGCTTCGATGATACCTCACTCATCATTTGCATGGGGCTACGGGCTGCTTAACTTGCGCCGGATTGGCTACGACGCAAAAACCCCTACCTCACATACATGCAAGCACACGCACAACCCTCATGCCTGCTTTCTCCGTGCCTCCTACAGATCAATACAACTCATCTGCATCCACGAAAGGCGAGAAACTTCGGTACCTGCTCTACCCGGCTTTCTTCGTGTGGCCCGAGGTACAGAGTAGTCCCGCCGGGCTCTGCGGCGGAAGATGTACCTGCCCAACCCGGCTGACCACGAGGCACCGTGTTGGATACGGAGAACCCTGATCGGCGTCCCTCGGTACCGATGTATCCAAGTATCTCCCATCGCTCTGCCACTCTGCGTCGCCTCACAGACGTGTGTCAATTGCAGCCATCCATCGGGGACTGGACCGTTGTTTCTTTTTCCTGCCACGGAGGGGCTATCGCTGAGGTGAGGGTGCCACGCACAACCACGATGCTTTCTTCAGTGCCCCGGAATTGCCCCTCCAAAAGAAGCCCGGGGTCATCAGCTGCACGGCCACTTCGTCCTCCGGCTATCGGTCGTGATCTACCTCGGAGGTATCTGCCATTGGCTGGAGCCGACGGTCGCAATTGTCAGCACACCGATTCGAGTGAGCGACAGCGGCCTGACCTGGTCGCTTGTGTTTCGCATTTCATCGCAATGGCTCATGTCAAGCAGAGCGGGAACGAAACCATCGCTGGCCAAACCGCATACACCCTCCTCAGTCGCAGCGCCAGCTTCTACAGCTGGATGCGTACCAATGTCAATGCCGGGCAAACCGGACCAGCCAGGCACAGAATGGAAAGACTGCGAGAGAAAAGAACTAAAAAGGGTGTGTCGCTTTGGTCGTACGTATCCGTCGTGCCACGCCAGGCCGGTGTAGTGTGCGACACCACTCAATTAGCTACCCTACCTTAGCACTCACACCTCACCGGGCGTCACATACCGTCTTTGCTTCGGATCATGTCCTAGCTGAGCCTCAGTGGGAAACTCAATTTCACAGCGGACACTCAACCGGGCCAGGCTTGGCCTGCGTCTGGAACAACCCCGGGCCATGAGAGATCCAGAGCGGGATCCTCCATCCAATCCACTCTGCCATTGAACCAGCCAACGACAGGCCTAGCATGTCGAGTTATGCGACTGGACGCGGGCTGCCCTGTCTCGACTGGACCAATGGGTACGGAGTACAGATACTTTGCACTCCGTGCGGATAACACGAAAGCTGAAACTATGAGGGACTGGGCAGATGCTCTATTTCCGAATATCTGCCCTGGCCTCACGTACCTTACCATGTATGCGGATGGATTGTGTGTGTGTGTGTGTGTGAGAGAGAGAGAGCCATGGCACGGCAGCTATTGTGCGGCGACTTTGGCAGGGGCGGGTGGGCGAACAACCAACCACAGTAGCGGCCGCGGCGATGGATGACGGACGTACTGAGCGAGCTCCGACAGACAGATGTCAGTGGATGCGCCTACATCATGACAGGGCGATACAGCATCTTGAGGTCGCAGAGCGGTTCAAAGCATGTCTTCTGGCTATGTGGCATGCTGTGCTCACGAGAGCCTGGGATGGGCTGGTTGAACGTTAGCGGGAACGGCTTCGTGCCGATTCACCATGTACAGCGACAATAGGCAAAAGTCAGTCTGTCCGTCTGATTCCTCTATCACGGCAAGCCTTCTGCCTCACGGCCTCTTATTGGTATCAGTCGAATAAGCTCGCAGAGGCTCACGCGTCGGGCCCAGGTCTCGTCGCCTTGCCGAGCTGTCCGACCCTCCGATACAGGTGTAGCATGTCTATTTCGCCATCGGCCCAGTCCCCCCCCGAGCGATAAGCCTGGCACGCCTAGAGAAGGCACAGACGGAAGAGCCTTGTCTGCTGATGGATAGGACGGCCTAGTTCACGTAGTTGAATCCGCATAGCATCTTGAAATCGCCCGCTCACGCACGTCAAACGCCAGCATTAAGCAGGCTGTCTTGGGAGAGAGAACAGAGCTTTTGGCGCACGGGACGTGGTCTCCAGACCCGATTACGTAGGTAACACGCCCGAGCCCATGTCCATGTCGATATTCGCAGCCCTGTCCCCTTTGTCCAAAGTGATTCAGGCTTCAGGCTTCAAAATTCCCGATTCCGTGGTGAATTAAATCTTTGGCGAGGTGGCCCGGTCTGAAGCGCGGCGTGCTGCATTCAGCCTGCAACGGTCCCCCCTACCAGCCTCTCCTTGTTTCCTCTCAACTGGTGTCCCCCTGACCAGTCTCTCCTGGGGGCTAGCCTGGGCGGGACTATAGCCAGGTAACCTGCAAGCGGGAATGAAGCTGTTGGTGGAAACATACCTATGTGCTAGGCTAGGGTAGCGATTCATAAAACTGCGTAGTGTAGTGGAAGCAGACGCTATTTCCTTTGGCCGGGGAATGCAGGATGGCGAGCAGAAAGTATATAGGAGATTTCCAGACAAGATGGAACGCAGGACTATTACCTTTTTTTCTCTCCTTATCTTCAACTGGCGTAGAAGGGCCAGCGAGAGTAGAATGCCTCGCGGAACTCGTGGGAGATGAATTTGCTTCCGTGTTTTACTGGTCTTGGTCTCTATGCGTATTCAGCATTCACGCCTACCATGTACAGCCTGCTTGCACTTCCCTCCCTGGGGCTCGCTATGTCATGTGCTCCGTCCATTTGTCGGCGGTGAGGCACGCGCCTCTGCAGCATACGTTGACTCGGCTCATTGCGGATACATAATATGTCAAGTGCCTCAGCCCACCGGTTTTCCGCAACCTTGGCCAGCAGCCTTCTTGCCCTCACTGCAAGTCGTAATCGTCAAGAAGCAATCAGGAAGCAATGGGATCCAGAAGCTGAGGTAGCCGGAAGTCCAGTAAGTTTCAAAGAGCTTCGTGGGCAAGGTGATGCCCCGCTACGCTCCCCACTACAGCCGGGACGGGGATGTTCAAGAGACCGCTGATTGGTGACGGACTCGAGCTCCCCAGAGGCATGTACCTCATTTAGGTAGTCATTGGACGGAGAGCAAGAAAGAAAGAAGGGAAACAGGAAGGAATGGTGGACTAAATGTGTCCCTTGTGGAGGAGGTACTTTGTCCTTCTCGGTCAAGCGATGCCGCCGCACTGTGCTCAGGCTATGTTTGTCATGTACAACTGACCTTGCCATACCGGGCTACCTTACCATACCACTTACCTACCAAGTAGTGTAGGTAGGTACGGTTCCTAGGTAGATTATCAAGAAGCAAGTGCCCACAGCTGCCTGCCTCACCGTGCCTTGCTTCTCTTGTCCAATGCAATGCTCTGCGCCGTCCGTATCTTGAGAGCGCGGAGTGCTTGTTATGATACTGGCACGAGTATTGGGGCTCTTGTCTCACCATTGCATCTCACAACTTTGGTCCGCTCCAACTCATGGAAAGATTCCTCAAGACAATGTCTACAGAGGTCTACAGAGATCAAAGGGGAAGGCCTTGGCGGATAAAGTAGCGCGTGGTCTGCGGCTGCAGACTGAGACCAGGACTGCTGAACTGTCGCTTGTCGCTCTTTCCCATCCATCAAATCTCCCATCCCATCGGCGGACCCTGCTTTCACCTTTTGTGGGGCTTTCTGCGCCCTGTACCCTTCCCATCCCCGGTCTGCGCACAGTATTTCCTAACTGACCGAGGTACTTTGCCTGATGTACCCTTCACGTCCCATCGTCCAAGGTACCTCGCACTAGGTACCCGCCCACACACCCACAACGCACACGCACACACACACACACAGTCTCTCTTTCTCTCCATCTCTGCTCTCTCACACACCAACTCCCGTGGTCCTCGCTCTTTCCTTCTCATTTTGCCCACATATGCGCCGGGCTGGGCTGCGACGAGCATTTCCCTAACAAGTACCTCAACTCCCCCTTCCCACCACTGCTCTTTTGATCCCCTCCTCCCCCTTCTTCTTTCTTCCCCCAAGCAACTGCTTCGACCGGTGGGAATTGTTCGTTCGACGAAAGCTTCAAGAGCTCTCTCCAGCCATACGAGGAACGAAAAGAGAGTGACAAAGGACAAAGACTGAGGAACCTTTTGCTGACCTGTTTCTCCTCTCTCTCCGACTCCGACTTTTTACCTTTCCTCTATATCCTGGCTTGGAATTAGCATGCCAACTACGGCTCCCAACAGCGACTTCTCCCTCTTGTCTTCCTCTTCCTCCTACTAAACACCGCTCCCCGAAACAACCTGGGCGCTCCTTTCCCGTCCCCATCCACCCCGCCATCCCTCACCAGTCCTTCTCACACACTACACATCTCACACACCTCTCACACCTATCACACCTCTCACACATACGCACACGCACACACATTCAGTCTTTCTCTCTGTGTCTCTCTCTCTAGTACACTTTCCTATCTGCTCTATCTATCTCTCTCACTTGCCGCTGTTGCGCACTCCCGCCCGCCGAGCTGCGCCCAAGCCCCCAAAAGCAACCCGACCTTTCTTCAACCTACCCACCCACCCACCTCTCTCTACCTTCTTCCTTCCTGCCTTTACGATCACGACGAACTACGATTACGAACTTCTCCAGACAATGGCTATGAACGACAGCGAGGCCAAGGTCGAAAAGAACACAAACATGACTACTCCCGCCTCAACCCCGGCCGCCGCTGCCGCCAGCAGCGCTGCCCCAACCACCGAAGACAGTGGTATGAGTTGCACCTCACCTTGCCCACCCCTCCAAAAACTGCCCCTCCTGTTCCCACCCGCATGTCCCGCCATTCAATCCCACCACCCGCCGCCCATGGCTTTCTGAGGAATGCAATGCAATCGACCCTTTGTTTGAATGGACACAACTCGAGCTGACATTTTGTTGCAATCTTTTTTCAGTAGCTTCTACCATCACCGTCAACACGAAGACGCCTGCCAATTTCCCTCCTCCCAAGACCGATAAGCCCCGCCCCCATGTGTGCGCGACTTGTCAGCGCTCTTTCGCCCGATTGGAGCATCTGAAACGCCACGAGCGTTCCCACACTAAGGAGAAGCCCTTCGAGTGTCCCGAGTGCACAAGATGCTTTGCCCGTCGCGATCTGCTGCTGAGACACCAGCAGAAGCTTCATCAGACCACGACACCCTCGTCCCGTCCTCGCAATCGTCGTGAGAGCGCCAGCAGCGCTGCACCTGGGGCACGGGCTCGTAAGAACAGCGTCGCCGGCCCCAATGCAGCCGCCGCTGCGAACGCCGCCGCCGCCGCTTCCATGCGACCTAGGGCAAACACCATCAGCCATGTCGACGGCAATGCGATGCAGATGATTGCCGCGGCCAACGCTCAGGTAGCGCGGGGCATGCCTCCCGGCACACACAGCCGTCACCCCAGTCTCGCGGGGTTACCCGTGCACAACATGGACTTTGGCGGCATGTCAGCCGCGATGGGTCACAGAGGCATGTCCCACGGTCTGCCCAAGCTCGAGACTCACGGCATCAACAATATGGACTTCAGCGGCTTGCGGACCGCGCCTCCCATGGCCGTTTTCAACCCCGACTTTGACTTCGAGGGTCTGCTGTTCGGCCCGGGCTCCACCATCAACCCTAACGCTCTCCACTACAATGATTCGCCGCAATCCATGGCCATGGACCAAGCTTCGCCGTTTCCCCACGGCCTGGCGGGCGATATGTCGACGACGCAATTGGACGACAGCTTCGACTGGCTGACCGGCTTCGAGCACCAGATGTCATTTCAGGGCGCCGACAATGCCGTAGACGGCTCGAGTCCCTCGGCAATTAGCACCACCAGCCAAAGTGGCATTAGCGACGTGATGGTGGACGGCTCCAATCATCACCCTGCCCCCGCAGGCACAAGTTCAATGTGGCAACCGGCCGTTATGGGTCCTCCCCAGGTCCCGAACCCGTTTGCCATGGATCTAAATGGTTCGGTCTTCCCAGATCTCTTAAACGGAGCACCCGTCTCACCACAACCTGCTGCGCAGAAAATGAACGATGCCTATTTCTCGACGCCGCCTCCCTCTCTTAGCTCCCTTAGTCCGTCGATGGTTTCCGGACTCAACACGCAAAACCTCAACCAAGCGCTCAACTTCAACGGAGGGCCAGAGACGCCTTCGTCCTTGAACGGCGGTAACCACGGTGTGTCGCCCGTCTCCACCATTACGGAAACGACCCGAGGTGCCATTGTTGGTGCTCTTTCGCAGTGCTCTCCCTTTGGTGGACGGAGATACTCATTTGCGACTCCAAGCTCGCCAATGTCGCCGGGCTTTCAGAACACGGCCAACAGTGTTCCAGACCATGTAAAGAATTTACCTAGCACTCAAGACTTACAACGATATGTTGGCGCTTACCTTCGTTACTTCCACCCTCATCTGCCGTTCTTGCACATTCCCACTTTGACTTTTGAGATGCCACCCACCGCTGCCAACCGATCCAACACTGTGGGGGGGAGCGGGTGTCTCATTCTTTCCATGTCTGCCATTGGAGCCTTGTACGAAATGGACCACGTCCAATCTCGGGAACTTTTCGAGATGGCCAAGAAAATGATACAACTGTACCTTGAGGAAAGGCGGAAAGCCGACGTGAGAAAAGCCGACTTGCGGAGAGCTCCGGCATCTGAACCGACGTCTCACAGCCAGGAACCCTCTGTTCACACCCCGGTATGGTTGGTGCAAGCCATGCTTTTGAATGTCGTCTACGGCCACAACTGCGGAGACAAGACGGCTAGCGACATCGCCTCCACCCACTGTGCTGCTCTCGTCAGCCTGGCCCAGGCTGCCGACCTGCTCCGCCCCATTCGCGTGGATTCCACCGAGGCTCATGATACCCATATGCATGACAATACGTGGAGCGGCCTTAAGTCGGACTCCGAGGAGCAAGCAGAGTGGCTCCAATGGAAGATTATGGAGGAACGCAAGCGTACTCTGTACGTCGTCTTCATCCTCTCGAGCCTCTTGGTTGCGGCATACAACCACACTCCAGCACTGACCAACTCGGAGATCCTGCTCGATTTGCCCTGCGATGAGGACTTCTTTGCTGCCGAGAGCGCTACGGCGTTCGCTGCCAAGGGTGGTATCCGCGCCGCAAACCACAACCGGATGACCTTTCACGAAGCTCTGGGCGACCTGCTCAGGTCTAATGAAAAGCAACAGAAGCAGCTTGCCTTCCAGAACGGACAGCAGGCATTCGGGCAGGGAAGCATGAATGATCTCAAGAGCGATCTCAAACCGTCAACGTTTGGCTGTCTCATCTTGATCAATGCACTGCACAATTACATCTGGGAGACGCGCCAACGCCACCACAACAAGGTATGGACCAATGAGGAAACCGAAAAGATGCATCGCCACATCGAGCCCGCTCTGAAAGCCTGGCAAGCAGCCTGGGCAAGCAACCCGAACCACAGTCTCGAGAGACCGAATCCCTTTGGGCTTGGGCCGTTGTCTGCCGACGCCATTCCGCTTCTCGACTTGGCCTATGTGCGGCTTTTTGTGAACCTAGCCCGCTCCAAGGAGAAGTTTTGGCAACGCGATTGGGATGCCATGGCCGACGAACTCTCACGAGGCAGCGAGATTGTCCAGCACGCAGAGCATTCGCCCGCCTCCAACCCGGAATCGACAGGCACCGATCATTCCGACAATTCGGTTTCGAGCTCTGTTTTCATTGAGTCCCCGGCAACCCAGTCGTCGTCATCTCCAGAATTTTCTGCTGTCAAGTTCCCGTCTCAGGCTCAGACTGCACCAAGTCGATCCACCTCTCGCAGGGAGAAGCATCTCCGTAAAGCCGCCTTTTACGCGGCGGACTCTCTGGCCATGTCCGACAAGTTGGGTGTCACATTTGCCGACTTCTCTAGCCGAGAACTGCCATTGCAGTCTGCCATGTGCGCGTTTGATTGTGCTCAAGTCTTGGCCGAATGGGTGGCAACTTTGCAAGATCGAGTCGGCCGATACCTGGGAATTCTTGGTCAAGATGATGTTGACCTATCGCAAGTTCCGGCGATCATGCTGCTGGAAGAGGAAGACGTCAAGCTACTGGGAAAGGTTGAGGAGGTGCTGGCTTCTGCAGAGATGAAGATGAATTTCGAGCTTGTTCAGGGCAACGTTGCAGGCGTTGATACTAGGATGCAGATGGACGACCACGCAGGCTACGCGGCCAAGATCCTCAGAGTCACGGCTTACATGCTTGACCAAGCCGCCGTGTGGCCAGGTAAGCGTCGCTCGCTACCGCACAATGGGCGCAGCCCTGCTAACCCTTGATAGTCACTCACCTGATGGCCCGATGCCTGGAGACTCATGCCACTCACATGCGAGCTAGAGCCGAGAAGTCTGTGATTCCCTGCGAGTAGGATGTCTGCACGAGGCTTTTGAGAATGCACATCATGCTGGACAAAAAGAGACGATGTTGGGCTCCGGTTTATTCGACGAGAAGGGAAAGTTCAAGGTCGCCGGCGACTAGTCTAAGTTGCTAAGGATACATCGATGAAGAAGGAGAAAGCCCGACGGAAGCCAAAAAGGGGCCGGATGCCGAAGAGCGAGAAAGATCACGATACATGGAAGCGACAACCAAAAATACCCCGACGCTTTTGTGGGAAAAGCCAAAAGTTTCTAAATGACGTTACGACGGGTTCCTGGCTAGGGAACCCATTTCAAAGCACGGCGCAAAACGAAGCCGCCAATTGTTTACGTTTACGTTGACGTTGCTGACCGATCTGGATATACAACCAGAACACGAAGCGGCGACTAACATTGTATATCAAAAAAATGCCTGGACAACCGGGCCACTTGGACTATTTGAGCACACGGATCGGCCATTCTGCCTTGAACAAGCTCCTTGGATGCTCAATCTTATCCAAGGAGTCTTCTTGGCAGAAAGAAGCCTGCTTGAAGGGGATTTTTGTATGACTTTGGATTGGGTTCGGTAGGGGTGGCGTTGATTTTTCATTCCAATTCTTGTGCGGATGTGGCGTACTGGCTCTGAGCTCGAGCCCGGCAAGTCAAACCTTGTCTGAGACAGTTTTCCGCAATATGGGTGGCACAGTTCCATCCGCTTTACTAGTCTCTTTCACGGCACTGTCGCATCTCACGGGCACTGCAAACGTTCTGCTGATAGGCAAGACCGCGGCTGGAGAAGAGTGGTTTAAGAAAGCTTCGCTTACCCTATAGTCTTTGATCAAAACTCGAGTTTTGCGGCTAGCTATGGACAGGTCGCTTTTTGTGGTACTTCAAATGTAGCAACATACAGGGTGGGAAGTCAATCGAGGTTGGGTATGGGCGGTCCGTTGGAAGTCCCTGCGCAGGAAGTTCGGTATCTTTGATTGAATGGATGTGATGCGAGATACCGGGCTGATATCGAGAAGTGGCTGTATGTAAAGTCATCATTTGCTTTACAGGTCGGCAAAGTCAGATGTTGGAAGGGCTTGGACCAAGATATACCGGCAGGGACAGGCTCGTAGACGGACCTGTTGAAAATGGATAAGGAACAAAATACAGTTAAAAGTACATGAGAAGAGTGACGAAGCCACACTATGGCCCTCCTGTCTGTGAGTAGGTCCTTCTTTGCTTGTACATGTAAAGGAATTCCAACACGGGGGTACAACAAGTCATGAGAGTTACCTTGGGACAGGAGTGTTTAGAAGTAAGTGGGTTCAATTTGTGTGGTCTCAACTTTCCAGGGAAAATGTTCGTCGTGGGGGGCCTGCGATCTGCTACCCCCTTGTGTCATCGATCTCTGTATCCCAACTCGAAGTCAACACAAATCTCGCGTACCCACGGGGGGTGGGGTGGGGTTGTTGCTTAAAGAAATGACAGTTGATTCACTGCTTGGGTCTACATCTATAAAAGGCCAGTTCGCTCCGCTAAAAAAACAAAACCTTCTCCCAACCACCATCCCAGATGCGCTCAGCAGGGCTTCAGCAGGGCTGGAACGTAGGCTTAAAGTCCGTGTGATTGAACGGTTGAGGAAAAGCGGCGGCGAGACAATCCGTCCCAAACTTGTTCTTTTCATTGGAGATGCAGCACTTTTGGTTCCCCTTGAGAGCGGCGTCAATGTCGCCGTCTTTGCAGGCGGCCTCGGTGAGGTTGGCGGTGAGGGCGCCGCTGGGCTCGTATCGTCCTTTGTCGGTCCCCGTGCTGATTGTGCCGGCGCATTGCACGCGGTCTGCTGCTTTGCTGGTGCAGGCGAGGGGATGTCAGTCTTGAGTTTTCAGGCTGGATGGTTTTGATCTGGTGTGGCGTATGGAAATGTGTAGTATGTGGAGAGGGAGGTGGCCGCACTTACACTGAGAGAGCTGCTGTGGCGATGGTGGCAAGAATGGTTGTGAACTTCATTTTGAAGGACTGCGGGAGATGTTTTTTGGCAATGTACTTCGGTTTTGTAAGAGTGAACGTAGTACTGTTTAAGAGTGAGTGACTTTAGTCTACCAGGACGACGTGATGAAATGATTGATGTGGGTGATGGTCAAAAGCAGAACGAGGCTGGGCCATCGTTATGTTTAAGTATTATCCGCGTCCCACGATCTCCAGCAGCGCAAGCGGCATTGTTGGTCGGGGTCCTGTTTCCAGCAAACGGCACCGCCGATGGCAGCACAGAAGGGAACTTGAAACGAGCCTCGTCGGCAACTATTTCGCGCAGCTTGAAGCTGACTATATTATCGTGTTATAGACCCATGAGAAGAGCGTGACTCTTTTGCGTTTGTTCGTATGGTGTGGTTCCGGTCGGTCGTTCGGTTGGAGGTGGTTTGCCGCATTACCCGTTGCGGTTGTGCTCAGCTTTCCCTGCCAATATTGAATCGCGTTGGAATTAGAACCGGGACCTCCTTTGCTTTGCGAAGCAGAGGTTTCAGCAGCCGGAACTCAATTGTGTGCCATAATTAGCCGCGCAAATCGTTGCGATCGCTGTCAAATTTCGTGCCGAGATCGAACGAACACTCTTGCCCCTGCCTCTTCCGTCGCGTTTGATATAGTTCAAACTTGGCCCTACTGACTCAATTCACGACATGACAATCTGGGGAACGGACAGGCTCGGCGTGGTGCTAACGTCGGGGTTGAGCCAAAGGTGCATTAGGTTGAAAGTAATTCCAATCTTAAATCTGGCCAGTCAGTCAACAAAGGGCGTTTGGAAAGCATCAACTCGTCGCTTTCCCATCATCCGGATATCCATCTTGATACCGTCCCCGGGACCCTCGAGTCATGGCTCAGGCAAGTGCCGCGAACTTTATCTCGGATGAGGAATGCTGGCCGCTGCGGGCGAGCTGCCCCCCTTACGGGGGAGAGCAACAGTTCCATGTCCACTTGGGACGAATCTCTAAGCATCGAAGTGGCTTAGCTCAACCTCCTTCAAGACGCTTAGTTCCACCTCGGATTTCCTCCTGCTGTTGGAATGGGTTGGGAACCGATCGGTGTATAAACAGGATGAACATGGTCGACACGCCAGTCAATCCGAGTCATTTCCATTGGGGCGGCCCTGAGCACACTGGGATATGATCTTCCCGTGCATCCTTGAAGCCACATACACTTATTTCTTGTAGCCCTGAGATAGACAACGTACCTCGAGGTTTATGGTCAAGTTGTCAACTTGGGATAGTAAAACTTATAACAAGCAAGTCACACAATAAGGTCATTTTGCTCAAGGTCCGCGGCTCGTAATGTGTTGGGTGTGCCTGTATGCATAATCTCTCTCCCGAACGACTCGCATTACCGCCATCGGACGAAGTCAGACATGAGTGGGGACGGAGCTTGGGCCAGCTTGATCGGCTGGGCGAGACAGATATATGAGAGCGATCCCGGGATCTCTGGTTAAAAGGGGTCCCCATAGGACAGTGTCACGGCTATACGGCAGCGAGACAGGCCTCCTGAATGACTACATAGTATAGCAGCGTAGTCCCGCGGACTCCCAAACCAGGGTATCCATGGAAAATGGCCAGCAAATCCAGCTTTTGGTTAAAGCCTGTATTGATCAAGTCAAGACTTCTTGCCAGAACGACCAGACACTATTGGATAGCAAGTGGACTATAGAAGAGCGAGAACCTCGGAATGCCCAGAAACGCCGAGGTCTATGCAGAATAGCGGCGTAAAAGGATACAACGACGAGAGCTTTCGGTTCATGCTGGATCCGTAGAGTGCCACCCATCTCAAATTCTGTGTAGGATCGTCCGAAGCCGAACTCCTCCTGGGGCTCGATGTCCCTCGTAACCAAGTGTGGCTAGTCAATCATATGTCCCTCTTCAAGGAGGGAGTGCCAGGCATCTCGGTTGGCTACGATTGACCATGGGCGGACCGTATTCTGATGAGTTCTACGGGATATGATAGGGAACATGTCCTGGCGGCTTGACAGCGGCCCAAGCACGTCAACGATGGTGCTCCCCGTCTGCTCTCCTGAATAATGAGCCGTGAAAGTGGCCGCCCAAGGGATTACCACTACGCCAGGTCCGCGGATGATGACAACAGTATTGACGCGGTTTGTTCTGGAGCGACCATCCGCCAGCTCGTCGCTGTCGAACACTGCTTGTGCCAAGTGGCTGCTGTCGAGATCCCAGCAAGGAAGACACTGTCATCTTCTGAAAGATAATACGTGCTTAGCCCACCCGAGTAGCACAAGTTGTTCTCCTCCAGCCCCCCAATAGATCCGATCGTGTCAACGCATGGAAGTTTGGGACTGGCGTAACCTCCTGCGGCAAGACCGATCTTCTAGACCGTGTCCAACTGAGACACGTAGTCTTGAGCTGTCGCGGGAGCCTCATCTTAAGCTACTCCAGACTGTCAGCAGTTGCTAGAGGATCAGAGGTAGCGCGTTTAGAGCCGTTGCAAGTTGAAGGGCCGGGGGGCAGTATTTGGCTCAAGTTGGGTCGAAAGAATGTGGCGCTGGCCGCGAGAAACAAGCATCTTCGGAACATGACGTGGAAGAGAATCCCCACTGCCCGCTTAATTGTGCGTCAAGAGTTGCATGTTGAGTATTTCCTATGGTGAAAAGTACTTATAGACACAGGGAATCTTTACTGATATAACTGCCGTGGAATACCCTACCTCGGGATTTGGGTATGCATAGGTAGCTGTATATTAACTATGTAGTGGGCACACCCACGGCCAAGATTAGATCCTCCACAATTCAAGGCTCATAGTTTTCAATAGTAATATGGAGCAGAGATCATCTCTGGGGTAGAAAAGTGCTAGCTATCTATGCACGGGTGCTTGTCACATCGGGCTGGAAACAACTCGTATTGTTGCAGTCTTCAAGCTGGCGAGTTTGAAAGGATTACCCAGGAAATTAATCGCAAACAGCTGTGCTACCTCGATGATTCATCTCACCTTATAGAAAGTAGGTTCTTGTTCTTTGACGGTCCTGCGTCCCAATCTCCAACACGCAATGTCCAGTCCATCAGAGTCCGGTTCTGAAGCTGCATCTTTCACATACGACCATACCCATTGGAAAATTCGGGATCCCGTCCGCTCTCCCATAGACAAGCTAATGAGGGCCGGATTAGTAGTTGGGTCGGTGACGACCAGCGAATACCTGGTGTTGTATGTTTTTTGTTGATTTCGACGTGATGTGTGGATCTTTGAAAGGAGAGGACGTGCTGGATGTAGCACTATTCTATTCTCCTTGCCGACCTGTCCTAAGCAATCCTCTACCAAGTTACAGAACCAAGCCAAACTCTGTGTCTTTCATAAAATTGTACACCTTTTTGTCTGTATTAATGCGTCCAGCATGTCGGCATTAAAGCTATTCGTACGTGGACGTGCCATACATTCCGCGGAACTCTTTTATTCCCATCCCAGCTGGGCACACGCACCGCGACTCATCCTTCCCAGTTTGGACAACCGTAGTGGGCTAGTGGAGAAGCCCCCCGTCCTTCCATGTTCTCCGCACCATGACCCACTTGGCAAGAGCCCCGCCCCGTCCCGTGTCCCACGCTACAGGACCGGACTTTGCCCCTGCCTCCCGGCCTCGTCCTTCTCTGCTTCACCTCGACCTCCCAAGTCGCTCCTCTTCTGATTCTTAAAGATTCAAGAATTTCAGCATCATGGTCGATAACAGGGTTGCACACCTTACCAGCTAGAGATTGCACGACAGTCTTCACAATTTCATCCCAACTCAGCCCACTCTGCAATATCGAATATCATCATCAGCATTCACAAACCAATTATCACCATGACTATTAAAGATGCGATGGTTCTCAACTAGAGCCACGTGAGTAATATTATTCGTAACTAAGAATAAATCCCCCCATTGCTGATGAGGTCTTCGTCGTCTCCACGATGCCTCCGTCGTATCTTCATGTCTGAGCGCAGGCGTTCGATCCGGCATAGGAGATGCTCTGCAAATGCACGGTGATCTCTAACCAAGTCATCCCAATTACGCATCAACAAGTCTGACCCGTCCACGTCGACAAAGCTATTGTTTGCATCAGTCCTCAAGCTGCAAAGATCTTCCAACGAAGACTTCAGAGAACTTTTCCAAGACCGTAATATCATGTCTCGGTCGCCATCTTCATCTGAGCGTGTTTCCATCTGTGACTGATGATCAGCGAGGGCTACGATTCCCGGCCTTGACGTAAATCTCATACTGCCCATGAAAGTTCATTCAGAGACGAGGTCCACCCGTCAAACCACTGCTGGAGAAGGTGGTCGAGCAACGACTGGAACACTGCGACTCCTTTGAGTGCGTCGCACACATCTGCTGCGCATCGATTCCAGAGTTGGTCTCCGCTCAGGTGCTCCCCCAAGAAGTGCGGCGAGTCGGCAAGTGTGACGAGGTTGAAAAGTGGGTTGTCAAGTCTTAGGGAAGTTGTTAAAGATATCGAGACTCTTTCTTCGACAAGATGCTTTTCCAGGGAGCCCGTTGGCGGCTGCCTTTGAAGGGAAATCTTCTCGCGACATATTGCCTGTCCTTCGCTACGGACTGGGAGATCCAATTGGGTGATGAGAGTTTGGGAGTTTGAGGGATAGCGGACGTGAAACTGGATATGGGCTTCGTTCTTCTCCAAGCGACAGTCTTTGAAGCAACATTGCTCCGAGCAACACTGTTTTTCGCAGCATCCGGCAACACAGCACCTCTTCAAACAGCAATTTGAAGAACAGTCATTCCTCACGCAGCGTTCCTCCATGCGGCACCAGCGGCTCCATGGCTGGTTCGGCCACCTTCCCGCATATTTTCTGAGAAAAGCAAACCCGCATCTCGCCAAGTGCTTGGTGTGCTCATATTTCCCAGATACTACGTGAACCAATATCAGGGCTTCCAAAGACTCGGTGATGACCGGCTCTTGCGGGGTTATCAGCCTATGATACTTGATGATTAGCATTACCATAAGTTTCAGTAATGAAAGAACCTTTTTTTTACCAGACTCTGCCAGAAATTTTGACCTGTGGTACTGCAATTTCTGACCAATCTTGGCGAAGGGAGCCATCCCTCACTCGAAATTTCCAGAACACCCGCTGTGGTTGCCGTTCGTGGCAAGCAAGCTCAGTCAAAACCAAGCGTGCGCCTGGATAGAACCCCCAATCCTCATTGAAATGACCAGGGTCGTTCCGAACAGATTGAGGAGCACACGGTGGCCATTTAGGTGCCCTTTCGTGAATGTCCCAAACCTCGGGATCGGAGACATTCCCCATTAAAGGTATGTACTCTTGTCGAATTTGTGCCCGGTCGCCTTGTTCCCATGTTTTCAAGTAGATCAATGTGGGTAATCTCTCGTCGTGCAATGGGGACTCCAAGCCGAATCGCTGTCTCACTCCATTGATTTCCGGTTCAAGCCCATGGACGAAAACATCTTTGTATACTGATTCCAGTTCCTCCGATACCTCTTTCGAGAACACTTGCCTGCTCCAAAATGTCTCCATGTCTCCTTCGTGGTAGGTGTAACTAGTTGGTCTGGCCAAATATCTGCGACTAGAGAGTCCTTGTCCTGGAAACAAATCTGTCTTGCAATCTCGGAGACGGCACTTCGTCTACGATGTCGTCCAATTGATTGCTCCAAAGTGCGTCTAGACGGATGGTCCGGATTTTGAGAGGTTTGAGGGGCGTTTCTGGTCGCGTCACGATAGCTCGAGTGAGAAAATTAAAGGCCTCGTGCTTGATGTTAAGTCAATGGCCATTACATAGGCTATTGCTTATGAAAAAGAAACGGGGGAGTGCATGCGTGTTCCGAACGATGCTGGACTTTCCAGGGCGTCTATTTCTCCTTTTTGTAAACTCTCGGGGGCTTGACCAGAGAAATCCAGGAAATTTGATGTGCATAGCAAAGGGTTGGTCAATTGAGTCGTCAATAGTCAACTGCAGACGCCTCATTTCTTAGTAACGCGTCGTTCCAGAGGCATAATTTGTAAATCTCACCGCAAATCGGCACCGATCAAAAAAGCCTCATGTTTGAACACGGATTGAATGAGGCGCATCCATGGGGAACGACCAACTACGGGCATATGCACGCAACGTGATGGAACCAAGCCTGTGAAACCAACCACACCCAGTATTGGTCTCCCTGCTTGCAGAAGGCAATTCATCCGTCACCATGGAAAGCCCTGAAGCTGGAGATAGGCCTCTAATGCAGTAAGTCCTGCCATAGATGCAACGAGAGGTCGAGCACCTTTCACCGCCTTTGCAGGACGCATGCAGGATATCAAACGGTACGACCAGCACTTCAAATTCTTTTTTTCAGTTCTCGCAGCATCTGTACTCCCTTTCGGTTGGGGGTTCTACCGTCGAAGAAGATGATCGCGCCATTAAACCTCAGTCACGATATCTTAAGAACTTCTAGCATAAGCAAAAGACACGCACTCACGTATAGCTGTTGCGCTCTGCGGAGGCGGAGAAATTAATGTGAGGCGATATGTGAACTAATGTCACTTGCATCAAAAGTACTTGAGGAAAGTAGGAGATATCACACCATCAATCGAATAAAACCGCTCAACAAACACCTAGGCTGTTACTATCTCGGTGGTTAAAGAAGGTGGCGGCAGCGGAAGGTATCTATTGCTGCAGCGACAACTGTGAAAATAAGGCTTGTGAACAGATTCTCGACGGGCGAAAAACGTTGGCAGGTTGGTGCTTCACTCGTCGCGATTTGAGGAACTTGGTTCACATGCTGCCAATGTCCGGCCTCCTACATGGCACCTCGTGCATCATGCCACGTAGGAGTTCTGCATGTCCACTGCAAAATTCCGTTCTGATGACATCAAAGTATGGATAGGCTTGCCGCAATGGGAGGTGATCTCATGTAAGGTATGTGGCGTATAAGTCGCGCAAGACTGCTGAGGGGAGGTGGCACTGAAAGTCATCGGACAGTCATCGATCGGTGAGGGGCTTCTGTCTGACAGGACGGTTTTTCAATGGCAGCTTCAAAAATGGCGTAAAGAGGAGGGATGTCAGCCCGCACCCGCCGTAGGCATGAGACCTTGGAGACTGCCACGTCTACAATTTCGGAAGCCTTCGCCGCGGAATTGAAGTTGCATGAGCCGCGATCGCCTTCGTACGTAACGAGTTGGGAAAACTGAAAATGCTTATTATGCATGTTGCGCCCTGTACATCACCCAGCGCTGCAGAGCGCAGTAGTTGCTCAAGTACTATGATATATGCGTCCTTCCCAAAAGCTTGTACTGAGTATTTTCCGAATCGCGGGATGGTACAGATAAACCGACAGCTGTGGGCGAACGAATTCTTTGGGGCTGTTGGTGTGCCCGCCAACGATGCAGTCCTCATACCCTGGCAGAACACAGCCGGTGTCTTGCAAGCTATGAAGAGCATGAGACACCAGAGTGCAGAGGCTAAATACCAGCGGAAAATTCACGTGAATTACATGCAAAGTTATGGAAAAGAAATCATCGTGTAAAGTAGGCGTGCTTCCGACAGACGTGCCAGATGTCACCTGTGGGAGCAGGTTTCTGAGGTAATCCACATGCACGTTCGATTGCCATCAAGCAAGCTGATATTCACCTATTTAGACCTAGGTAGTCTCTAAATAGGCGGCTTCTCATGGAAGGGCCAGCGTAAAAGTCAAAGCCGCAAAGTCAGTCACATCTCTTTTCCCACACGCTGCCGCTTTCACAGCGCTCATCGATCAGCTCAACGCTTTTTCTTAAGGTTTGTTTTTGGCAGCAATTGATCCAAGTCGCAGATCACTCATACACCTATGAATCCACACCTAGCCAACTCGATGATGTATCGCGTTAATCAGATCACTGGTCATCTTGTTTGGCTCTATGAAGGTGGCCCAAAGGCACGATGGCATCTCTCCTGCCATGCGTTGGTAATCTCAGGTGAATGGAACTGATGAAGAATCAGATAAACAAAGATGATCACGGAACCAAAGTGATGTTGTGATTAGATTCTGTCACATGATCATGAATAGATTTAAAGTAGGAAGATATGCTTGTTATAGCCTTGGATTGAAGGACTTGTCAGAGGCTCACCACAATCAAAACGACATGTTTTATGACAAATGGGCCCTCAGTTCCGTGAATATCACGCTGAATGAGCAGAATGAGAACGTGGTATCGAGCCGGTGTATTCGTTTCTCTCTAAGAGGACCTCCTCAACCACGTCACTAAATATCCATCGCACAGCGTACACCTATGTCGCATCGTGCCAGACCCTACGATCTCGACATACGTTGAGTGTTGGCCGTGGTTTCGGACATGTCTGTGCGAGCCGTCTCATCTGTAGCACTTTCGCTGAAAACCGAGTGCCCTGCCCAGATTCCCGTCGACATCGTTCCCGTGGAAGTGAGTGATGGCCCTGCCGTGGAATCCATGTTGATAGGTCGCCGGGGAGCTCCCAACCTTGTCTGAAGATCTCGTACGACTGTTTGTTCAAGGTGCTGGCTGATATGCCAAAGCAGAACCTTTTGCGTTTTTCGAACAGTGGACCGACATGGCGCGAGCATCCAGGTTGGATAAATCTTCTGGTGGCTAGCTGACACACCAATGGTGAGGGGATGACGGGATATAAACTCGTGGCAGAGATAGCACGCTTTCTTGCTGGTTCCCATGAATAACAGTCTGGGCGTGAGATCAGGGTTTTGGTCGTAGAAGCTAAGGAGCTGCATCTCGGCATGTGCAGTAAGTGTGGTGTTGCAAGCCCGTCGAAATTTGGCCTCGGGATCGCTCGTCAGCCAAGTTTTGCCCAAGTTCTCTCGTAGCTCCATCGGGTTGGCGTTCGTGATGGATCTAAGTACCGTCAGGAGGGGAAATTTGTCGTCTCCCACAGAGAAAGTTTCTTGCTCAGGCGCTTCAACAGCCTTCACGTGAATGCCAGTGAACACGCCTGGTTGTCTCACAGCCAACTTAAGCATCGCCTTCGTTGCAGTGAAATAGCGGCCAAGCTTATAGACGTGCTTGAGCCATGTGGGCAAGGATCCATCCTGCAGTTCAAATGCTTCTTCAAGCTGCTCCGAGTATACCCATCTGCTGCGAGAAGCCCATTTGACGTAGTGACTGAGCTGCCCCAACCCTGCGCTGTCATTCAAGGATACCAGCAATGGCAGGTCACGCACCCATTGCCTGAAGCTCGACGCAACAGAATCATCCGCTGGTGATGTTTCAATGTCAGCGGCAGCCTGTCTGATGTTGATGAGCGCTTCCGAACGGCGAATCTTCTCTATGATGGCCCGAATCTTGTCCTCGGTTAAGGCGACGATCTTGTTCAAAACTACAGGTTCCATTTCTTTCGGGCTTTTTTCTAGCACCCATGTCAGTTAATCTTTTGCGTTGAGGTTTTATTCCAACATTGCGTACCCTTTTCAGCAACCGCTGTCAGATCGTTTAGGATATCATGCAGCTGATCTTTCAGCATCTCGGATACCCCAAAATTCCGGGCAAGACGTAGGACAGTTCCGCTTGGGTGACCCTGCTCCAAGCACACCGCCGAGGCAGTCTCGCCGCCTACTCCAGAGGTTGAACAAATTAAGGCGAAAGAATCGAGAAACTTCTTCTGGGGCTGGTCATATCTCCAGGAATCGTCAAGTGGGTGTTTGTCGAGACCATAAGTCGTAGGCTCACCACGGACGGGGTCGATCAAATATAGTAATGTTGCAATCATCACGAAACGCTTGTGAGCCTTTCCTGGGATCTTTTCCGGCGAGTCACCACTATTTGCTGAGATGCTCATCACAGGGGCTGGGTTTTGCAGCGATTCCCGTCTGCAAACGAATTGAAGATATTGCGGCAAAGACGTAGTGTCCGAGATTGGGCGCAGTAGAAAAAAGCCCAAATCAAGCCCATATCTTGGAAGCGACAGAATCAGTCGAATTCTCGTTTTCAACTAACCGTTCAAACACAAGGGATCCTGTGAAAGGACCTTGGCCTGCGACTCCCACATATTCCCCAGAGTTCAGACCCTCCGGCCTTCACGCAGGAGGCCGGGCACCTACTTTGGTTAGTCGCACCCGATTATGCACGTGTACCCAAAGGAGTATCATCAATCTACTTCTTGCTGACTAAGTAGGAGACGTTATCAACATCCTGTGAGGCCAAAGTTGGTAGAAGCCTCAGTGTACCTTGGCGAATGTCTTAGATTGCGCAATCATTGGTTGAATGTTCAGTTACCCATTGAATGCCAGCCAGCCCTCATCGCTTCCAGCCTAGAAAAGTCGGTGAAAGAATGCCACATGCCCATTCAAGTTTAAAAACCTCACAACATCCCTTGGATATAGTAATCTAAGGCCGTTCTCCGCAAGCTCGACCCGTCGTGGCTCTACTCCCAAGCATGGCCCAAAGTCCGGCTGGAGCCTTCCGGTACGGGGCGGACGATCCTTTTCTCTCAGAGGCGAACGGCACTCCTGCATGTGCCCTCGATGACCCGAATATTAGCTGCTTCTCTCCAGACCAGATCACGATACGCCAATCAGAACCAGTCAATTATTCCCCCACAGAAGATGACCCAACTACCGACTTCTCTTACTACTTTTCTACGGTTCATCTAGGCCAGTCCGAGCCCGAATCACCCTCCCAATGTTCTTAGAATGTTGGAGAGTCGCCGCTGCTTCACGTAGAGACAATAGTCGATGGTGAGGACGCAGAGGCAATGGTGATAGAGGGCACGGAGATTCTAGGTGCGACTAGTAGAGGAGAGACTGTGGACCTCGTTGCGGAGATTCTGCGACCTAACGCGAGTATTGCTCCCACTATGGGGTCTGCTTCGTTCAGAAGTGCTTCACGCCATTGCCATTGGAAAGATTGTCAATTCAGTACTTCCAACAGCGAGACCTATGAGTAAGTCAAATCTTACGGGGCTTTTCCTTTCCGTATCCCATTATGATAGACGCCACACTCATATCTTGCAGGGAGCACATGCTGTTGCACAGGCGATGTCCAAAAGATGGATGCCTTTCAGAATTCAAAGAGGAGAAAGACATCCAAAGGCATGTGTGGAAAACTCATAGGAGATGGGCGTTTTCAACGAAATATCCTTCTATAAGAGGCGTTTGTGGTATTTGCGGCAAAATCTATGAACGAAAAGACTATGTGCGCCGCCATATGAGGGAAAAGCACCAAGACCAGAACAACAAGGTTAGACAACAAAGACCGCGCAGAAACAGACTCCTTTGGAAGCAATAGTTCTTTGGCTTGAGATTGGATGGTCGCAGCATTGTCAACTGAATTTACACTTTTTTTTCGCATACAACAGTATAGGTAGCCTCCCGTGGACCCGCTGCTTCTTGTAACTTGAAGCTTGATTTCGCGTTGAGAGGGAAAGCAAACATACCGGACAGATTGCTTCAAAGTTTTGGCGCCCGCCTGGATGAAGGCGATATTGCCACAATTTCACGAAAAAGCCCGCGGATTAGCTTTCTGTTTTACACCAGAGGGGCAGATTGCAGCCATCACTGCAAGAAGTGAATCCTGAAGTCCTACACCAATATTCCGCGAATACTGGCAGCTCATCTTGGTCAGATGTATTTCAGAGAAACATGCACTGATGTCCGGAGCGAGCTGCTGGCCGTAATCGATTTCTTGCTGCATGTGCTCTTGGTGTACGTACCTTAGGCACTTGCAGGTTAAAAAAGTTCTGGAATGCCAAGACTGGCACCAGTGAGGTAGGGGCATTAGGTAATGCACCACCTACCCACGTGCTGCGTTAGCGTGTGCTTAGGTCAGGTCAGGTCAGTGGTACGTTAGGTAAGGTAGGTGCTCTGTTCGTCCCCGCAAGCGCCCACCCGCGTCCCATGTCCCGCGTTGCGTGCAGGACCGGATCACCGGATGTAGCTCCTGCCTCCCGGTGTCAAAGTCAAATTCGAGCTTGGGCGACCTTCCATCCTGGCCATCCTGGCCATCCTGGCCACCCTCTACCCGCTCTGCCGCTCTCTGCCTTTACCTTGACCTCCCAAGTGCCTCCTCTTCCAAAGTACCCGTCCAAGACGTCGCGTCAACACCATCATCACCGGCAAGACTCGCATCAAGGCACAGGCAACGCCAAATACCTCTCGACAATGTCTTCCCAATCCCACCCGCTTCGCAACATCCAGACGTCGACCGTCTTTGTCAACACAACCCTCGCTGGCCTGAACCTGGGCCTCTCCGTCTTTGTCATACCCCGCCTCCTCGAGTCGCCGACTCCCCTCATGCTACGACAATGGTCCAATATGTACAAGCGGACCAGTCGGTTCTTCCCGCTATCGATCCTCTTCTGCGCATTGAGCTACTGGTACATGGCATACGCTGTGCGCCACCTGCCCAGTAAATCGAGGCTACTGGCCGCTGCCGGTGGCCTTTGCTTCACCATAGTTCCCTGGACTGGGTTCTTCATCCTCAGCATCAACAAGAAGCTGTTCCGAAAAGCCGAGGAAACAAAAGATATGGGCATAATGGCTATTGGTCTCACGCAGGAAGAAGAGGAGGGTGCCAAATATTTGGTTGATCAATGGGGCTTATACAATCTCGGAAGGAGCATTGCCCTCGGTCTTAGTAGTGCCGTTGGCCTTTACAGCATCGTTTCCTGACCCGGCTTCGCTCCTTTAGAATTGATTGACTGTCCAAGTAGACTTCTCTCGCTTGTTGAGCTACCGCCTCGCATCGGAGGCATTCCTCGACTGCTTGTAATCATGATTCACCGTGCTGCACTTGTTGAACTCATGGGTATCATCATTACAACTATTCTACTAATGTTACATCAGACTGCTCTTGGACCCCCATCCATTACTCATTCAAATTCCCCACCCATCATGATCATGATTGCGATCGCAGAGTGCCACTCGTCACATCAGCCTCAATGGCCTTGAGGGGCATGGTGCGGTTGAAAATCTTGTGGCCGACCAGGAGGACGATGAACAGGAGGACACTGACGTACGCAGTGAAGAAGTCACTGGTGCTCCACTCGATGAAGACGGCGAAACCGTTGGTCAAGATGATGAGGACGTTGAAAAACAAGCCGTACCAAGAGAGGTATGGCTGCAGGGGCGCTGTATACGGCAGGCTGCTACGCGGGATGTTCTGGGCCTTGAGAGCAGCCATGAAGCGGAGATGGCAGATGTTGATGCACGACCAGCTGATGAAGCCAGCGACGGCAGTGACGTTCAGGAGCCAGTTGAAGACAACACCACCGTCGGACGACAGGTTCATGTACGCGAGCAAACCGACGGCGGACGTGGTGGCAACAGCCATGTAGGGAGTTCCGAACTTGTTGGTATAGGTCATGAACTGAGGAGCGCATCTCTCGTTGGCGAGCGAAACGAGAATGCGGGAGCCAGAGTAAACGTTCGAGTTGGCAGCGGAGAGAACGGCAGTCAGAAGCACGGCGTTGATGATGTCGGGGAGAACCTTGACACCAGCCAAGTTCGCAGCAATGACCAGGGGAGACGCGGACGCATCCTGGGAGTCGAGCAGGAGCGATGGGTCGTTGTACGGCACAATGATGCCGACGAAGAAGATGGTCGCCACAAACAAGCTGAAGATACCCCAGAAGGTCCAGCGGACGGCGCTGGGCACACTCTTCTCGGGGTCCTTTGTCTCACCAGCACCGATGCCAACCAACTCGGAACCTTGGAAACTGAAGCCAGCGGTGATCAAGACGGACCAGAAGCCAATGAACTTGCCAACGGAACCCTCAACGATGTACTCATTGAACGCGCCCGGGTCAACCCAGTACTTGAAGCCAAGGTAGCCCTGCTGGCCAACGCCGGCATTGATGCAAATGGCAAAGATGATGAAGCCGACAATGGTAACGACCTTGATACTGGCGAACCACATCTCGACCTCACCAAAGATGCGGATAGGCATGAAGTTGAGAGCCGTGAAGACGACCCAGAAGACGCTGATGAAGATGGCGATGCTCAAGCTGTCGTTCCAGTATTGGATAATGACACCGGCAGCGGTCAACTCGAGAGCAAAGGTGATGGACCAGCTGAACCAGTACATCCAGCCCATGGCGAAGCCGAGAGTGGGGTCGATGAATCGGGAGGCATACGAGGTGAAGGCACCGGGGACAGGAATGTAGGTGGCCATCTCGCACAGGGCCGTCATGACGGAGTAGACGATGGAGCCGATGAAGATGAAGGCGATCAGGCAACCGACGGGGCCGGAGGTCGCGATGGCCTTGCCGCTACCGAGGAAGAGACCAGTACCAATGGTACCGCCTGCGACGATGTGTCAGAACAATGGCAACCCCTTGCACGGAGCGAGATTATATCAAAGTGACATACCAATGGCAATGAACTGCAGATGACGACTGTTCAGGTCTCGCTGAAGACCCGTCTCGCCATTCTCCAAGTCGGTCTTGGAAGCATTGGTGGGAGTGACCTCACCCTCAGTCGTGTGAGGCGTCTTTTCCTTGGAGCCGAACATGGCGGTGATGTCGTGGTCTGGCTGGGTAGTTCGAATTCAGCACGGGGAACGTTCGTTCACGGACTAGAGTGACAAGTCTCGTTGACCGCGGCCAGAAGCAATGAGCACACTCGAGAGGATCGCGGGGGGTGGAGGGGGATACGAAGGAAGCCTGTTGATTCGCTTCTCCAGAAATAATCACCGGACGCTTGAGCAAACGAAAACCTGGGGGGAGACGACAGGAGAGGTTCCGCCCCCCGAACAGCAAGCTCATGGCATGATTAAATACAATACGGGCCTTCTCTTACTCAACAGGTTCCACTCCGCGTCGACTCATCGCGACAGGTATCGGTGGCCATGGTTGAAAAATCTCGAGCAGTGGACCGCGCTGGCGGCTGGACATACTCGCAGACACACAGCACACAGTCACACACACGCAAAGCTCGAGACCCTCTCCTTGGCCTCGCTTGTTGCGGGTTGGCCGATGGAGACGCGATGGTCTCACGCTCCATCACGCCCTGGCAGTGTAGTGCGATTTTCGGGAGTCGGCCGGCCACGGGTAACAACGGCGTTGTCCAGGGGGGGTCGCCTGTCGACCATGAGCGATGTTGGGAAATGGAGCGTGGAGATCCGTGGCAGCAAGCAAGCAAGCAAGGCAATGACATGCCATTCCGCTGCACGGCAAAGTCGACGCCCTCGCCGCCGCCTGCAGTTCGTCCGATCGGCCGGCATAAGCGTGCCTATTCCCATGCGCTGGTGCGGGACAAGCCAGGCCATTCGCCAAAGGGAGCGCGGTGCCTCGAGTCTAGAGTCTCGCGTCTCCCACGCCGCCGCCGTCGCGCCACCACCCGATTCGCACCGAGCTTGGACCGAGTCTCTCTCTTGGAGTTTTGATTTTTCCCCTTTGAAAATCTCCGATTTTTAATTTTTCTCTCCGCATGGCCAATCATGTCGGTCCAATTCCTGCAGAGTCACGGCGGCACCCGCAAGCTCTGCCCAGCCGCTGGTCGGGTAGAATTTTTCTCGAACATATTTCTCACCACCATTGTCCATTTTCAGCTAGGGATAGCAAGCTTCTTCTTACCCTACCCGAACCTGTTGGAGAGCTTGTCGGTCTTTTGCCAAGTTTGTCTCGACTCTGCACAGTCTGATTCTCTCCAACTCGGGGGCCAGCTCGGACATCTCCCCCTAAACGATCGGTGCACCCCGGCCGGTGATACGTTACAGCGCCGCGGTCTCTCGCAGCCAACCGTTGTCATTGTTGTTGTCGTCGCCACCAAGACGAGGTACCGTTTATCCTGCAATTGTCAGCCCTACGACGTCCAATACGCCCACCGCGCCTTGGAGTGAGTCCGAGTGACTGCACGGCAAGCCTAAGCCGAGCTGCCAATGATGAGTCTCACTCTCAGTCCCAGGATATCATGCTCATGCCTTGGTCTGATAAACGGGGCGTTCCCGCCCAGCTCCAAATCTGGTCATGGACCGCGTGCGGCCTTCTAGCGACTAGCGAGATATTTTGCCCCAAGCTCCAGAGTCCCGTCCCCATCCCCCCAAGCTCGAAAATTTCTTCTTCCTAGTTTTCATTACGTCTTTTTGTGGAACAATTTGCAGAAATTTTCTCATGATCGGAGCGGGCCGTCGAGACAACTCGAGATTTGATGCACAATGCTCAGCGATAATGCGTTTTCTTGTGTCAATTCAGTGAGCAAAGTATCCGTAAATGTCACATTGTTGGGGAACCCCCCCCCCAGCCCATGCATGCATGCCATCCGGGACGTGGTGCCGGCTTTCCGTTTGATGCTCGGGGGATGAGAGGAGGGCCGCCGACAGCAGCCCCGGTTCCGCGTCGGCTTACGACCTTTTTAATTTAACGGCGCTCGCTTCTCGTTCTGTGTGCTGTGAGTGTGCAGCATGCCGCTCGAGGCGGCTCGACCAGTCCTGCATCCGAGTGTTTATTCCGCCCGCCCGGCATCGGGTGCGACAGCCGGATCCGATCCCGAGTTGGGTTTTCCGACGGGATTAGTCTACGCATTGTCCCCCGCATTAGTCTAAGCCTGTCGGTGGTGGTGTTTCGCTTCTTTGGTGATCGGGCGCCATGGAATATCATCGTTTATTGGCTGATTCAAGCACCGAGACCCCTTCTGGTGTGTGGTTTTGATTAGGATGGACTACCAGATCGCCTTTGGGGGGGTTAAAAATGCAGTGAATTCGCAATCACTGCATTACGGTCTCTATTCTCTATCGTTACGGCATCACTGCATTTTTAACCCCCCCAAAGGCGGTCTGCAGCTGACCTAACGTACCCACCCCGTGCTGACTTAACGTATAGGTAGCTTAGCTTTAGACCGTTAATTAGTCGGTTACCTTTACAAAATATGCTATCGGAAAGCTATTTATTATTGGCTTATTAACCCGTTAATATCTTCCGCGCCTTTCCTTTGCGCACCGGCTGGAGAGCATCGTCAAATTTGGTGGGAGCGGAATTGACATTTGAGGCTAATTTTTCTTGAACATGAAGGAGTAAGAGGTACGGATTGCCGAGAGTTGCACCCCTTCAAGGAAATACGTGTCCTACTAGTCCACTGTGCAACACTCAATCGCCCTACTCTTGCATATCACGCCTTTCGGGGTAGTTACGTGTAAAGTTGCAGTGAAAAGCTCCAAGCCGATGTGAGGGTGGGCTGGGTAATGCTCCGCCCGCGTCAAGACCTTGGCGCCAGCGCCGCTGTAGACATTTATCTCCCTTGGAACGGTTAAGATCACAGTGCATGCATCCAATGGTCAAAGTTGCAGTGCCGTGAAGAGTAGCTGTCGGTGGAAAAGACGTGCCCTTGGGGTGGGTTAAAAATGCTGTGAAGGGTTAGTATATGCGGTCCAGTATATGCAGTCCAGTATACTCCGTATGCGGTCTTTGATGGCCACCGCAGTAACATTTCCGGAATGGGCTGAGTAAGTTACGAAAACCGAGCGCTTGGGTGCGTTTTGGCGTTTCTCCTACCCCCCAAAGACGTCACTGATCTCAAACAATGTCGAGGAACGGGTGGCCCGGCAATGGCAGCAGACTTCATCGTACTAAGTAACTACTCACTGCACATCTTGAATAGGTGCAGTCGAAGAAGCATTATGAAAACACGTGCATCTGTCGTAAGCATCAAGCAATAGACACCATGACAAACCTCATTGCACTCGAAGAGCACTACGTGTCTCCCCTTCTCGACGCCAAGAAGCGCGGGGCCCCCAGCCCCGACACATTCAGGCCCGTCATAGTGGAAAAGCTGGGGGATATTGGTCCGGCGCGGTTGCGGGACATGGCCGACAACTCCATAGCCATGACGGTTCTGTCCCACTCACCAGTCCACCCCGATCCCGAAACCTGTAAGGCCATCAATGATGACCTCTACTCCAAGATCATCCACCACCCGGCCGAGTATGCCGCATTTGCAGTCTTGCCGATGCATGCTCCCGCCGCGGCCGCCGCTGAACTGCGCCGCTGTGTCTGGGATCTAGGCTTCGTCGGCACGCTGACGGGAAATCACCTCGACGACGGCAGCTTCTTCGATACACCCGACTTCTACCCTCTCTGGCAGGCCGCGCAAGATCTGGATGTACCCATATACCTCCATCCGACTTTCCCACCCGAGCAGGAATCCAACGTCAACTTCCACGGACCCTATGACGCCGAGATTGCAACGGCGCTGGGGAGCTGGGGGTGGGGCTGGCACTCCCGAACGGGTCTCCACTTTCTCCGCCTCTTCGCCGCCGGCGTCTTTGACAGGTTTCCCCGGCTCAACATCATCCTCGGGCACATGGGAGAAATGCTGCCCTTCATGCTCGACCGAATCATGGGAGCCTCTGCGAGATGGCCTGCGCCCGAGGGCGGGGAGCGGAAGCGCGGGCTGAGGCGGGTGTGGGATGAGAATGTGTGGATCACGACGAGCGGGATGTTTTCGCTGGCGCCGATGGCGTGTCTGCTGCGGGAGACCAAGGTCGAGAGGATCATGTTTAGCGTGGATTATCCGTTTGCTAGGAACGGGGCTGGCAAAGAGTTTATGGACAAGTTGAAGGCGAGCGGGCTTGTGAGTGAGGATGAGTGGGAGGGGATTGCGTGGAGGAATGCGAGGGGGCTTCTGAGACTGAAGTTTGAGCCAAAGAAGTCAGTGTAGCGAGACCGATGTACAAGTTTGATATAGATACCCTGTTTGGTATCCTTTTTGGGACATTGAAAATTAGTGCTTCTTTCAGGATTCATGAGCAAGTTGAAGGCGTATGATTTTGCCAGCCCAAGAATGAGTACAGAGGCCAATCCTCATTGCTTACGAGGCACATCGCCCTATAATGAGCAAGATGTCCCACGGTACCTCGATATCTCATAATAAGCAACCATAGTTCTAGCCTGAACCTCAAAAATGAGTTAATCGATGTTGATGGGCCACGAATGGCTGAAGATGGCATCCGAGGCGATTAATTGTGTTAGTTGGGAGTCTCGATAACAGTTGCCGAGCTAGGTATCCTGCACCGATCGGCGATAGATGCAGGGGGTTGCGGTTCGCAACTCTCCTCTTGCATCATCACCGAACTCACGTCTCCGACAGCTCATCATCTACAACTGGTATTGATTAGCGCGATAGGATTCAGCGCAATTCAGTCCCTTGTCCATATCATTGTACAATCGCATGTGAACTGGCGCTGTCCTCACCATGACGCTCTCCCTGCCAAAGATTGGGATCCTCTCCATCGGAGATATGGGAATGGGCATCGCCAAGTTGCTCGTCTCGAGAGGCTTCTCGGTTGCCACAAACGGCCAAGGTAGGAGGTCAGAAGGAATCTCATCTTGCTCCTGCGAGAACTCTTTGCTTATGTGACCACAGCCCAGCGACAATCGCCAGAGCCCGCAGTGCCAATGTAGAGGTCCTCAGCTCCGACGCTCACCTCGTTGAATCGCGGCCGTTCATCCTCTCGGTCGCACCACCGAGGGATGCGCTCAGCATCGCCCGGCGCATCATCGACGCGACAGCAGCGATAAACCTAGAGAAGCCGCTCTACTTTGCAGACCTCAATGCCGTTTCCCCCGCTACCTGCAAGCAAATGAGCCACATGTTTGAAGAGGCCAACAGTCCCGTCCGCTTCGTCGATGGCTGCATCATCGGCGGACCGCCGAAGCGCAGGTCCAACAGCGGCAGCACCCCGTCAGCTGCGGATGCATGGTACGTTCCCAGCATGCCGGCATCCGGACAATATCCCCTCAGCGAGGCGTGCCCCGAACTCGCCGAGGCGTTGAACATGCGCCACATCTCCTCCGAGGTCGGCGCCGCCAGCGGGTTGAAGATGTGCTTCGCGACAACGACCAAGGGCTTCATGGGCTTAGCTATCCAGGCCTTCACCACGGCGTCCACGCTCGGCGTCGTCGACGAGCTGCGCAGGGAGATGAGCGAGGCCGCGCCGGACTTGCTGGACTTTGCCGAGAAGTCGGTGCCCCTCGTGCCGCCCAAGTCGTACCGGTGGGTGCGGGAGATGGAGGAGATCTCCGATACGCACCGAGCCGAGGGCGGCTTCGAGAGCGAGAATGATGTCTTCCTCGGCATGGCGGAGCTGTATCAAGCCATGGCGGATGATCCCGTCTTGGGCGCGGAGAAGGTTGGGGAGAGGAAACGGGGGACGACGATCGACGATCTGGCTGTGGCGTTGGGGGACGGCTTGGCTAGCAAGAAGGAGAACAGGTCTGGCTGAAGATTAGTGTGGAGATGATGGACGATCACTCCAAGCCAAACTCCGCGAGAGACATGACTGATGCTGTTTGTGCGTCTCATCATGGTTCTACGGACCGCTGGTTTCGGTCTCACGAGTTGATTACCCCGCGATGCAGACACGGCGCTAAATCGGCAGGTCTCAGTCGCCGACTACTTGAAATACTCATCAGCGTCAGTGTTCGCACTTTTGAATACTTTCATCTTTTCAACCATCCCAACTGATGTCATCGTTTGCGACCAACCCTTATTAAGAGTCCACTTGCTGGTGAGGTTACAGGCATCACTTACTCGCGATGAGAATCGACCTAGGAGACAAAGCGAGCAATGGATTCGCAGCCAGACAGGGCTCATCCTCACGAGCGTGGGATCGCGACGTCAAGCTCCCGCCCGAAGACCCGAGCTTGCCTCTCTGCTCCCGACACCGCGTTATGGACCTCACACAATCCGATTTCGCGGCCAGGCCACAACAGCAAGCGCTGCCGCCCGATTGGCACTTTGGCACGCTGTCAGACGTTATCAAGCGAAGCAACTACTGCGGATTCTGCAGGATGATTGCCTCGTCCATATCTACGACTGCTTTCAAGGACGAGGTGGAGGTACTAGCTTGTTGGGTCCCGGATGTGACTTTTGAGGGAACGGAGAGTGAGAGCAAGACCACCATGAACACGCTAAGGTTACGAATTGCGCCAGAGATGGTGGGATGGGAGGACGCGTTTGCCCCGTTTGACATCGTTCCTCTTGCCAAGGAGACCGAGGGCGACATGTTCAAGGGCAGGCTGATTGACGAGAAATCTGTCGACGTCGAGCTTCTGAAGACATGGCTAAAGACTTGTAAAGAGAAGCACCACATTGTTTGCTGGCCTACGAGCGAGCAGACTGCCAGTCGGATTCAACCGTTCATAAGGCTTTTGGATCTCAAAGACAATTGCCTCGTCCAAAAGTCTGATCTCCCAGACTTTGTTGCCCTGAGCTACGTCTGGGGCCCGCGCGGTGTTGTAAACTATACACTCACAACCGACAATATCGCCGAACTCTCCACGCCCGGCGGGCTGAGTAAGAATGTGGAAAAGCTGCCTCGGACGATTCAAGACGCCATCAACCTAACGAGGCGTGTCGGACACCGGTACCTCTGGATCGACTCACTCTGCATCATCCAAAAAGGCAATCCAAACGATCAGGGCGTGCAGCTCAATCTGATGGACGATATATACCGCGGAGCTTCTTTTACAATCGTTTCCGCCAACGGCGAAGACGCGAATGCTCGGCTATCCGGGATCGAGGGAGTCGAGAGAACCAAGAAGCAGCACACCACCGAGTACTCCAAGGACCTCACCCTACTCTCTCTCGTTCCCGACTTTGAGGATGGCGTGGAGAAAATCTACTGGAACTCACGTGGCTGGACGTACCAGGAACGGCTACTCTCACGCAGGCTCATCACCTTTACCGACAACACGGTCTACTTCCAATGCGGCCAGATGACCTGCAGTGAAGACTTCAACATGCTCCGTGAGGACGTCACGCAGAGCGCCTCGCAGCAGAATATTGCCCTGTCCCGCGGGGAGGCGCCGCCAACTCTCACCCCGCGGAGTCAGTATCGTCTGGGCATCTCTCCCGAGTTCTACTATCGCATGGTCACCGAGTACACCTCACGAGAGATGAGCCACACAGACGACCGTGTCAATGGTTTCAAGGGTATCTTGAACGTCATTGAAAAGGTGCCCGAGTACAAAAACGTCTTCGCATGGGGCGCCTGGGCCAAAGATTTACTCGCCTTTTCTCTGTTGTGGCAGCCGCGACAGGAGCTCACCAGGGTTTCCAAGTACAAGTCTGACCCGCCAATCTTGATCTATCCCTCATGGTCGTGGGCGGGCTGGACGGGAGCCGTAAGGTTCGATGACCTTGCCGACTGGAACGGCCTGCCTGCTCTCGAGAGTCCGTTCGACCGGGTACGTCCAGCGGGCTGGGGCGTCTCGGTTGAGCTGAATAAGACTGGAAGACCGGAAGAGCACGACTTTCACCTGCGGCTCCGAACGAGAGTCGGGAAATTCAAGCTCATTCTCCACGACAGAAGCGGAGCCCTGAAGCCGCCGTCGTTACCGGATGTCAAGGAACCTCACCCCGTCCGCTTCGGTATCACGCACTCCGCTGTCCCGGAAGATGGAGGCGAGCAAGATTGGCTTGGTTCCATTCTGATGCCCAAGGGATACCGGCAGAAAGAGAAACTGGGAGCCACGTACGAGTTTGTTGTTCTTTCAGAAGCGTATGGTTTCTCAGGAGACGAGTTGTCGAGAAATGCCGGCCAAAAGCCTTGGGAGGCTGTCAACGTGATGTTGATCAACCGAAGAATCGTGTACGGCCAAGGTCCAAAGGCTTTTTCAGTTGTTCAACGGGCTGGTGTGGGCAGGATGTTCAAGTCGGCATGGGATGGGATATCCATGGAGATGGAGGATATGTTGGTCGAATGAGTCCCTCACTAGGCCGAAAATTGTGATTCCAAGTAATAGGCGACACATCCTATGACATCTATGCTGGAAATAGCAATCTCAAGACACAAAGTGACCAATCATAGCCGCCATTTCAAAGAATTCCAATACTTGAAAGAGTTTGACCCACACCAAGGAGATATTAAGTTGAGTGGAATTCAAAGTGAATTGAGATTTGTCAAGTATTTACACTGAACGTAACCTGAGAAAAGCTTTTCCGGTTGCCAAATTTCCCCCGACCCAGACGATGTTGAGAAAAAGCAACAAAATTGAGTGTAAAAGCCAATGCCCTCGCATCTTTGGCATAAAAGTGGTGTGTTCTCCTGACAAGATTCGGCGATGAATCTGCCGAGAGTTCGCACGTCCTCCGGTCCTTGGCGATATCAATGTTCGTAAAGATCTCGCCGCGGCATCGAGGGCGTCGAGGACCCTTCTTGCCGCCCACTTAATGACCGTGGCCGTAGCCACCTCCGTAGCCGCCTTCCTTTCCGCCGCCATAGCCGCCGCCCCCGTATCCGCCACCACCCTTTCCACCTCCGTATCCTCCGTATCCGCCACCACCACCCTTGCCGCCGTACCCTCCGTATCCACCGCCGTCGCCGCCGCCGCCCTTGTTGTTGAGGTCATCAACCCCTACTTCTTTGTTCTTGTCGTCACCGGGAAGGCCAGCTTCATCTCCTCGCTTGCTGAGGTCGTTCTCCTTCTGATCGCTCTCTGCCTCGTCGGGGTCCTGGGTATCGTGACCGCCTCTGCCGCCGCCGTGGCCGTGGCCGCCGTGGCTGCCGTGGTCGCCGCGGTCGCAGCCCTCGTCTCTACCGCCGCGCTTTCCGCGCTTACATTTGCTGTTATTCTGGTACTGGTCTTGGTTGTTCTCCTTATTGTCATCGCGTGATTCTCGTTGATTGTCTGGGTCATCGCGAGCAGCGATGGCTTCGCTCAAAGGCTGAGGGTTGCTATATCAGCTGTGGTCCCTTCTGAACGAAAGCCTGGATTGAGTCTTACCGGCATGTTATCTACATTGGGCTTATTTTTCCATCGCAAATTGTCAGTATGAGACCAAGAACAGACCCAGAAAGAAAAGAAGTAGTGAAGAAATGAGGAAATACGGAGTTTGTGCGTGTTTGTGAGTTACTTACGGCCGCCTCAGGGGCACGCTACCATAATGTCAGAATCTTTCTGAAAGGGGCATTTATGTATAGAAGGGCATGAAGGACTTACTTTAGCAATTTCAGCCGTCTCGAAGCCAGGCTCGGCGATGGGTTGGGCTACGGGTGCAGCAATAGCAGCGATGGCGTAGAAAGCCATGCCGATAGTGGCGGTTTGGCTGAACGATGGGATATGCATGATTGCAGAGTCAAGGGTTGATGGAGAAGATTGAAAAGCTAGTAATTGAATTGTTTCTTAAACCAGTGCAGAATAGGTGTGGATGAGATGAATAAGGGAAGCGGATGGTCAAGTGGGAAGTACGACTTCGTACTTATACTCGGAACTTTTGACATCTCTATCTATGTGAACTGTGGACAAAGATCAAAGTTCGTATTGCATTCATAGTCATTCGCGGCTGAGTAGGTCGCAGCTGAACCCAATATCGGAGTCATTTACAACCCGTGGGATGCTAGCACGGTAACGCGAAGTGTGGTGATAGTCCAGTCAGCCCTTGCCCACCAGAAATACGTCGACTGCCATGGCCACCCATGCAAAGAAGCGATGATCTACAGAGGCTTATATCACGCAAGTGGAAGTCCCTGAGTAAGGCATCCGAAGAATAAAGTTATCTGCAGACTTAAATAGCGAAGAAGAGCCGCCAATCAACTTCGACCATCCGATCTAAAAGAGGAGCACCCAGGTGTGAGGAGAAACGAGTCCTTCTCCAAGTTTTGCAGCCGCCGTTTACCTTGACGTGAGACACCCGTGGATTCAAATTGCATTTAGACGATTAGTGGTGTGGGAACCATTGAGTTTGCAACAGTGCTTTTTGACAGCCTGGTTGACAGCACTTCGTTAAGCAAGCTTCATGGGAGACATCTGCGGAATATCGTGTCTGAAATTTCCTTGAAGCTTCTTTCAAAAGCTCTTGAAAGGAAGGAATACCTAGTACAACCCCGAAACTGTGAAAAGCCAAGTTCATGGACACATGAACCGCTCCTTGCGTCAAAAAAAGCCTCCCTCTGCTCGAGGGACCTTGAAGTAAGGTATGGTGATATACATGCGATCCATATTTTCGACATCCGAAAAGCCAAAGCTCGTTTTCATGCGGATTTTTGAGGCCTAGAAGCGGAGTCAGCCACGTACCAGCCAGAGGGGCCGATGTAGACTACATGGAAGGTAGGTGAGGGAACTTACATGTTGCTATGAGTTTCGCCTTCCGACAACTTTTGAAGACGCATTTCGGCCAGCATCGAAGTCCGCATACGCCGCTTTAAGGCAGACACCGCCAAATCGAGTCAGTTCAAAGCCGATCTTGCATCCGTCATGCATGCTTCTCGCTACTGAACCCGGACACCAGGACACACACCCCTTACCATACCGGCAGGGCTTAGTCACACCAAGTAGGCGGCAAAGTCGGGATGGGCTATTTCGTTCAATGTTAATTGAGCCAGAATTCTGAACTTAGGATTCTACGCTCATTGGTCCATATCCCGAGGCTCGGTCAGCAGCCGTGTAAAGTAATGCCAATCCGATAGAGTTGATTCGGACCTCCGAGCTGCTCTGCAAACTGTCATTGAGCCCCTCCACACCTACATACGAGGTTGAGAATGAAAACTCTGAATTGACTTGGCAGAAGTCAACATCACGATCTACACTACCCGAAAGACCCTTTTTTTTTTTTTCAATCAGCAGCTTCGGCTGATCGCAAGACAGCATTCTCAATACTCCTCCTGCGCAGGAGAGAAGAGTCTCGACGTTGCAACTGAAGTTCAAGTGCGACGCGCTATTCGGGCAACTCAACAGCGGGAGGAAGCGAAACCGAGCCCCAAATGGCGGGGCAGCAAGAGGACCGCGATCAGCCGCAATGAGGCTGGTTGGCATATTCCCAGCCGAGCACATGACGGTGGACTGCCAAGGAGCTCCCTGCTGCCCAAGTCAAACGCAGGAGCTTCCCGGTACCCTCGTAGAACGACACTAATTCACCCAAAGTCCAGACCTCGATAGCTCGCCTCGAGAGATCGCGATCCTTTGCTCGTCGAGTTCGGCTAATGTGTAGTTTGCAGCTCAGGATCCCAAGACGTCAGCACATCACCGGAAAGAACTTTCGTGATCCGCCGGCGAGATTTTTCTGGGCACTCCATACAGGAATTCATCGGTTGACGCATTCATCTGGTCATCGAAAAGTCCCATTGTGCTGAGTGTCGATGGTTCAGCCGAGCGCTGGAACCTTACTCCGCCTCGCAAAGCCCCGGGCATAGCCATATGGCCATGACTGAGAAACGACCAAACACAGACAAGCTGCTGAATTTCACGAGTGGCGACGTATCAAGAACGTCTCCACGAATAGCAATTTGAGTTCATCCGATGATATGAATTACACATCGTCCAAGATCGGCATTTCACTTGACAAGTGAGTGCCTTGGTTGATTCCGGACTCCCATAACGCAATCAATGGTATCCAGTCACCGCGGCTGTGAAGAATAAACAATTGCTACCGAACTTTTCATGGCGGGTAGCACTACCAACGCCCAGGTTTCTCAGGTAAAGTAATACTGCAGTGATTACGCAAGGACAACCCTATAGTTAGTGCCAGTAAATCAATCAACACATAAGATTATTCTATGTTGATGGTAAGCCATCGCCTGCTACATCTTAGGTGGTGAAGCTCGAAGGTTCCCGTGAACCTATGCACCCACGGTCACTGCTTTGGAGTATCACTGAGTAAGGTAGTGAGAGATAATGGGCTCTAATTAAAGAATACCTGTAATGTTCTAAGTATTTGTAATGTCTCGCCTGTATTGAATGCGAAGGGGCGAGAGCGAAAGGCCAGAGCGCCTAGACTTTCAATGAAGTATTCTTCAGGTGAATCCTACTCATCCCTCTTCAATCAAGCTTCATAAGGGTTTTTGTCCTTGGGTTTGAGTTCACTCTCAAGGCTATCAGATGATCAGTCAGACCTCACTACCCCCTCTATCATCACTTGTAGACTCGATCTAGACCGGTCTCTGGGACTTTAACCGTGTCTGCCGCGGCTGTAGTGAAAGCACACTTCCCCACGCCCCCAGTCATCTTGAGAACGCCCCACTGGACAGGCAGTAAGTAACCGCCGTCCCGATCCTTCTCCAATACATGGCAAGCAGCACTTATTGCAAGGCTATTCGTCGACACCATAGGCATTGTGCCATCATAGCGCCGCAGCCCCATGCCGATAATGATGACAACGAGAAGGAGCCCCGCAAGCAATGCTGAGTCTCACTGTTAGATACAAAAGACAGGGTTGAAGGCCAAAGTCGATGGACTCACTGACAAAAACTGCTATGGGACTATAGCCACATGTCGAGAAGGAATTGACATCATCGTCACTTCCGTCTGTGGATATAGCTCGAATCCGTGCCAGGAAAAGGCTCTGTGACACTAGCCAGTGCAGAATACCCGAGCTAGCGTAGAGGGGAATCCCATATCGTAGGGGCAAGGAAATAAAATAACTTGATCGTTGAATTCCAATCGGCTCAGAAACTCGTAGCGGCTTCCGGTTTTTCGGATCCCACATACGACTGAATTCTCTTTGCATTAGGAATGTGCTAAGCATGGTGTTGTAGATGATGTAGAGGACCGAGAGGACGAGTTGAGGCAAATTGGCCAGTAGCACATTGGCAATCAACCCTCCTGGATCTGTACGAGGCATGTCAATCACTAAATAGGTATACGGAGTCAAGGCACCAAAGCCAAGCTTCCATAAGTCTGGTATCTTGACCCCGAAACCTCGTTGTCTTAGGCTTACAAACGACATCGTAAGAAGGACAGAAGCGATTATAATTACGAGGAGGCACCTTAGGAAGAATTAGCCAAAAATCAAATTCAATGTAGTATAGGTAGGTATGAAAAGTGGCATCCATACATGGCTAACATGACGACCCAGCGTCTAAGACTGGCAGATGATCTCCACTGCTTTGCTTTCCCTTCAAATCCCCGCGGCTGAGGCTTTTCTTGGAGTATTGCAGGAGGAGATCTTACGAAGCGGTTCTTTAACGTCCGAGTAGTCAAGAAGTCATACTTTGTCGTAAGTCCCATATCGACAGTTTGCTCGCATGGCTCCCGCATGAAAGAAGCGATAGCATCGCCCAAGGTGTACAAGACCTCTTTTGCTTGGTTCTGCTTCTTCGAATTTTGCCACCTCCTTAGGGCCCATATTGAGAGCATGATGGCAGCCTTGATCAAGTTCATGATGCAAATGGTGAACATGATAGGAGGCGAATATTCAAACCTGCAATTTGCGCTGAGGCCTTCTGGTGGCTGTACGACACATCGAGACACTTCGTAATGCGGGGGCCCAAGAAACCATTTGGTGACGGGCTTGGTAGGTGACAAAGCCACAAAGCGACCGGTACCATTACCGAGAGCCCACATGTTTTTTGCCCAGTCATCCAAACGAGGGACGATGGAAACGTACATGAGCAGGCTGTCCTCTGGTGGGTTCTGCAAAGACTCATTCTTGACCAGCACAATCACGTTTCCCTGAGGATTAAAGTAATTGTCGTATAAGTCGAAACATGCAGATATGTTGCGTTCTTCATAGGTGGATGCGTTTCTCTGTATTTCTCGTATCACGTCTTCGTAGTCCAAGTTCGAGGGATTGACTCGGGTGTCATCCCAACCCCAGTCGCCAGCTCGGTTGGACTCTGCTGTTTTCAAACTCCATGAGGCATTGTTTAAAAACGAGTCTTTAACAACGGCGACCGTGTAGTTGTGAGATGACAGTGACTGGAAAACTGCTGAGTTATATCTATGCGCTGCAAGTATGAGCGATGCACCGAACGTTATGGCAAAAGGAGGGTGAGCAACTCTTACATGAGATGAATGGGAATAGAAGTGATTGCCAGTAAGGTCCATGAACATTGCCTCCACATACTGAGGTACTTCAAGTTCCGTAGGCTGGGAATGCCGATATCTAACCACTTGTGTTTCGCGTGCGCTGTGTCCACGTTTTCGCGTGTTGGCGCGGCCTGCAGCTGCATGCAATAATTTGAAGCCGAGAGCATACCGGTTCCCAACAGGTTGATGAGCAAATGCAACCACTGATCCAGTCGCTTTACGGTTGAGCATTCGCCCTCGTAAATCAACCCAACCCCATTTCGGCTTCCATAACTTTTGACAGCAAAGATGGTTACACCGAGGTTCGTCATCAGGATGACGCCAATGATCGCAATCTGGACCATGAGAGCACGGCTTCTCCGTGAAAACCAAATGCGCCAACTGCTGTTTTCGTCGCTTTTTATCTGGGGGAACCATCCCGATAAGGTGGTTCTGTCGGCAAACTGCTCGACTTGAAAACTCTCGGCTCTCTCCTCTTGAACCACAGGATGATTTTCGGTGCGGTCATTATCGGGCGTTTGGTTCGAAGTTGTTTCAGGCAACGCTGCCGTCGTCGTAGGTGGCTCGATCGGTGTACTTCCTTGATTATCGGGCTCAGCAGTTGACTGCGCAACTGTTGCGATACTATGACAGTTAATACGCCAATGCCAAGGACGGAGTGAGAAGGATGCGCACCGGTCTGGATTTCCATCGGACCCAGCCATGATTATTGTGTTGAAACAGCGCCAACCTCACCCATGCCGCTTTGAGGTCTACATGGCAGCAGAATCGAGGAGATGTCGAGTAGGAAAGAGGGAGAGAAGCAGGTCAAAGGGAGTGGGCAGAACGTAAGGCTCTGGCCCATGTCGTTTGGCCTAGACTCTATCTTTGGATAGTACCATGTTCCCAGCTGCCAAATCCAGGGTTCGTATCTTATGCCGTGTTCCGAGACGTGCATTTACGGTATCGTGTCATTGGTTGAGCCCTTGACAGGTGGATTGCGATGTATCGCTGGAGACTGATTGGTAGCCTGATTTTCAATCTGTGCCGTGATGATTTGGAAGCGTGGCACGGCAACCATTGACCCTGGCCTATTTTACTGTATCGCTAGGTTTGGATATCGAGTCTGATTCCTGTGTCTAACATTAAGAGTTCTTATGGAATCCACATCACTGTTAAGCACATTCCATATCATGGAAATTCGCCTTTGTCGACGACATAAGGTAGTTAGAATGACGAAGATGGTCAAGAAGCTGAGAGTTCTACGAAAATACAGCCTATTGACGTCTCCCATGAAGACCCGAAGGACCCGAGAAACCAAAATACCTCCAGTCGTTTTCTAGTCCTGCATTTTCAAAAACGTGTGAGCTGGCCCCATTGCTAGGCTTCCTCCAGTGGCTTTTGGGCATGGATCACCCATCTGGCCATTGTCAGCATTATGAAGGTACGCAAGGAATGAAGTAAAATCAAAGCGCGACAAAAAGAACCGAGAGAAGATTTAGAATAAGGACATAGCTGAGAAGAAAACATCGCTTACAAGGGAACGTAATGATGTATACTCATGTCCTTCAGATCTTTCCGGACTTGAGAAAGAAAAGTTTGGACCTCTGCGTTGCTCCAGTCAAGCGCTCTGGTCAGTGCTGCTATAGTGAAGCCTTCGAGACCTTGTGTGAAATTTTCGAAAGTCCATTCTCCAAGCTCCTTATAATGCGGATCTTTGGCCCATGGACCGACCGGCCACTTGTACGGGACGATGGTCACGTCGGCAAAACCAGCTTCTTTCAATAGAGGAACAAGGCTCGGGACGTTTACAAATGGACGTCCGAGTATCTTGAAGCATTCTTCGAGCTTATCCGACCACTGCCAAAAAGCGTGATCTGGCGTCAAAGATCCATCGTCAGATTGGGTGCGTGCATGGCTTTCGAATAACTCGATGTAGCCGCCAGGCGTAAGACCACTGGAGTGAATGAGCAAACGGCCCGTATATCAAGGGCGTAGATACTCACTCATATGCTTGTTTGAAGAAGCCGTGCCAGTCCGTGATGCTTGAAGTCATGCCACGAATATGGATATAATCAAAAGGCTGGCTGTATGTCCAAGGCTGCTCAATGTCGTCGACTTCAAACTTGAGATTCGGCGGGACACTGAGACGTGTTAGTAAACGTGCCAAGGCCCGGGAAGCTAGCAAAATCGTACAACTGAATCTGAACTGGAGACAGATCGACACCTAGAACCTACAATCTGCTTAGCTTTGAGCCCTCTTCTTTTGTCAACAAACTTACCTCGGCTTCGGGATGCTCATCGGCGAATTCAATAGCCCACAACCCAGTGCCCGTTCCGATGTCAAGAACGCGCTTGACACCCGAATTTTCATTATTTGGAGGAGCAAGGCCCAGCTTGTAATCCAAAGTCAAAAGGAAGAGGTTATGCTGTAGGTCTAGGGATTTTGTAAGTAACTAGAAAGCTTTGGTCAGGGCCTCACCAACCTAGCCTTTCGTTTTCTCTCTCATCGTTTGGGAAAAGATACTCTGTATATCATTAGAAACCAGATTGCCGTAGGACTCTGATACATGGGGCAACCCACTCCCATCTTTGTACTTGTGGTAAGTTCTCCCATTCTCTTGGCGATGCTGAAGGATCGAGCTTGACAAGCTTGTGCTTGAAGACGCCACACTCTGGAGCGGGTTAGAAGATCACATTACAATATTTTAGTGAGACCTCTTGCTTACCGTTGCTCTGTCTGAGGCAGCATCGTCGCTGAACTAGGAAGAGAGGTCAGTGCCGTGATCGCAATTGAAGCATTTAGTCATCCCTCACATCGTCGTTCGCTACCTCCGCCTCCAGGATTGGACCGTGACCAGTTGCCACGCCAGAACCTGGGTTATTTGTAGATCCGGGATCGTCAACAGATACAGGGCTGACGGCAGTCGCAGAGCTCTCTTCGGCTCTAGGAGCTGTGGCTGTCTGACTGTCGGCCATGGCGGAAAGGGACGGGATGTTTTCTCATGTAGTCGCGAGGAATTTCGAACCACCAAAACGACCTCTGCCCATTTATATCTATATGAGGCAATCGGAGCTTACCCCTCTTCTTGGCTGAAAATAAAAATACACGGCCAACAGCAGTGCGATAGTGGAGATATTTGCCTGCTCATGCCGTTGGTTCCAACACGCATGAGTTCTGGGAGCCTCTAAGCGTGGCATCAGGAGCGGCGACAGTACCAACACGGGAACAGCAGCCGTGTCTGCACCGAGGTGGATCATGACCGGAACCAATCTGTTTACCCGGCCAACCAATCAACCTACAATTCAAACCGGCGGATCAAGCTACTTGTAGCAACCATGCGTGATCAGCCGACAGCTTTGCAGATTGATGTCTTCCCGGTAATGTAGCCACATGTACCAAACAGTGTCGAGAGATTGGTTTGGTACCGAATGGGAGACGGGCCCAGTTGTTTTCAAACCGCGCATGGTTGATTCTGTGCTCGGGGACAGTTGACCTAGAACCTAATTCAAAAGGCAAACTCTCATGTTCATCGTTCAGATGATCTAACTGATTCTTTTCAACAGGATCTTGTCGACAGCTTCTTCGTTTGCAGTGAGTGATGGAAGTTAGGCGGGGTCAGTCGGTGTCTCTTCGAGGAAGTTTCTATCGTGGACTAATCACCTGCAGACTACTACGTAGGCTTCAGGTCCAAAATGATGAAATCCGGATCCGGCGCCAAGTAATGAGGTCGATCGCTGTAAAGACTTAACTAGCAACTGAATGACAACGAGGGCTCGCTCAGCTAAAGTATGAAGCTCAACTTGCCTACCTAGGTGACTGCCAGATTTCTTGTCATACCATGGACCCTCCAGAACGGAGACCCAGAACGGTTTATGTTCATCCCGGCGATGAATAACTCCGTATCATCGCCATGCCACGCAGGCCTTTTGCGCTCAGTTAATATCTTTAGCAGGCTCCATATCTATGTCCGGGATACTAGCTTCAAGCTTTGACCTTAGATTGAGTGTGCGTTCCTAATGGCCCTATCTTTGTTCTTTTGAGACATCAAGCTCTAGTACTGCGACGATGACATCTTGAAAACTTAGTCAAGTTTTCGGATAATAATAACGATATTTCGAGCATCACACTATCAAAAAGATGAGTAAGCTGACCTGTGGAATTGATTTCGAAGTAGTCGTGTTCAATATCGGTACTGTTAACGTAATTGCGAATGATGTCTTGCGGCTTCTCGACCTTCACATTCTGGAATTCGAGTGTGACGTCGGGGATGCATAGCGTCTACGATGGACAAGTTCGACTCTCTTTTCCACGCTATCGCAAGAGTAAAAGAGGCCCAAGAGACAACCAGTCCTCAAGAGCTATCTCAATTCTGTAAAGCCGCTACTCGGTCGCTGCTTATGTGGTGGGCCGCAGACTCCCCCAAGATTGACAACTTGATGGACGCGCTGAGACACGTTAAGTTTAGGCTTAAAAACCGCCGAAATTCCCCACCTCTAGCGTTCCATAACAATGGACTCGGTCGCTACACAATCAGGGCCAGAGAGCCATCCGGAGCGGCCCGAGATTTAGGTCTAAGTCCAGTCATCTGGCGCCTCAATCCCATGGAGTGGCTCAATGCCGGTCAGATAAAGACCTGGCACGGCTGAGACTTATGAATCCTTGACATCTTCACTGATTATTGGTGCCAACAATGTACATATGGTTCTCAATCGCGCGTCATCCCGTCATTTCTTCTCCGAGCACCCCCAATTCGAGTTGTTTGAGACTTGGCCAAGACCTCGTGTTCATCTCACAGCGTCTAAATTGAGGGCTGTGCACAACTAGTGCTTTGAATGGCGCCGCTGGACTCTATAGATCACGTGGAGACCAAAGCGCGACTCATCGCCCATGATTCCCTGCCCCCGAGCATCCCGTCTCACCTCATTCTTCTCCCTCTTAACGCTGTGCTTCATTCCACTCATCATGGTCTCATTAGGTGGCATCTGCCTCCTTTTCATACTATTAGCAACACCGGCATTAACGCGCGATATACCAAGCAATCTACAAGACTTTTATGCATTCGTCCGCGGGCGGAATAAGTGCCATCATGTGCTAGCAAGCGGGTTTCACAGCAGCGAGGGCGACAGCGGAGGTACGTGCTCAAACCACTGGCATGATTGCGAAGACTCACACAACTGAGAAACCAGGTTTTGGTTACTGCGGAGATTACCTGGATGATTACAAGATCATCTACCTCCAAGGGAAGAATGGCGAGCTCGCCAATATGGATGTTGACTGCGATGGCGAGCAAGCCGGAGGCGACGGACGCTGCGGCAGCTCCACCGACACTCAGTCTGAGACGACGTTCCACGACGAGCTGAGAGGGTATGGAACAGGACGACGAGATCTCAACGCCTCGGTACACACCTATGTCGTATTCGGTAATGAAGGAACCAAGAGCGGCTGGCCTACTTTTGATCCAGCAAAGCATGGCGTAAAACCACTGAGCGTAATGGCCGTCATATGCAATAACAAATTGGTGAGTCTATCCCGACTCCGTTTCTGATTCTATTCTAACGGAATCCGCGTAGCTGTATGGGGTCTGGGGAGATACAAACGGCGATGACGGGCCTCAAGCCATGGTTGGTGAAGCTTCCATATCTCTTGCTACCGCTTGCTACGGCAACAGTGTCAATGGTAACTCGGGGCATGATGACAACGATGTGTTGTATATTGCTTTCACAGGAAATGATGCGGTTCCTGGAGCCAGCGGGGCGAATTGGACCGCCTCAAATTATGAGGATTTTCAAAGCAGCATCACAAATATTGGCAATCGGCTCATTGAGCGAGTTGGTAGCGATGGGAATGGCAGGCCCTTGAGTGATCAATTGCTCCTTGGTTTTGCGGCCATCCTGGGGATCATCTTACTACTATTTTAATACCTATATGACCATAAAAACACAACATCGTTCGCTAGACATATTCCAGCCATCCTGGGAAACCACAGCTTGTGGCGCGCATGCTACCGTTACCGCATCCGCATTCTTTACTCCCGCTTGCTTTTGTGTGTGTGGATCAGCCGTTTGTGTCTCGTCACAAGGTCTCTTGAAACGTTTTATTAGCTAGACGCGATTGCTTCATGTTGTCACGGACCCGGAGTCTGCAAGTAAGCTGCCCGCACATCATCCAACTAACTTCCTCGCATTTGGCATGTGGCAGTATCGACACACGTAGGGCTTCTCATGTTTATGTGTTCTCTCGTGGCGGATGCAATGCTCACTTTGCTTGAAGTCTTTAGCCCAATGCGCGCGCTTGTGCTGGCGTTGTGGTCGACCTCTTCTCGCGGCGGTGGGAGGACGCAGCAAAAGACATATCCTAACGTCATATCTCATGCACCACACCGTTGGCAATGATGGAAGGGCGAACCCAGCAAGGTCCATTTATTTTCTACGCTTCTTACACCCAGAAACCACTAAAACATCCTTATATTCGCAGACCCCGGAGAAGACTGCGGAGATTTGACGAGGGCCTGCTCTCCCGATCTCACTATGACATTGAATACTGTAAATGTAAGGTAAGGAGATGTATTTGTTTCTCGACTAGCTTTCCATGAAGCTTCTCATTCTCATTTCGCCAACATGTCGTGGCACTGACTGCTTAGGGCCTCTCATGAGCTTTGATTCTATCCAAGACAGTCTTGTCGAACATGGGGTGTAGGATTGACATCAACACCCCGTCTTTGCCGTCCTTGATAAACTCGGCATCATGAGCCATCGCAATGTGCATTCCAAACTCCTCAGCCGCCTCTCTGAGCCTGGAAATCGTATCAAGTGCTTTCTTTAGATCTTCATGCAAGCAGAAGTGGGAGCCGTCGGCCATTTCAACATTGGCGATCTCTCGATGACCGAGGAAAATGTCTCTGCTAGGTCATTAGATCTTGCGTCCTTCAGAAATTAGGTTGATAATCAGACGCTCTGCAATAGCCATCATGGGAGTCGTAGTCACTGACCTCGAATGACAGCAATCGCTAGCCAGGATTATGTGTTCGCCCGACTCCAAACGCGCGCATGCTGCGAGATTGCCTGGCATATGCCCAGGTGCTTCGATGACCCAAAAGCTTCCATCGCCGAAATAGTCCAATGCTGATTCGAATGGGCCCCAGGATTGCCAAGAGCCCTCATGTTCTTTGGAACTCTCTGTTCGAACGTTTTCATTACCGAAAATTCTAGAGTCCCATTGAACCACCCCCTGAAATTCATCGTTCTGAATATGCCCTGGGGAACAATGCAAAGCGGTTCCGCGGCCAAAGACAGCTTTGGCATTTGGGAACTCTTTTCTGGTCGGGCGACAATGATCCCAATGAGCATGACTGCTAACGAATTAGTTGTGCTAGTCTCTCCGGAAGTACAATTGATTTTCTTCACAATAAGTCAATATTTACCTAAAAAGCACCGTGTCAATCTCTGAAGGTTCTACCCCCAGGTCTCGCAACTGGTCTCCAAGCCGTCGGCGTGGTCCAACTGGATTGCAGCTCGTCCAGTGGTAGTTCAACACGAACGGGGTGTACAGTTCCCGGTCCTATTCCAGATCAAAAGATGAGCATTGCGTAAGTTCACAAGACCTACATCACTGATACCAAGGTCCCAAAGAACCTTGCGGCCTGATACTCGGTGGTGGATGTAAAAACACCAGTTGTGAAGAAAGTATGGTCTGTCATGCCCATCTGCGTGGATCTTCGTGTCGTCTGTTGTAGTTAGACCGCCGCCATCAAGTAAAACCACGTCGACCGCGCTACTCGAGGATGGAAGAAGACTCTCCGGGCCCTTCATTGCGTTTCGATATATGTACGTCTTACAGCGAGTTATGCTTGCTGGTTACACCAAACCTTCCTGCGACCAAAGCGGATACGTCTTCATATATGTCGAGCTACCTTCACCGCGAGGCTTCCGCGCATTATTTCGCATGAGACTATGCTTGGCAGCAATATCTCGGGGATATTGGATTCTTTGTCCCAAGGAATCACTTTAAATCCGTCCGGTGGGATGGTGCGGCGCACGAGAAATGAACAACATGATTGCAGTGTGGAGAAAAGAATGCCCCTGGATTGTTTGTCTCGTGGTTTGATTGTTTGTCTAATCTACTTTTTGTGGATTGTTTGTTGTGTGTTCATCATCGATCATTTGATTGTCTGATTGTATGGCAAAAATGTTGAATTCCTTTGACCGTTCGATTGTTTGACGCCTGTTCCGTCCAACTTATGGGTAAAGGGCGGCTACGATGGCTGTTTGAAGCTCTACCTCCGCATACCTATGGTGCGACCTGCGAGAGAGAAATACTGTACAACCCCTACCCGGGCCCATGGTGTCTGGTGGATCGATCTTATGTAAAAGATAACAATCATCAGAGAGCGATACCAACCTCTTTTACCGTCGGTTCAGCCCGAAATCTTTCGTCTGTCATTCGGTGTATGCTTCTCACACACATGCCCGGCTAGAATGTTACAGTGCTGCCTTTTCTTGCGAGCCCAGTTCAGAAGCCTCATATCCAATGAATAGCCCACTGGGGTCACGCCGTTTTCGTATTTCCACAAAGCGAGCACGAGCGGAGTCTGTCCATATGTCCATACTTTTAACGGCATCCTTTTCATCGGGTTCGATGGTATCAATGATGTATATACAGCCGAAGGATGACTTGGTTGTCAATTCACACATCGCGGGCATGATAGCTTCAAGAAGCTACAATACTAATTGATGTATTAGCGCCGGTATATATAACACATGATACGACTCTTGACGGATTAGTTCTTACCTTCAAGTTTAGAAGAGGAACCGAAGGATCGTTGAGAATATTGTTGATCCCCCACCTTCTGATCCGGTGATTCTGGGTTGATCTGTCGCTGAAGCTTGAAGAACTCCTCCTAGCTTACTTCCATTCTGGATTTTACTTTACTAAAGCGGCCCTTGATGTTTTCGGGCACCACATCCTAGGCTTCTAGCATCGTAGCGGCCCCGGCTAAGGTATCTGTGTAGGCGCAACATTGATGGCCACAACCAAAGGCGATTATCCGGGGACGACTTCACCAGCTTCTTTGTCGGCGAAGTATTCATATAGCGGACTCGGAAAACTTTCTTGGCATGGCATTGTTTCGTTCGAAAGTAAACGTGAGTAAGTCTTCAAAGTGTTCAACAACAGTGAACGTTGAAGACTGCCGGAAGATTCATTCCTTAAGTACTTTACAATTCGGCTCCAAATTTGAGTTTCCCATACAAATAATACCTGATCACTGCCTCGAGCAGCCCAGAAAAGGTCAGCATTCTCTGTGCGGCTCGCGATCAACACTCGGCCATGCGGGATGACGATTTCAAGTCGCACAATCTACTAAATGCTTGTGGCACCCCACGCTCTCATGAAGACCCTTTGCCAGCACGCGAGACAGAAGCCTCCAAGAGCTGCATCAGGAGCATGCCCAAACGGGGAGAACTTGCCAACGGCATCTGTGCCCTTCCAGGCTTCGTAGACGCGTACCCCTGGGCCAATCCCGACTTTCTAGGTGACAGAGTCGTAATTGGCATGGCAGTTGAGATTTCCAAGTCAGTGAGGATTCCATTGTGAATCGAGGACGGTTTGGAAGGAAGATGGCCCCCAGATCTGACACCAACTGGGGGCTTCAGCTCACTGGCCCTGAACAGTGACCCGGCGATATCCTTAGTGGCCTTCGCCAAATGGATTCCAGCCGATGCCTGTATCTCCCCTACTGAGAAGTTATTTCCGATGGGTTCCGTATTGAATGCTTCCACGTCTAAAACCGACAACGTTATGGGTATTGGACGATGTAAACCTTGCTAAGGAGCTGTGCAGCTTGAATTAGCCGGGCGACTTATTGTCAGGATTCCTGCGACCTCAAAAGTCTTGTTCGCTTGTGTCTCTGAATATACGAAGATTCGGCTAGTCTTTGGACTAAGCCGTCAGCGAGGAACAAAGCTCCTTGGGCTGCCAAGATTTCCGTGTTGCCAGTGTTCCTTGCCCCGAGAATGAGCACTGCCGGGTGCGAAGACATTGGTGGCGCGATTTGTTGCGGCAGGGTCCTCGAACGCGCTGAGAAGTCTGTTCGAAGGGAAACATGAGTCTGAATGGAAAAGGAATTGGGCGGCGGATTTTGCTCTTTGCACCATGCGCCGAGTGTAAAGTTTGGCAGTCTGCTCTTTTAAAGCCACCACCGTGGTGAACAGCGACGAGGCTTGGAGCTAAAGATGAACCCTTCCACGGGCGATGGAGGAGGCCAGCTAAATGGAAGCTGACTTTGGCGATGCCGATCAGAGAAATTGCTTTGCCATCTGGAATGCGTTTGAACGATGAGTGTTTGGCCTGGTTGAGGGGGAATCCAAGAAATTGTGTGGCTTGAAACTCCATCTTCACGCTGAGAGTCAGCTCATCGCTCGTCTTCGGCGCTTCTCTCCAGAATTGCCCAAGCCCAATGCTCACGCAGTCTAGGTGACTCACACATCACCCTATTGCTGCCAGGATGACAGCATGCGTCGCTTCTTTTTCCGTCACTCTGAATGGCTATGAGGCCAAGAATGATAGCTTCATTTTGGCCTTGATTATGGATTAGGCAATTCTCACTTAAAGGCCTAGGCTAAATTAAAAAGGGGGCTTGGCATCCGGTTCAGAGAGGCTGTCAGGACTTTATACCTACACATGACATCACGACGCAGGGCCAAGCACATCAGCATGATCCTCGCATGCTGACACCGTAAGATTAGCCCGCAATAGAGACTTTATGTCTATAATATACCTTACTTCCGATATGTCCGCAGTCACTTCCTAAGATCCGCTGACCTGACGATGTCTGCCTTACTTGGACCAAAGGCCGCACGCCCTTATGATTTCAAATCATTTAGACTCAGATTGTCTTGAATTATATAACATATAACTGCCGGCACCTTTACCAAATCTTCAATCTCTCTTATCATGCACAAACCCAACAGCCAAAAGACTCGTTCCAAAAACTCGATTCACCATGGCTCCTCTTGTTTGGCTCATCACTGGAAGCACCTCAGGCTTTGGCGCTGAGTTTGTCAAGGCGCTTCTAGCAAAAGGAGACAAGGTCATTGCTACAGCTCGTGATACCTCAAAGATAGCCCACTTTCGTGAGGCCGGCGCGGCTGTACTGAAATTGGACCTGCTTTCCAATCAGGCAGAGTTTGACAGGGTCGCACAAGACAGTCTCGGCATCTATGGAAGTGTTGATGTCCTAGTTAACAATGCTGGGTTCTCCCATTTTGGGACCATTGAAGATGACAGGTAAGCTACTCTCACTTGGTCCGTGTATCCGTTCTCCATCAAAGTACCTGATCCTATGGATTGTAGCCAAGAAGACTGGCACAAAGTCTTTCAGACTCACCTTTTCGGCCCACTCGGTCTCACCCGAGCTTTTCTACCTCACTTTCGGGCGCGCAAGTCGGGAACATTTGTCTTCATAGGGTCGGCCGTGGCGTGGGGAGGTATTCCTACTCTAGGGGCGTATTGCGCTTCCAAAAGCGCCTTGAGAGGTTTGTAACCAAAATCTTATACGAGAAGATAAGAATGTTGAGGAAGTTGCCGTCACTAACCTTTCCTTGTATCAGGTGCCGTTGAAACCCTTAATCTCGAGGTCGAGCCCTTAGGGCTTAGAACGCTCCTCGTTGAACCAGGTTTCTTCCGCACAGAGCTACTCAACGCGAACAACACTCTTTATATTGACACGAAGATCTCGGACTACAAGCCTATCGTTGACCCACTCTTTACAAAGTTTAAGGGAGCTCATCATCAGCAGCCCGGAGATCCCGCCAAGGGAGTTGCTCGCATCATTGATGTGGTAGAATCTAGGGGAAGTGCGCAGGGGCGGCCCTTGCCAATTAGTTTTGCTGTTGGACCGGACGCAATCTCTCAAGTGAGCAAGAAGTGTGCTGACACAATTAAACTTATGAACGACTGGAAAGAGGTTTCGTCTGATACCCTACTCTAGGGACCACAGATCTGCAAATAGTTGCAACCGTACAGGCGGTTAGGAGTCAATTCCAGAAATGCGAAAGCACTTTTAAATACAACTCAGTAATCTACCCGGAAAAACAATTGAATTCTATTGAACATCATGTTCTTATAAGCAAGGTTTCCAAAAGATTATGCATATTAACGTCGAGTTTGCTGCTTCTGTCCAGGGTGTGATCTGTGATTCCTCCCTGATTGGGGGCAAACAGCCAGTGGCTATCTCTAGATTGCATTAAGCACTTTCAAAGAATGAAAATAGACAGTACCGTATGAGCGGATAAAGATACACTTACAACATGCCATGGGGTGTCAGTACTGCCTTTATGCATTCCCTACAATCAGTATATGTGCTGTAGGAATAGTAGGACAAACGGGGCGGCAAATTGACTAAGCTGACCCGACAGTTTTAGTATCATACCTTAATTTAGTTGAAACTTCCTTGGATACATAATAATCTGTTGAGATGCAATGCTGCTATAATTGATGATTGCTTATTTCCCTCCTTCGCTGCCTATTACATATCTTCCCTACATGACTAGCCAGTAAAATCAATTATCTCCGACAGTTAAACCAGAATGTCACGAGGTTCACAAAAAATGGAGTAAGGTAGAGGAGGGAAGAGAAACTACGACATGGAGATCATAGATACATGTGGGTAACACCATACATCAACTCGCCTCAAGCTTGATCTCAATCAGCAACAGATGGGTAAATAGCTGGTTATGGATCAACTCAGAGTTTACTGCTTACTATCCAACGCCTATGCAGTGAAACATCTTTGATTTCAACCAGAATGCGAATGGATTCCAAATGTTTCTGGATCGTTATCCCCAGTCGCCGAATGCAGGGACAAAGCAACGGCAGAGCCAGCACCTCACAGCTCAATTGAGTTTACAGAACGCTGGTATCGCTGCAGTCGATTTAAACTGAGATCACGTTGACTTCCCTTTGCAGCTGGCGGGCGAAATGGTTGTTTCATACCTCCAAGCTTTGACTGAGACGACCCCGAAACACTCCTTACAGCGCAGCACCGGCCTTGCACGAGACGGACAACTGAGAAGATTATTGGCTCTATCGTGCTTTAGCTCCAATCATCTTGTCTTTTCATCAGATAAAAAAATGAAACTGGCTGAAGCGAGCATCTCGCAGACACAACTAGCTACCAGATTGGCGGTAGCTTTCTACACATTAGCCGCTTGCCACACCCTCAGAAGCGAAGGCACACTCTCGGCATGACGTCCCTCGGGTCCCGAGTCAAACTGCAGTTAAGCTCCAGGTACGCTGCGAGGCAGTCGGTGCGGTTACACTGCCTCGGGAAGTTAAGGTATTTCACATCCCATGTTGCGCGCGGTGCAATGTGTTGAAGTATACTACCGTCCCCAACAAGCCTTTGGGTCCGGGCTTGTTTCTCTCAACAGCCATTCGAGTCAAAAGGCCAGGTAATCACGATGCGATATATAGGTGCCATCTATTCAATCTTGGGGTTTGTGTCCCTGGTGGAAAGTAGGAGTTCGTTCGTTACCGACTTGTCCATATTGGCGTTCGCAGGAACCCCAGTAGGAAAAGTTGTTCCTTTCAACGGGCGTAAGTAACCATTTCACTATCAACTCTTACGCTCATCAACGTCTCACTTACAGGATAAGTTGACCTCTACGTCTCAATGCCGCGCAACCGGAGCGAAGATGGTCCAAACTCAATGGCACAGTCTCCATTCGGGGTTCTCCTCCTACCTGACGTATTCGGGATTCAGTCGACAGAGAACAGGCTGTGAGCAGACCCAAGATTGACAGCCTATACAAAGGTCTTGGACAACTAATTCATTCAAAGTCTCGTGGACAGTTTTGCACGTGCTGGCTACGTCACCGTTGCTCCGGACTTGATGGACGGCAAACCACGAACCGAAGATTCGATGTCGGGCTTCAACGCGAGCGAGTTCTTCAAGTCACACGGACCTAGCGTTACCGACCCAAAAGTTGAAAAAGCCATCGCGTATATGCGCGAGCAGATGGGCGTCCGCAACATCGCCTCGACTGGGTATTGTTTCGGTGGGCGGTATGTTTTCCGAGCACTTGGGCTTTCCGACAATAAGGGGGTACAAGTCGGGTTTGCTGCACATCCAAGTGCGCTCGGGGATGACGAAATTAAGGCCATCAAAGGACCTGCAAGCTTGGCAGTGGCTGGTAAGTGCAATATTACGACCCCTCCTCATCCCGCTGCTAGAGTCACGAGACTTGATACTAACCTCTTCGCCACACAGAGGGGGACGCGGGTATGTTGACGAAGAGGAGAGTAGAGATCGAAACTGCCATGGGAACCACTGGGCAGCCGTTCACAATGGCACTCTATGGCGGGACACCTCATGGATTCGCCACACATCCGGATTTAAATAATCCTGTGCAAAAGGCTGCGAAGGAAGACGCTTTTCTCCAAGCGGTGCGCTTCTTCGAGACTTGGTTATAAAACTCTTGGCCTAAGGAAGGAGACATGTTTCTACAAGCCTCGCAGACAATCAGAAAGATAAAAAGCAATTAAAGCTGTCGGTCTCTGTGATACTAATGTGAGAGTCGATGCGACGTGCCTAAGTAGGTAACTATAAAGATGTTACTTTTGTGTAACCTCAATCTCGATTTGAGAAAAGATCTTCGGCAGATAACTAGATGAAATTACGTTTCTGAAGTATTTGTACATCGAGGTAAGTTAATCAGCGCGGAAGAGACTCTACGACTGTACTAACAACAATAACAACCATAATTTGTTAGTGAAGCTGTCACGTTCCCTGAAGTAAAAGCACAATTGCCAAACATAAAGCGCCAGTATCAGCAGGCTGCATTTACACGCATTGGAAGAGAAAGGTGCCTGCCGGTGGGGATTCCAGCTCAAAGTCGCCGCGAGATCTGAAAAATACAGGATAATGGTGCAATGGAAGACAAGACTGCTTCGTCTACGAATTTAAGAGCTTTGTTCTTTTTCTGGATAACATACCACTTCTCAAACTTATTAATTGATTGTCGTAAATTCTGTCATTTTGATCTCTTTCCCTCCTGTCATCGTCGAGATGTCTGCCAACTTGAGCAGCAAAGTCATCATTGTGATCGGCTCTGCATCTGGCATGGGCTCGGCGATCGCTAAGACCCTTCTCGCTGAAAGTTCCAAGGTTGGCATGACTGATGTCAACAGCCTGACACTCGGTAACGTAGTCAGGGAACTATACGCAGAGCAACAAGCGCGAGTCTTCTTCGAGGTCTCATGTTTCAACGATCGTTCATCGATCTGCAGCTTTCTTCAAGAAGCATAGTCTCACTTGACCACAGTCAATGGCCTTGTCAACTTTGCCAGCTGCGGCGGCCATTCGTTGAGCACCGAGTTCATTTGGGAAACTACCGAAACCAAAGTTCGACGAAACCAAAGTTCGACTGCATCGCCAACCTCAACATTAGGGGAGCTTTCCACGTCCTTACCGAAGCTCTTAGGCCTGATTTCCTTGCTTACGGCGGGAGCTTCGTTCACGTCAGAAGCAGGATTTCACTTTAGGATTTTCTCAGAGGTACAGTGTTTGCTTTATCAGAGCAGGAGTCTATGAAAATGGTTCCCAGTGCGGCCAAGGAATTAGGTGACCAGGCCAGAGTCAATTGTGTATCACCGTGAGCTATCCCAAGTCTTCACTTTGACGGTATGAAAGTTGACGATAACTAGCGCCGCGGTTGATACTCTGATGCATTAAGCTAACCTAGCTAGAATGTCCAAGGAATTTTCGGCCCCAACTCTTGTCAACTCTTGTGGGAAAGGCCCAGGAATTGGCAGATGTGACGGTCTTCATGCTCAGTGGCAAGAGTAATGTTGACGGGGATGCCGGTCTTTGGTTGAGGGTCATGTTCGGAATCAAAAGGAGCACTTACGTCGAGGCTATGAAGTCATACAATTACATGCACGCGAGCACCTAAATGATAACGAAGATTAGAATAGACATGAAATGTTACCTTTGAGCTCTCACTTTCGTCACAGTCATGAAAAGTTAGTCAACTCTCTAATTGAACGATTAAGAAACAGTAGGCGTTTCACCTGCTTGATCATTCCCGTGCTAGGTGTGCTAAAGACTTGTTTTATTACTGTTCCCCTACGGCTTGAGTAAATAGTTGCCCATTCTTCATGATTCATTCCTTCACCTTAAGCTCATAAGCAATCGCGCTTCTTTTCAGTCCAGAGATCCCCATCCTCAGAATGATTACTTAAAGAGTGACCTCCTTGGCGTCCTCGCCGATCAAGAAGACGGGCTCCTTGTTGCTGTAGTTGGGGACATCCTGCAGGACCTTAGCCGTCTCGGGCGAAGTAAGCGCCTTTTGAATGCTCTCGACGCTGTCGAAGATGAGGATGCCGCCGAAAGCATATTTGGGCTCCTTTCCGTCGGCGGACGCCGCGTATTTGGTGACCTTCCAGGACTTCACGCCGGCGGCCGCCCACGTAGCAGCGGCAAGAGGCATGTGGCTGTTGACGTAGTAGTCGATGTCGTACTTGGCATCGGCCTCGTTAGGATAGAGGATAGTGAAGGTGGCAGGCATGTTGGCGAGTGTTGGCTTGGAAATTTTGGTCGGTGTGCAAAGAGAACTTTCAAGGGAGTCGTCGACTTGGTCAGTATTTTATTGCGTTTGCTCTGGTGATGTGCTGTATTGATGTTTGGCAATGTGGACGGTAAACGTGTCTCGACCGCCGGGACCCGAAAGAGATAAATACCTCTAGCTCTCCCCTCACTGACGTAACATTCAAACACCAAATTCCATTGGGCGGAGACACGCTTACCAATTTGTCCTTTCAGTCATTCTCTTTTTAGGTTTCCACTCCATGAATTCCGGTGCGAATGGTGGCCCTGGACAGCGTGTCAGGTGGAGCCGACTCGGGCTCTCCGTGCTCCGTCTCCTGACTCTTGACTTGTACTCCCGTGCCTCGGCATCCTTCGGACATACGGAGTTCTTGAGCGGGGAAACTTATTTTGTGAAACCCCGCTCCTCTCACCGTCGGACTGTCATTGTAACTACACCAGGAACAGCTAGCTTAATCGGTATCTCTTATTACAGCTAATTACTTGCTTCAGATAGTTGTTGATTCTTCAGAATTTGTCAATGAGCAAACGTCTACATTCCCTTCGTTTCAAAGCAGGAGATCTAGAAAAAGACATATTAAGTTACGTGTAACAATAGGTTTACGTTTCAAGTATCATAATGACCCAAAACAAGTGAGCTTAGATCTCAATCATTTGTCTAAGGAAGTGGCCTTATGGACATAGTGTACCGCGTTGAGGGTTCCGGGAGGCGGCCAGTCGTGGCAATATTTCCGATGGGACCCCACCACGACTCCATTCATGGAGCCATGTCCAGGGATATTGAATACTGCCTTGATGTTTTGGCATATTCGAAATATGTTCATCTGGTTCAGTGTCAATACGATTAATATCTCAAGTACCACTTCTTCGGTTCTTGACATTATTCGCGGGGTTTCGTTATCTCATTCGTGATTGAACCTTTTTCTGCCTGATTGCGGATGTGCGATGGAAGGATTTTCAAAAAGAGCCCATGTCCGAAAGACCCGCACTCCTGCGGTACCCTGGGTACTCTTTGATACGGTATACCTAAGCTTGGGCGCGTTCATGTTATCAATAAAGAAGTCGAAATCCCTCTGGATCGCAGTCATTCTTAGGTGTTAGCTTATCCCAGCCTGAATTGGCAACTTGGCAGGGGTTAATTGAGTCCAATCCTGGTATATTTAACTTGAAAGAACATCTCTTGATATAGCCATCGCCGTATAGAACCCAGTAACGTTGCCGATTCCTGCAGATGCGCGCCAGTGACCCCGAAAAGGACACACTCATCGCCAAGGTCCCAAGCATCTGAGCCAACTACTGGATCAACGAGGGTGACATCGATATCGAATACTAATTCTTCAAAGCCGATGTTCTGATGTCAAAGGTTTACTGAGTTGTAAACGAGATCTTATTAACCGTCAAAACCTTGGACCTATCCCAATCTCCTGGATAACTCCATAGAACCACTATACTCCATCCCATCATGACCTCGTCTTAAAGCATTAGGTGCTGTAATTACGTCTCCTCTCTTTGGCTCCAACTTAACATCCTTAACTTTCCAAGGCCGCTGGACCTGCCTATACTTATCCCCACGGGTCTCAGTCATGGGGTCCTTCCATTCTACTAACTCAAGATCAGATCTTGATCTCCTTACACCCGGACTCGCTGCGGCGGCCGTTGCCAGTGAAGCTGCCCCTAGACGACGCAACATGCTCTCTTCGTCGCTGGCGAATCGAGCGGGCGGTGCTTTGTGATCTCGAATTAAGGCCCGCAGTATCGGTATGGTTGCAGCTATGATGGTCACAACACTTTCTGCTGCACCCCAAACCACCAACTCAACAGTATCAATAATGTCGAAGGCTCCAATCGCAGCAATCGTTCGGATCTTGATGAATGACACAGCCCCAGCACTGGTGGAAATTGCAGTTAGTCACGCACATTCTCAAGCAGATTGATCATTGAAGCAAGCTCACAATACGCCCATACTCATCGCAATCAGAACACCAAATTTCTCTCTTTTGGTCATTGTCAGTCCCCATATAATTTTCCAAGGCAAAATGGCGAGAACGATATCCATTCCGCCAGAATACGATGCCGTGAATACGTTGTAGTTCATCATGATGCTCTTCGGCCAGCAGGTGCCAGGCGTTGAGGCTGTTCTCCATGTCTTCTCGACTGGCCAACACTGTATCCAAGTGAAGAGAACATTGACGCCGAGGAAGACGTTGATCGAGATGATGATGAACCACACGAGCAACTTCATCCATCGTTCGGATGATTCCCGCGTGATGCGAAGCAGAGTCAGCGCGAAGGAGGTCTTGCTCCACGCTGCCGCGATGATGGAAAATGATCCAGAGAGGTTGGCGTAGAGCAATAGCCACGACCAGTTCCCTGGTGTAATGTCCCAGTTATGCTTGCCAAAGTCGTACAACACGTCGATGGAGATGAAGGATCCTAGAGCCAGTAGAGCGCACTGCTGATAGTCAGAAACTGGTGTCTTTCGCATCGTCTGCGTTTCACTTGTCTTACCCACGCCGCGACCAAGACATGGTCATCCAGCCACAGTCCCCTTCCCCGTGAGAACTTGCAGTAGATCCGCAGACCGATGAAGGCCCCAGCGATGCCTATTAGTGTCCACACGGTGGCAAGTAACCACGGGCCATAGTCGTCATGTGGAAGTTCTTCCCAGGGCGTGTCGTCCATATCCACGAGATATGCTCAGTCGCGATGCGGTGTCAAGAAACACCCACATGGAAGAGGCTTCAATATCGCCCCAGCTGCCAAGGGGCAAGGTGGTATAAAACGGTTCCAAAGATCGAAGAGATCCGCCGGACAGGGACCTGGGTCTTGTCCAGACGGCGATGCATGGCTATAAGAAAGCCGGCCGAGTGGCCTTGCTGCCCCTTGCTCTTCGCGCATCACCCGAAAAAAGGAGTTCAGCCGGCAGACCAAACGCTGCCACGACAGTTCCATGGTTCCAAGGGTGGCGATCCCTTCAAGGGCCCTTCAAGGGTGGCAGCAGCGCGACATCGCTCGTGGCCTCGCCCGCTGTCTGACATGTGGAAAACATGGAGAAGAAGGGGTGCCCCTGAGTGTCAGACCTGGAAGCGAGATGAAGTAGCAGTGAAGAGTACCACCCCCCGCACTCCGCCTGGCCGAGGAGCCAGACCACGGGCGGATCGGGCTCTCCCGCAGCAACGTGACAGCCGTTCGAACTTGTGGCACGAGAGATGGGTCAATTTATCGTGGCGATTCTTGCTTGTGTTGCTATGGATATCCCACCAAGACGGTTCGAGATATGTGAGCTTTAGCCTTTAGATGGTGCTCTGATACTGTCCAACATGCACGCTCGGGCCTTGCTAGGGGTTCACCCATGGTTCTGTCTCATCGACTCCCCCGGGTTCCAGCTTGGCATGGCGTTGAGCAACACGAATCAATATCTTTCAAGTCCAATCTTTTTGAAGTTTGAACAGCTCTCGTGTCACGCTACATTTAATTGAGGGCGGTGGCGTAGCTTTGCTCGTATGATGCCCTGGTGATGATGCCGTGTTTGGGATAAGCTCACCGGAGTGGATACTTTTCGGCTCCTGGCACAACCAAGTATCATCATCGTTGATGACATGTGGTTTTGTCCTCTCAACAGTTGCCGAGGAGCTGTTGCTTAACATCGTCAAGACCATCATCCAAGGAGACCATTCAGTGATGTTGTGACCGGTGCTAGTTTCACAGCCCGGATCTATGGCCAGTCCTGGTGTTGTCACCTAATTCAGATGGATGACGGAACGGAGCGCGCTTGTCTTCCCTACCAGACTCCCATTGAGACTCAAGCTCAACCTGCAACTACCCACATCAACTACTCCCATTCTACTACCTCGTCAAGAACTGTAATTTCTTTCCAGATTTTAAAATCGATGACTTCTCAAGTACACGATAATTTTACCAAAAACATCCATAGTCATTTGCGACTGGCGTTCATCCAGGCTCAACTGTCTACCTGTGGCCATCCAACCTTTGTCCGAACCGACCCGGAGCACGGCCCTCTGCAAATTTATTTCCATTCTAGAACACCAGAGAAAACCGCAAACAGTAACCTGACCCGGATATCCTGGGAAGATACTACCCTCGGGTGGCTTGGTACTGGTCTGGATTCCCTCCATGATCTCGGTGTGGTTCCCCCTTCAGTCCGGAGGTGGGCTTCCGTACTCATGCCTGGACCGATTCATAGACATTCTTCGACCTTGGCACGCAAAGTACTCTGAAATAGGAAGCAACTTGTCTTCAATTGTCCGAGCCGTGTCGCAACTGTTCCATCACCGAATGCTCCCCACTGCCGGAAAACCAATTCCACGCAAAGTTCTCGTGTCACAAGCAATCTCTCACGATCACAGCAATTCTGTCAGATCCTGCGACAAGCCTTTGGGAAGCCCCCGTACAGCTTTCAAAATCCTTTCCGCACGATCATCGCCATAGACAGATGAGACGAGTCCCCTGAATTTCTTCTCAACTCGCTCGTGTGAGAACGGATGCTCGTCTTCGCCAAGGGGATACACCATGGCTTCTTCGATATCGCCTACCCCACCTATGCCTGAAAAGGCCATCCGCACCGCAAATTCCTTCTCAAGTTTCTCGTCGACTTTCACCTCTATCCTGTCGCAAAGCTGCGCGACCTGCTTGCTCTCAATCTTGTCGGCGTCGTATGTAGCCCAGCCAATATCGCTACCAAAGAGCCACGCGACAGCAACTTGGTAGTAAATGCTGAATTGAGCGTCGACAATCGTTTTGGGGTGTTTCTTGTTAGAACTGGGCTCGCCGACGATGGAATACCCAGCACGAGTCAACCATATGATAATCTTGTCCGGCAGCTTCTGCGCGTCGGACTTTGCGGCTAGTTTTGCTGTGACTTCGATGGCGGTGTGAGTGAATCGACACGCGGGGAACGGCTTGAGTGCTGTTGCTGGGCACAACCATTCCGTTCCGAGGTTGTCGACCAACCCGACAGGATTGACATTCGCAGAGTGCGCCTGCAAGAAGCCCCATTTGCCCTCAATGATGTGGGAGGCCCCAGTCACGCCGGCCTCGGCGAGGGCAACACACAGGAAGGCATCGTGGGCGGCGAAGCCAGGGTGCAACCGCTTATTCCAAGACCCGTTGTCAAGGAACTGCATGGAACCGGCTGTCTTGGACCCGGCGAGACCAAATGCGTTGTAAATTTGCTCGCAAGTCAGGCCCTTGATCTTGCTGATGGCGGCAACCGATCCGAAAATCCCGGCCGTGCTGGTGTTGTGGAAGCCTCGGGGATATCCACCGCTCGACAACGCGCGTCCGAGACGGCAAGTGACCTCATACCCGACCGAGAGTGCCGTGAGCAGTAGAGTTCCAGGCGCATTCGAAGCTTCGGCCTGCGCCAGAGCAGCGGGAATGATACTTGCACCAGGGTGAATGATACCAACAGCTAGCGTATCGTCGTAGTCGAAAGAATGCGCAAACGCTCCATTCAACATAGCCGCGATTTGGATCGGGTACGTCTTTTCTTTGCCGTAGACCGTACTTTTGCCAACCATGCCCACCGCAAAAGCCTCGACGCCTTTGATGATATGCTCGCTCGACTCCGAATGGGCTCCTCCGCCGGCTCCTACTCCAATGTGATCAATAATGAGATCGAAGAGTTTTGCAATAGCTTGTTCTGGAATATCGTCGAACTCGGTTCTGGCTATAAAGTCGCAGAACCTCTCTGTCGCGTCTTCCGCGCCCGGGAAGCAGCCTCCCTCTTTGATGTTAATCTCAGCTTGCATGGCATGAGGCATCACGAGATACATGCACAGGTACTTACGTTGTGATATTGTGCCATGTTGTAGCCTGCTAAGTGATGAGTAAGAAAAGAGACATGCGGCGATTCCCATCGCAGTTGGCTGTAGCCGGGGCTCACATTCTCGCCACGGACTAAATTTCCAATCATCTGCACCTAGAAATAGCAGGCCGCCTATAAGGGTGTCGTCACCACTTAGCCGTTCGGTTCACGGCTATGCCAGGGTTAAGACAGTGTTCAAAGCCAAAAATGCGGGGAAGGGGCCGAGCGGATGCACATACCCGGGGCTCCATCACTTGAGTTACATCCTTTGGCCATCGCAGTGTAGAGACCCAGCGTCTAGTCGCCTTAGTACCGACAGACCTCTCCTTGTGGATGCCTCTACGGATACTTGTGATAGCGCTATCTCCGCCAATGACCGAAGTATTGCGGCTTTGAAGCCGATGTATGTACCCGTTGAAAGCTTAACTGCTATTCTCTATACGAAGTGATAAAGATCAGAGGCTGAATCTCGGGAAAGCGCAGACGTCAGTTGTCTGCTGCTTTTAATATCTAGCTAGACACCCAGGAACTAGGGGTTTTCAACTGACCTCTTTTATGAAAGAGTTTTCGTATGGAAAACTATTGCTGCAATTGAGATAGTTAAATTAGAACTCGCTGTGAAGACCTATCCTCGACTCTAAAGCTCCTAGTCGAATAAGGCAGAATAGAGACATAGCACACGTACTCCTGTGGGCTCCTTTTCTTCTTTAACACTGAGCTACGCTGACAAGGCACCAGGTGGCTTCTTCAGAGCCCAGGTCACTCGAGTGATTCTCACCAAAGGTGCTTAATTCAACAGCCAGCCTCGGTGGACCCTGAGAATGAAAAACTAATTTATCACAGACTGATACCAATCAATTGCGTTTGATAGAATCTCGGCTGGACTACTTGGTATTTGTGTTCTGCCTTCTCATAGAGATACACAGTGCACGTATCAAAGAGGCTAGAGAGCTCGGTGCGATCACGGGGCCACCTTGGCATCGCCAACGAGCCAGCGTACGTATTCGCTGTCTACAAACCTCGATTTAGTAGCAATAGAAATCGTGTTTAAGAATAATAAGGTCCAGCAACTTCGGACGACTAGAGAATTTGAAAGTGCTTCGGCCGTCGCCGACAGATCCCCGCTGAGGAAAGAAAAGGTCAGTTTCCTAAGGCCGACCTCGTTATAAGTGTTCTTAGAAATCGTGCTTTTTCACCAATGACTTTTGCCTCCATATTACGTGGGAAATGAACGCCAGAATCAGTTTTCCTCTCACTGTCAAAACTGATATGACATTCCTGGTCTTGAAGTCGAGTTAACAGCCAAACTCAGGTTCTCGTAACTTACCCATGGTCTATGGACAGTATAGGTAATCCCTTGGTTGTTTGTATGACCTTGAAGTAGTCAAATGTCTGCTATAGCTCTGGTAGGCGGATTTTATTTGACACGAGGAGAGACAGAGAGAGAGAAAGAGAAAGAGAGCGTAGGACGAGCACATCCCGCGGAAGGGCCGATCTCCTGTCTGATATGTAAGCTGACAAGATGCGCAATCTGGGCAAATCTTGGTTTGCTTGGAAGAGCATCTTGTGTGGCCTGCCAAGCCTTGTGGCTCTGGGGCGAGCCTGATCCCTTCAATAATCAGCACTAAAGCAATCTCCGCCACATCGCCTCAGGCTTTGTCGCTGGGATTGTCTTCCTAACTCTCAATCTAATAACCGACCGCTCTCCTTCATCGATGGCATTGCCAGGGCGTCAACTGAATCATTTGTTTCGTTGAATCAACTACAAAGACCACTGACGTAAACGGGCGATTTCCCGTTATTTTTCGGTTGACCGGAGAGAGGGGGTCGTCCCGGAAATGCAAACAGAGCGTGCCATCCCGCCCTCTCCCGCACCAGGCAGAGTAAGTTGCTTAGCCCCTCCTTGGCCACAGCCGACCGCTTCATCGCAAAAGTGCTGCATAGCGGCCGCCTGTTGGTGTGGTCTCTGGCCGGTCAGCTCTGCACGAGGTGTGGGCCAGGCGTCCAATTCGACCAGGATGTTGCATTTTGCTTCCAACAGTATGTCTGACTGGTGCAGGTTGGACTGGGTTCGATTGCTGAACATCATCGGCTTGCCACTTGGCATGCCTATTTCAGACAGCTTGGTAGCTGCGTTGGCTGCATGGTGGTGTAGAGCATCACAGTGCAGGGCATATCGTATGCGCGTGAGACTGTGCCCCCCCCTTCCCTTTGTCCTGAATCCTGCCAGTCAGATTTGAGATGAGGAGGAACAGGTTGCACAGAGAATGCATCTGTTATGTTACACGCTGGTAGGGCCTGTCTTCGTAGAGACGGGAAGTCCCCCTCATCCTGTACGAGACCTTTTCTTTTCCTCTTCCCTGGCAGTTTCGGTTCTGCTTCGTCCGTCCTTCTTCTCATTCCACAACACCCGACCAATGCCGTTTGCGACTCGATATTGAGCGACGCGAATTTCGCCCATTCCCGTTGTCGCAATGTTAGCTTCACTACCAGGAGTCGCCTTGGGCCTCTCTCTGTACCCTCTCGGTGTCTTGTCGCAAGAAGCGTCGTGCTATGCACCGGACGGCACCCTCGCCGACAATGAGACGTACGTCCCGTGCAACAAGCTCGGTATCAACCAGGCTGGAGTATTCTCCAGCTGCTGTGCTCTGGATGGACCACCCGAACAACGAGATATCTGCTCTTCTTCCGGTATATGTATCAACCGCCAACAGCAGCCACAACGGGGTTTCTGCACGGACAAGGCGTGGAAAAGCAAGGCTTGCAACCATGTCTGCACTGATATTCAGGTACAGATTCGCCATTGAGTGAATTCATTGCCCGCCAAAAACACAGACTAATACGTGACGTCTCAGACCGGTGGAAATCCGAGCAACATCAGCTTCATGACTGCTTGCAACGACGGCACTGGCAAGTACTGCTGTGGTCAATCAAACACCACGTGCTGTGGTACCAGTGAAGCCTTCGCAATCGCAACTCAGGAGGCTGTATGCACAGCGAATACAACAAACACCGACGGAACCACAGAAACCGGGTCCGGATTCAAAGGCGCCACCATTGGCCTCGCGGTCGTCACTGGCATTTCCCTTGTGGCCGGCTTGCTATCGACCTTTTGGCTCTGGAACCAGAACAAGAAGCTCAAGAACGAACTCGCCGAGAAGGCAGAAGCCCCGAGCCAACCGATGGAGCCGCAGTACACCGGCGCGACGAGCTCATACGCAGGAACCTCACCACCGCAGGGCTACAAGCCTCCGTACAGCATATCGCCACCGCCGACCATGTCACCGGGCTCAGAGTATCATCAAGGCAACATCCATCGATACTCGGAATTGGATGCGTCAACAGCTGTGGCGAGGAGTGAGATGGGGTCGCCTTCGCCTTACGATCAGCAGCAGCATCAGCAGGGGCGGGACTCGCCAGCGCCTAGTCACTCACATGGACATGGGCACCGGCATGAGAGTTTTGGAAGCCCGATGCACTCGCCGAATCTGCCGCAATCATAAGCGGGACGGTACTGGGTGGAATTCAATATGGCAAGGTTAGGTTGGCGACTTTCTAACATTTTTGCCCCAATCGCGATGTAGTTTCTCGGGGACAATATCAGACAACGTAGGCACACTTAGACCTTGAGTCACATGGATCACTCGGAGGCATCATTCTCTCAGTCAAGCAAAATCTTTCAAGTCCTATTGTTAAACAAGCGAGATGATTGGTTTTTACTTTCGACGTATCGTCATGGCTTTACTCCAGCGAGGATCTTGCTTCTTCAAGCAACCGAGGCAAGCTTCTCCCTCGACTCTCATCAACCCACAACTGGAACAGAGGCGACGCCGGTGCCACTCCTTCAACAGCTGAGGTTCCTCACTCGCAAGCGTGCAGCATTTTCGGCATCAGCGCTCCCAGAAGCAAGAAGGCTCTTCCTGCGTAAACTGAAGGGTTTTGTTGGGGAACTTGGCAGCAGTTTTGACCTTGAAGCAGCTGTAGCAAGGATAGGGGTATTGCTGCTTACGGACCTCTTTCGAACCCTGGGTAGGACTTTCATCTGGATCTTTCAGCATTTCTGTATATATCAATTCTATAAGAGGCGCTTCCGTCGTGGACACCAGGGCAAAACGCTTGTGGATGGCTACCCAGTCAAGCCTTACTTGATGCATCAGAGAGCAACTTGCCATGCGGAGACGGATAGTGTCGAGGTAACCCAAGTGGTAAACAACTCGCCGGACGATTCCCACTGGCAGATGTTCAAGAGGCGAGAGCTTTTTGTCTTTGAGGCACTATCTGTTGACCACGTCACTGAATTCGCCATCAACCCAACATCTGTTGAATGTGGTACCAAGATGTCCGCAGCCATGCCAAGGGTAATACGTGGTTCCGCCCTTCTTGACAGCTTTGAGGTCAATGTACCTTAGTACTTATTCTTGATAGCACAACTCCAACAGTGGCGCGATTTCCAAAAGGCCTGCGTGTTTGCCCGCTTTGAGCCTCTAGGGGGGGCTATCAGGCTTACCTCTGAAGCACTTTCAGACATTCGTAGCAACCCCAGTATTGCTTTCGAGGATCTTTTGTCGACTTTCTGGAGAGCCTCTACGCGTTCGGAGGCGGAGAACGCGTACTCTAGCTTTTGACGTAATGCCTCGTAGAGGTACTTCATCTTGTTTTCAAGTTCGACATGACTGGTATTGGGTTCTGGAGCAGTTGACGCCATATTTGGAATCCAGGTAATCTGACATGTTGAATGGGATGAATCGAGTGCGTGGAAAAGGTATGTTGTTATGGAGAAGTAGGACAATGTCGACAGCAGCTTCAACATGATTTATGTCCGGGCACAGAGTCGTCACAATCGCCAGGCCCAGAGTCAATACCAACGGCACAGAAGGTTCCAGGTCAAGATTCCCCGGGTCGGATGGATCTTCGCGTCACAGTCGAGCAACTCTTTGATCAAAGCATATTATAGATATGTACCTGCTGGCTACAAAGATATATACACGAATCCTCGACCGTCTCATCGGGATGCTATCCTGAGCGATCCCATTCATACAATCTCCCCCCCAAGGCGATGGGAAGATGCTCTCTTAGACACACTGGCTGTAGTAGTCGTTCTGCTTCTGGCAGGTGAGACCAGACTGGCAGGTAGTAGGGCCGGTGAACCCGTTGCCACCGCACTGAGCCCAGCGAGCAGCTCCGCCGGCAGCAGCAGCAGCAGCGACAGGGGCGCTGGGAACGGCCTTGACGCTGGGACCATTGCACTTGCTCTTTATGACAGTGCTGAGGGTGGTAGAAGGCGCGGGAGTAGGAGCGGCAACGCCAGCAGCGGGGGCAGTGACCGGGGCAGGGCGCTCGGGGACGGAAGGCTTCGCAGCAGGGGCGGAGGGTTTCGCAGCAGGAGCGGAGGGCTTCGCAGCAGGAGCGGAAGGCTCAGCAGCGGGAGCGGAAGGCTGAGCAGCAGGAGCAGAGGGCTTTGCAACAGGAGCGGTGGCAGGAGCAGCACCGCCCTTGCCGGCGGCGGCGAGGAGGCTGGAAATGCTAGTGTAGGCGGGCTTGGGCTTGAGGTCCTTGTCCCAGGGGAGGGCCTCGCCGGTGCCGGGGAAGACGGAGGGGATCCAAGAGTACTTGTCGGTGTAGTCCCAGATGGTGACACCGACACACTCGAGAATGTCCAAGCAGGCGCCGACAACGCTGACGTAGTCGGTGGCTTGCTGCTCTTGGGCGGCGGCGTTGGCGGGAATGGACGTGTGGCGGATGTCGAGCTCGGTGTAGGCGACCTCGGTGACACCGGCGTCGACGTAGGACTTGAGGACGGCGCTCAGAGCAGAGCGGGAGCCGGCGCTGCCGACGATGAGATGGGCCTGGAGGCCGAGACCGTCGATGCGGGCACCGGCGGTCTTGATGTTCTTGATGATGTTGAGGACCTCCTTCTGCTTGTTGCCGGCCAGCTCAATGTTGTAGTCGTTGTAGTACAGCTTAGCACCCGCATCGGCGGCCGCGGCGGCCTTGAAGGCGATGGGGATGTAGTCGGTTCCGAGAACCTTGTGGAAGACACTGTCACGGTAGGTGCCGTCCTCGTTCAGGGCCTCGTTGACAACGTCCCACGCGTAGCATTGGCCCTTGTAGTGGCCCACGACGTTGGAGATGTGCGTGTCAATGATGGACGTCAGCTGGTCCTTGGTCCAGGTGCCGGAGGAGACCCAGGTGGGGAGCTGAGAGTACCAGACGAGGGTGTGGCAGCGGAGGAGCTTGCTGTTCGTCTTGGCGTAGTCGGCAATCACGTCGCCGTTGGCGTAGCTGAAGACGCCCTGGCTCTTCTCGGTGAACTGCCACTTCTGGCCGTTGCCGGGGGTGATCTGGCCGAACATCTCCTTGAGGATCGCGACGTAGGCCGTGTCAGAGAGCTCAGAGTTGTCCGAGGCGGCGCCAAAGTACTTCTTGCCGGCCGCAACGGCGAGCTCGTTCAAGCTGGCGGCGCTGACGCCGGAGGCGAGCAGGCCGGCTGCTGCGAGGGTCGAGAAACGCATCTTGGCAAGTTGTTGTTGTTGTTTTTTTTTGGAAAGGAGAGACTGATAGAGATTGACTGATGAAAAGAATGTGAAGTGTTGCGTCGAGGCAACAAGAAAAGAATGGACGTGAATCGCAAGAGACGACGAAAGGGAGTTCAAAGAGACAATACTGCAGACATTGGCGGGGGCCGAGTCGTTTATCAATGTTCGTTCTGTCGACCCTCAACGTGACATCTCTCGCTTGCGTCCCGCCCCAATCTACCCAACGCTTGAGGCTTGAAGCACAGTAGCCGACGATCCGGGAGCCCCCCCATCGCCTGTAACGAAGTATCAGTATATTTGGCCCTATTGGGGCTAGACGATTTCGCTTCCGTCGGCCGAAAGATGAAAGGGGGTCAGAACGATAGGGCCACGAGAGGATCCCACCGGTAGAGTCAGGGATGGTGCTGGCGCGCGGGTGCCAAAGCCTCCTGGCATGGGCCATCGTGTGGCCTCACGGTCTTTCTCCTGAAGGCCACGGATAGTTTTCCACCTTAAGCGACAGGACAAAAGCAGGCCCAGCAAGCCAGCTCATGCATGTCACATTGGGCCATCTGAACGAAAGCGGTTCAAAGTCTTCCAAGTCAAAACGGCGATGGCCCCGCTCCACCCCTGAATTTCCGGTGCTTCGGGGGGCCCATATACGAACCCTTTCGGGCTTTGCGCCGGCACGCCATTTGTTTACGCGAAACACGCCACCTTTACGCTTTCAAGCATATCACCTACCCCATCCCTATATCCGTACCGTTCTTTCAACTCAAGACAAGTCTAGTTGGCCGCTGCAATCCCAGGGGTCACTCTTTGGCTGCATGTGCTCTTAATAAGTCTGTCTAGCCAGAATGTATGGCTCAATGACGTCGTTTGCAAGATGCAGCATCCTTGCAGTGGCTGACTGGCGCTGACTCAACTAAAACTAAACAGTTGCCCACAAAAGATGTCAATGTCAGAGAAAAGAATAAGGTTTCAGTCTATGAAGGAACAGCCAATTGTCACTATAGCATGGAAGTAAGAAAGTTTTTTTTTGGGTACCATCTTGATTATTGTAGTACTAAAGATAGTCCTATCGCTAGATAAAATATTACTAATTATTCAGAAGTCATCCGTCAAGGAGCGTAAGAGGTCTTTTCCAAGACATTGCTATTCGTTATTATCCCATAATAATGGTCATTTCAATCCTCCCCCTTTTGAGTCATATTATTATCGCCCTCCAAATTCCAAAATGTTCGGCTGCGATTGCTGAAAAGTCCTCTAGTCTTGCTCTAGCTTTTGACCGTCTTCGGTGGAGCAGCACCGTTGAAAGACGGCATTAGAGAGCGGTGCAAAGAGATATTGAAGCTCTTTAGAACTGGATATCGGGGGTGGCGCCAAGGACGAGGACAGGGTTGAGCTTGACCTGAGCGTTGCGGATGCGGTCGGCAATGGCCTGGACATTGGCGGTAAGAGTGGCAGCCGTAGTGAGGGCAAGGTTGCTAGCGGTTCCGATGGTGGCGAGAACAGTAGTGAGGGCAGTCTGAGCCTGGGCCAAGGCAGGGACGAGGATGAGGTTCTGAGCCTGGCCGGCAATAGTTCCAGCGTTGGCGGTGACCTGAGCCTGGAGAATAGCGATCTGGGCAGTGAGAGTTCTGGCGAGAGCCTGGGCTTGGCGGACGACCTGTTGTGATTGAGTTAGTAATGGGATATTCGTTTGCAAGACTTGTTTTCGTCTTACAGCTTCAGCCTGGCCGCCAATATCGGGAAGAGCAGGGGCAGTGGGGGAGGGAGCGGGAGGAGGGCTCGGGATCGCGGTGGGAACGCTGGCGACAATGCTGGCAACGTTGGAAGCGATCGCTGCAGCGTTGGAGCTGAGCTGAGCGACAACAGCTTGGACCTGGTTGACCGCCTAGAAGTTGAGGTTAGCTCTGCGTATCATGTCATTCCTGACAGATGATGATCCTACAATAGTCGCGGTGCCGGTAGCACTCAAGGCAAGGGTGCCGGCAAGAGCAGTGGTCTGGGCCAGCTGGCCAGACAGGAGTTGAAGGGTTGCAAAAGCCAATTGGTTGGCACCAAGCTCGGCAGGGTCGAAAGAGAGGCCAGGAGTAACAATTGTGCCAGGAGTGATGGTGGCGCGAGGGAGAACGGCACCCTGGACCGAAGTGAAGGAGATGGCGGCGAGGGCGGCGGTGAAGATCTTGGACTGCATCTTGGCGGTTGGTTTTGGAACGGAGATGTGTTTTTCGGAAGGGAAGTCGTGAAGAGAAGTGTTCAGATGGTTATGGTGAAGTATTGAGTGCTGAGGTGCTGTTTGAGCTGATGAGGAGGAAAGGAATTGTGATTAGACTGGAGGTTTCGACGCCTCTTATAGAAAATCGGAATGCTGTCTTACAGACCACGATACCCACAATGTCAACGTTTTGGAGTTTCGATGGCAAGAAGCCCCTCGAACTGTCTGAAAACGAGCATATTCCTACTAGAGGCGGTAGGTAAGCGTAGGGTGGCTTGCTGGGCATGGCTTCTTCCGTGAGCTAGGAGCTCCATCCGAAGACCCGGCTTCTTCGAGTTGCACAACGCTCTTTGCCTTTGTGGGCCTACACAATATCATTCCTGAGGAGCACCCAATGCAAGGGATTGCCTCTTTTCCGTCTGCAGACGAATGAAGAGACAACAAACAACCCCTCCGTAAGGCTCGGGGCGGCCGGACGAACTGGTGGAGGCACGCTAAGGGATAGTTCCCGGTCTTGACGTCGGAGGCCTGGGCCGATCCAGATGTGGCCGCGTTCCTCGGCATCCCACCATCCTCCTCCTCCTCCTCCTCCTCCTCCCCCTTCTCCCGGAGCCTCAGTCAGCAGGTAAATTCCTCTACAGCCAATCTCAATTTGATATCAGGCGCTGCCAAGGCGCCAAGCTAGACCCCAAGAACGTCGAGGCATGATGGCTGTCCCAAGCTGAACTACCGTGCGGCATCCAGATGGTGTGCTCGGCATACATCTCTTAGCTCTTACCGTAGTAACGGAGCTTCCCATCATCTTGTTGACATTCACTGGGCCCGATGCCAGTGTCTGTCTGAGATCAAGTGATGATCAGCCCCTGTCATCTTGTAAATCATTCCTGTGTTAAGATGAGAAGTTTTCACTTTCTGGGGGTCATGTGTAACGGGGCAAGCCTCGCAGCGATGTTGGGATCCATTGACGTGATATGACGACGCGGCAACGCTCCCGCATAGCCAAAGGAAAACCTACACACGATTCATCCTTTGGAAATGCCTCTGGCGGCGAGACACTCCCGTCCGGGCCCCAATTATTGAAGCGGGTCAAAGGAGTCTCTTCTGAAAGCCCAGTACGATAATTACTCAAGTCGCACGGAATCTTCCTCACAAGAATGCTGAACGGGTGAGGCGTCTCCTCTGCTGTCATTGCCGGAGAGTCGACTTTCCAGTTTTCCCCCCTCTAAAGGCCTCAAAAGGTCTGGGTTCTTTGTCAAGGAGCTGGGAACAGCCAATTTGTTGACTCCTCTTTCAATTTGTTACTGCGTGTGGCGGCAGTGGATGTGGTTGGGTCTGAGCTGTCTCAGGGTCTACTGGAGTTTCCCGTGCAGATTGTCTAAGACCATTCGGGATCCACGAATCAGCGCAGTTCAATACAGCCCTTCCACCCCACATTCAACGGGAGCAACCCTCTCACGAAGCTTGAGTCAACTTAGACGTTATGGGAGCTGACTATTAGGCAATGGTGGCATGAGCTAGATCCAGCCTAGCCGTGGCTTGGCGGGCAGGCTAGGCTCACGGGAAATATGTCAGCGGATGGTTCGCAGCGGGCCGCATTCATCGACAGCGGGGGTGGTTGAGCCGGCTTCGATCATCGGACTGAGCTTGTTCCGTAGCGGCTACAGCAGGTCTTTGCAATGACCCAAGGGAGATTCCGTCAATGGCACTGCCCGAGACAACGTTTGCGGCCGTACATTGCGGAGAGGAAACTCCATGTCATGGCCGTGCTACGCAACTGAACGAGATGACTCAACCGCCCCAGAGTCTAACGATTGCATTCCGATCGTAGGTGCCAACATACGGCCCGATCGGTGGACGTTTTTCGATATGTTATCCACATCTTCAATCGGCAGATCAAGTTGAAGCGCACCGTGTTCAATGAAAATCCGGCTTATTCCGTCTGTTTTTAATTTACTGGAGAGCAAATGAATTGCAAGAGAGCCATCACAATAGACACCAGACTTGACTAGAAACAAGAGCTACCGCTTTGGGTGGCGGAATTTCCCACCTCTCGCTCTCTTAGCGGTGGGTCTGTGATTGTTTTGACGCCTCGTGAGTACCGCAATTGTTCATGGTGTGCTGCAAGCCATGACAGAATTGCCTTGGACTAGGCCTCACGGCCTTAACAATGCCATCCTGGCGCGCTTTTCCCCAGCTTTCCCATCACCGATGATAGTTAGCATGATAATGCATTCTGATTTCAACTGCAAGTGCAAACATCCCACTGCTCTGTTGCTTTTACTGTGATGCCATTGCCAGAAATCGGTTGAGCATCTCACTGCTTTCCCCTGAGTTCGATTCTTGTGCCTGGAGCAGGAAGATCTACTGCTCAATCAGCCTTTGAGACAGTCTCAAGACCACGAAAATGAAAAACGAAGATCAATAGTTCTCAAAGACGTAGCACCTTCCATCTCCGTGGTGCTGGATGTTGCCTCCCGTTGGCCTGTAAGACATTAACCAGTTCCCTGTGCATGCTTCCGGTCTAGGTTCCATGGCGAATCCCACAGCCACTGGCCATTCTTATTCCATCGGCACACAAATGACGTTTGATAATCCTCTCCTTAGATGCGTTGACCACGCTTCATGGCGTATCCTCACATAGAGAATGGTTGATCATTCAGCAAGCCACAGGACTGATGCCTTCCGCAACATCGGGCCCAGACAATGCGTTCAACGGATGAGAGGGGTGCCGTAAGCGTAAGGGCTCAGCATTGCTTCCGGCGTGTGATAAAGACCCTGAAGTCATCGGACCAGCCGGCCCGAGGACTCTGTACGAGGCGTGGAACTGGATTGTGTGGCACGACGTCATGACGTGGCTGGAGCTCAATGCAGATACCGGAATGGTTGTTCTCGATGACATGGGCGAGGTCATGACGGTCGTTATTGACGGC